TAAAAAAAAACCTAATCAAGAACAACGATTGATGCTCAAGAAACTTTTGTTGTTCGAGACAATAGTTCATTATTAACGTTAATTGGTTACCATTATCACCATTATGCTATCAATTCCACATGCCTTTTTAAGACAAATTATTCACATTCACAATAAAAAGAAACCTTAAACACCTCTTAATATAAAAATAGCACAATTTTTACTTAAAAATAACTTACGCACGATGAGGTCTTCCAGCATAATGCGAGTCGGCATGAGATTTTGATGTGATATGCACATCACACAACTCACAATACAACTCACGTGATTTAAGTGGAATCTAAAAACATCCATTTTTAATTGAAAAAATAAGTACATAACAATGTAAGCAAGGTAATATTCATTTTTAGCTGGAATGGACACAAAATAAACCTTATTGATTGGATTTTATATAAAATTATTTATATTGGTTGAACAACACGTTTAGAGAAACGTGAAGTCAGACAATTATTTCCAATGCAAGTTTCCATTTTGGCGACAATGTTCACATAATATCACTTGATTTAAGCTGTCAGCACTCATCAGCTATGATGGAGACAGCGGCACAAGTGAATCTTTCTTTCAATATTCTTGAAATTTTAATCTTTAAGGTAATGTGTAAATGTGAATTAAATCTATGCTGAAACTGTATAATGACCCATAATAAGCAGATAAAACAATGCAATATGATAATTTACTATTTACTTTCAAATAGTTGAAAACCAGTTAGGTTAAACTGGTTTAGTTTAAAAAATTAAAATTTATGTGAACATACAAGGTCGACAAAACATCTATCGAAACATTACATTGTCAAATTGTCCATTTACCTCTTTCTGATTAGATCCACCATCATTCGATTTCGACACCCATTTTCTCAGATTCTTCGCATGATTTTTTGAAAGGTAATGCAAACGAGCTGCAAATAAATGTAGTTAAATTGATGGAATAACAAAAAACTATTAAAATTCAAAGATTCACATATATCCTAGTCATTGACTTACACATTCCAAAAGAGTCCAATTCAAGAGCACAAACACCACAGTACTCAGGCTCTATTTTGTGCAATATTTCTCTAGGAATGTTTTTCAAACTGTCCTTTGTAAGTCCACAACCTGAAACAAACCTATCCTTTAAAAAAGAATAAAAGCTATATTGAAACTGCTCATAAAAACAAAGAATAATTTTATAGATTTTTAACATATGTTTAAATTTAAAATCAATGATTATTTTTTACTAATGATTTTTCATAGTCACAACATATCAGCAAAAAATACAAAGTTACTAATATCACACATCTTACTGAATAAATGGATTTTCCATTCACATTAGGCTAGTTGCTTTTTCTGGTTTTGGAATATTAACCAACAAACAGAAATCAATTTGGAAATATTACACCATTTATAGCCAAATATCTATCTCTATTCTATACTTTGATATTTATAATTATTTTTTTATCCTACTAATTACTTATGAATTAAAAAATATTTACTAACGCATTAAATATCTTTTAACTCTCTCCACTCTGTTAGGTCTTCGCATAGCAGGGCCATCCGGGCCAAATCCTCTTCCAAATGGGTTTTGATTGGGTAAAGGCCCAAACATTGGTCCTGGTCCTGGTCCAAACATGAAGTTCGGAGGGGGTCTTGGTGGATGATCAAACGGTCCAGGACCTTGGTCGTCAGACCAATAACCCCCATTGTAATTTCCAAATGCATTGCTGTATTCGTTATTCCTATAAATATTTTAAAAAAATGTTACTGGCACAATTGTTCTATTTAATTAGTAAACATAGAATTTTATCTGATGCTTGTGTTTTGCTATGTATGTATTCAATCACTTTTATGCATTAAAAATAGGTAACATACTGATTTATATAGAAAACATGTAGAGGCAAGAAAACAGTAACAAGGCATAGTGTGATGTGTCATGGGTACCACTTGCCTGTTTCTGACGCAAAATAGTCAGAAATGCAACAGGCATGCAGCAGAAATTGAGAAAAAATATGACATCCTTTAGTAAGGTCTCACAAATGTTAACAATCCACACAATGAAAAACTATGAGTTTTTTTTAGTTATTGTATGAAACTATTATGTTTTATAAAACTAGTATTTTGTACTATCTACATAGTAAAGTTCTGTACCATTCTTATCACCTCCTTGTACTTTTTATTTGGACAAAATATTTTTATTACTATTCATAATCAACAATGAATACACAACCAGTCTTATAAATGAACATGATTACTTCAAGCAAGAAACAATCTGTTATAGTCAGAGCTTCTTGAATTTTATGAAAAGGTTGCCGTCTGTTTGTATATTTCAAAGAAAAACAGAGAGGTGATTTTTCAGAATGCTATTTAGAATGATACTATTTCTCTGATGCATTACCAAATTTGTTTTGATTTACCAGAAACTAGAAAGGTTTTGTTGGGTTGTGTCAAATTAAATGTGCATGAGATATTCTCTCAGATCTCAGGACTAGCCATGGCATATTTGCTTAATTGCCTAGCAATGTCTAATACAGTATAAAAATGTAATGGTTATTATTATTATTATTGTCCAGAGTAAATTTTAAAAATAAACAATTTGTCATAAATATGTTTGTGGGATATTGAGAATATGGAGATTATGTATGTGTTACTATATATTTATTAATAATCAATTAAAATAATTAACCTGTAATTACTTACATATTTACTTATATAAGTAAATACAGATACTTTACATAAATAAAAAAGGTACTTTATTAGATTATTTGTAAAATATGAAACTATGATCACTAGCTCATTTGTTTCGTGACGTGTATCATGAATTGATGAGCGAATGAAAGAAAAATGACTGAGTGAGATAGATGCATTGTGTTGCCGGCTGACAAGAATGACCATTTACTTCACACTAATTTCATTTCAACGTATTGGGTTGTCAAGGAAAAATGTACATAAAACAGTGTAAATAAACTATATTGCATATTAATAAGTGTATATATAGGCCCTGACAGTTACAAACCGAACTGACCATTGTAAATATTCTAATACAAAGTGAGTGATATATGTATACTGATCTAGATGAAGAAATGAATGAATTGAGAGACGAATCAATTTGGATCACTGAGCTAGTGATATAATTGAGCTAGTGAGCTAAATGAGTGATAATATCTTTAGAGCGAAATGATATGTATCTCTTTTCAGCTCAGTGATACATTTTGCGCATCACTAGATTAATATAATTTGAATATTTTTGAACAATTTTGAATGTACGGTCTTGAAACATTAGAGAATTCAGGTATTTCTTTAATATATATATTAGATTTAAGGTACTTATAAACATTATTCTAACCATTTCACATTACTCGCTACATTTATGGCCTTCATCAAGTTACAGTTTGCAGTAATAATAATTAATCATATAATATGTTATAACTGGTAATAAAAATTATGAAAAAATACCTTATCTTTCTTCGCGGAAGTCTAGGTGGCTCTTCAGTCCAGCCACAATCTTCATTCATTTCATATTCTTCACGGCTGTTCATTTTGTAGAACGGAATACTACAAATTGCATAAATTTATGGTTATTTTTCTTCAATATAATAAAAATAAAGCCAAAAATGTTTTATTATTAAATAATTTTTTATTATTATTCTGTAAAAACATCGGTTTATTCGACGCCATTTTATCGGCGAAAACTACAATTGCCAACATTTGGTTAATCATTTATTGTAGATTCATTGATTTGCTTCCGAGTAATTACAGTGATATTTCTCAAATCACAAGTAAAACAACAAAAACACCAAACTATACTCTATTTTTAAAACTATGTATAGCTACTAGCTTAACAATTGAACAAAATGTTACCTCATAATGCTGAAACCGGTATTGGAATGTTTATGAACTGTTTCAATCTATACAACGTTATTACAGATTTTTTTCAATACTAAATGAGTACTTCACAATTACGAAGCCTGAACAAAAACTCTCCAATAGTCTCCTGTCCTATTAGTTTCCAAACTAAATTGAAGATCAAAGCTATAGAACACGAAACGAAACGTAGGCAAGACACTCAAGAGAGATAGTAACAAATTATTTTTTTAAGAGATTTTATGACCTGGTAACTAAGACCTTTAGGTCATGTCTTATTTTTATTTATTGTTTTTATGAAAAATGATAATATGGAGTGAAATGAAGTGAGGATGATTAATTTGAGACATTAATCAACTGGGATGAAATTAAACGAAATGAGATGACATGATATAGGATGAAATTCTCTCTCTCTCTCTAAATAGACAAAATAAAACAAGTCACACAACTTCACTCCTCGCGTTCCCGCCAAATAATATGTCGATAATATGTGACAAAAACAACTGTACAATATTTTTCCAAAGATTTTATGATCTGGTAACGAGAACTTTAAGCCTTCTTCTTCTTCTTTATAAGAAGAAGAAGAAAAGAAGTTCTACGTGCTACCGCGTGACCGAGCACCACAGTTACATAACTCATGACGGCTGTTTGTTGTTTGATGTTCACTGCTATAAATAGGCATAAACGAATGAAGTGATGATACGGTTATCGCTGATTGATAACTCAAATGTGATACCAAAAATAAATACCTATTATCTAAATAATATAGGTACACTCAGTTTCATTGTATAATTTTAAAAGTGAGCTTATAAAAGTACATATTGATTGGTACACTGTGTTGCAGCTGGAGTTCAAGCTGGAGCTATAATCACCCAACCAACCACTTAATGCCCTACGTTGTCAAAATTGTTGTTTTAAATATATTATATAGAGAGAGAAAAAATATACATGTTTGAATAAGTTCGAGACTTCAATAATTTTTTTAGAGAAACTGAAGGGCCACATTCAGTAATATTTAAAATTTTCACACCTTCCGTGTACCTTCACAGATACTAAACTGATAATGTATAAAACAAATAAAACTTGGTATTTTTAAATTGCTATATAGTGCAGCTTTATTAATATCAATCAAATTTGAATTCGAAATTACCTACTTGAAATTGTGATTTTACGATTAATTACTAAAGTTCTATCTCTTTATAGTCATTGGACAAAGCTTTAATATTTTGCAGCGCATTTGAGAATTCACCCTCTTCAAGGCCTTCGCCAATATAATGGTGTACAAAAGCACGTTTGGCAAACATCACAGAAAATTTTTTGCAAATTCTTTCCCAAGCAACACGTATTGCGGAACTATTTGAAACCATTACTGCAGCTCTTTGCATTGCGGCCAGATCTCCTCCCGGGACGGTTGTAGGTGGCTGATAATTTAAGCCAATCTGTCCAAACAAAACAAGACTGATCTTTAGGAAAGTTCAACTTTATCTCCTGTATGTCACTAACGCTAAATGTATTCTCGTTGGTTGTTTCCATGGTGCTTTCAAAATGATGACGTCAGTGTGAGCGTTGCTGAGGCCATTCTCTTCTTATTCATCAGTGCCTTCTATAGTGACAGTAATTAAGACTGACTTTTCCAATGAATTCCATTTATTACATTTCTAGTGTACAGCAATAACAACAGAGAACTCCGCCTCCGTCGGCTGCTCGAGTCGGAATGCTTTGAGCTTTTTTTCCTTACCGAAGCTGATGGCCCTGAGACACCATTTCAGCGTCACCCTAGCTCACGGGGCTCGAACGTGACGACGTTGCTAACACTATCCCTAGCCAGAGCACTACTTCGTAGAGTCTACCACCGGATTGGAAACGCGCCCCACTGAGAAGATCCGGCGAGAAACTCAGTGGGCTGTGTCTGTGGGTTAATTTACTCGCCGAACCATTCGTCACAAGCGACGGGTTCGATGAGAACGATGACCGGTGCTTGGGTGTTTTGTGCGACAATAGCCAGTCGTATTTATAGTAGAATAGTGGGGGTAGCATAATCATGAATTCTCTTGAATACCGTGGTAAACAGTTGTTCACGTGCGTAACATTAAGGAAACAGTTAACTTTAACTATTTTTAGTTAACTAAATAGTAACGTTGCGCCGACAAACCAATTAAGTTTTTGGCCGTTTTCTAATTACAGCACAAGAGCGCATATGCGGCATAATGCTCAACTAAGCTTCAGCATAATTCGGCATTGTGCGTCACTGAGTCGCATTATGCTCTGTAATTAACCATTACTTAATGGTAGTTTTCCAAGTTTCCAAGTGTTAGACCAAACGCAGAGTGGCGAATAGTAGAATTCACAAGTTTGACTGCGAAACACGCTTCGGGACAGAACGTTTTCAGCAATTCTTCCTTTCACATATATATTGAATAGATGCCTATTTACATTCTTTAACATTTATATAATTAAATACATTTACCTTAAAACCGGTAGGTGACCAAGAAACGAATTTGATAGATCTTGAGTTCTTTACGTGGTTAATTGTTGCATTTATATCATTTGGATTTACATCTCCTCTAAATAACAAACAGCACGATATGTATTGTCCTTTTCGCGGGTCGCACTTAACCATTTGATTAGCCGGTTCGAAACAAGACATCATTAGTTGATTTGTTGTCATCGTCTCATGGCATGCTCGTGAAGGTGAAACAAATGGCGCAAATGTTACTAATGGAAAATGTATCCGTGGAAATGGAATTAAGTTTGTTTTAAATTCTACGAGATCTACGTTCAGAGAACCTTTGAATCTTATCGAAGCAGTCATGCAGGAAACAACCTGCATAAAAACAATATGTTATTGTATTCTGTTGTTATTTAATAGAAGAATAGAAATGGACTAGACTGAAATTTTTTTTATTTATTGCTTAGGTGGGTGGACGAGCTCACAGCCCACCTGGTGTTAAGTGGTTACTGGAGCCCATAGACATCTACAACGTAAATGCGCCACCCACCTTGAGATATAAGTTCTAAGGTCTCAAGTATAGTTACAACGGCTGCCCTACCCTTCAAACCGAAACGCATTACTGCTTCACGGCAGAAATAGGCAGGGTGGTGGTACCCATCCGCGCGGACTCACAAGAGGTCCTACCACCAGTAATTACGCAAATTATAATTTTGCGGGTTTGATTTTTATTACACGATGTTATTCCTTCACCGTGGAAATCAATCGTAAACAATTGTTGAGTACGTATTTCATTAGAAAAATTGGTACCCGCCTGAGATTCGAACACCGGTGCATGGCTCAACACGAATACATCGGACGTCTTATCCGTTACGCCACGACGACTTCTTATTAACTTCGAATTAACCTAGTATTACTTAAACAAACGGATGGTTGCTAAGTTTATTGCTCTAAAGTCTAAACAATCCCATGCCTCATTGAAGAACATAATATTATTTCTTATAACATATAAGTTTAAGAAGACAAATGATATTGAGATGTCAATGGACATGCGTGAATGAACATTTTTATTGATAAATAAAATACAAGGAAACTTATCGAGCTTAAAGCCGTCCGTAAAACTTATATTTACCTGGGCAATAAGTCTGTTCAAATTTGTGTAAGTCGGTCTCGGTACTTCTAACGATCTGGCTAGAATATCATACAACGCCTCATTATCAAAAAGAAAACATACGTCTTCTGTGTTCATACAAGCGTGGGAAGTAAGAACGGCATTATAAGATTCGACAATAATTGGAGATATTTTCGGTGCTGGGTAAATCGCGTACTCTATTTTGGACAGTTTCCCAAAATCGCGCGAAATACTTTCCAGAAGTAAAGCTGTGAAACCAGAACCTGTGCCCCCTCCAAACGCTCGAAATACAATAAAGCCCTGAATATTATCACAATCTTCTGTCACTGATCGAATGCGGTTCAAGGCCACATCCAACATTTCACGACCTACGCCAAAATAGCCGCGTGCAAAGTTGCTAGCAGCATCTTCTTTACCAGTTATTAGAGAAGAAGAATGGAAGAGCTGTCGATATACACCAGTTCTAATTTCATCTGAAAGCAACTTTTATTTAATATAAGAATTTGTTAAGTTGAAGAAAAACTTTCTTCACCTAGACCTAAGAGATTAAAAATAATAATTACTGAAGATTCATGTGTTTTACATGTGACAACCTTCAATAACGATATACAAGCTCTACAAGCCGTGCAACGTACAGGTGGTGGTGTTCTTTTCGAGTACTAAGTCAACGTATTCAAGTCAAGAATTAATTATATTATTTTTTAAGTTAACCGATGGGAGTAGGCTCTAAATCAATCATCACAACTCGAGGCACGAATTTTCCAGCACCGGTTTCACTAAAAAAATGTCCACAACTATTATCATTATCAGGAAATGCTAGAACTCCATCCGGTCTTATCCCGTGTTCAAGACAATACAATTCCCAACAGGCGCTAGCGGCTTGCACACCGGCTTGTCCAATGTGTATGTGTAGAATTTCTTTCTGTAATGAGAGGAATAGATATGTAGAGATTAGAAAAACGAAACCATTTTAGAATAGAAATATTATTCCAAACCATTTTCAATTAATCACTGTAAATTTTGGGTTTTATCACATTTTGTTTAATTTGCAAAGTAATATTTTAAAATGTCACATCTCACTTGACATTGATTTTCTGCCACATCTACATGGCTCTGTCTTTTAATGGATTAAATAGTATGTTATTTGTGTATGTTTCTCATATATTTTTACGAACCAATTCCACAATAAAGGGACATTCAACATTTTATACCATCTTCAATCGAACTTTGACCAGATCTCTTAGCAATAGACAGCGACTTCTATACTTTTGGGATTGCTGATGCTCATGATTGATGGTGACTTCTTATCATCGGATGAGCCATATACTAATCTGCCTTCAAATTAAGTCGTAACTAGTGTCCACGATCTGACAACCAGTCCGCCTGGATCCATTGCCGCTGTCCTTTTTTGTTTCTACCACAAAAAGATACGAGTTATTTAGAGTTGTTAATTCACTGAAATTGAGACTTCGACCCTTGATATCAAATTGTAATTATAAGAACTCATTTTCCGATGGATTGAAATTAGCTTATGAGCGCCCGTGCCACTTGAAAACGGCGTTGAGTCGAGACTAGGATTGCATTTTTGATATCAATGTCGTAAATAATCCACCTAGCATTAAATATCTACTCCAGAGGCATGTGACTCTCGATGCTGACGATTCAGTCGAGATTGATGATACGCTGATTGTATTTTTTGAATAGTGCCTTATTAACCGCTTCGTAATCCTGAAAATGTACAAGTGTGTGAAAACGAAACAGAATCGCTCGACATGGCTTATTTTGTTCTTTCGAAAAGAAGTGTATTTTTTTGTCTTATGAAGCGCTAGCCACAAGCATACGGCCTTGATGCTGAGTGATTATCAATTTATATAAACTGGTATAGTTAAGCCACTGCCCACTGCTTAGTAATAAATTAATATCAGTTTATGTAAACATATTTCGTTTGAATAAGGTTATTACAATATAGCACCCAGAAAATACCATGAAGGGGATACGTCCACGCAAAAAATCTCTGGCCACGGACTGTGGATGCGCACAGTGTTTCCAGTGGTCTGTAAGCTTTACGCGCGCCAGTGGCGGGTTGTGCGATAGTAAAGTGGAGATGGATTATTCTCGAGCAATTCTGATAGCTCACTAATTCTGAGAGAACATTAAAACTATTACGAAACAAATTCTTTTAACTAAGAAACTATTTACTTCATTTGATTTTAATATCTTATCGAATTCCATTTGAATGTGGTACATTTTTTTTTTTTTAACAATATTTAAGCCCCTTGTAAGATTTGAGTATCATGAGCTAGGTTCCCATTGGTAGTCCAAAACCACAAATAAAAAAAGAAAAATGAGGTTTTTGACAATAAATCACCACAGATTAAACAATAAATCAGTGATATTTATTCGTATTTAGTCATAATTTTCATAAATGTCCTAAGTAAATTGCATTACATTCGAATTATCTTTATATAAAGTTAAGTTTAATAAATCTCTATTTTTTTGTTTTGTTAATATTTGTGAATTATTCATCTACGGCGTGCTAATTTACTTTCGTGTCAGACACACCTTTAACTAACGACTAGCTTCGCAATACGTACCTATATACATTAGTTATGTATGTAAAAAACTCGTTTGTTAGAATATAGTGCTTGAAAATGTTTAAGAAATTGAAAGATAAACTTGCTGAGGAAGTGAAATCCTCACCACAGAGAATTCAGCAATTCGCCCAAGCCGCCCAGGTTTGTACCAAGTGAAAGCTATAATGTATCTGTTTGTATTTTTTCTTATGTAGATTAGTAAAAATTAATATGGAATAACGCAATATTGAAACTTAAATATATACTTTAACACTCATTAAAATAAATCTGATTATCTGTTGTCTACTTAAACTACATACATAAAATTGACCTAAAAATGTAATCAAATTTCAGGCTGCTGTAACATCAGCATCAAGTAGTATTTCAGATATCACAAATAGTGACCTATTTTCTATAGGAGAAAATGGTAAGAAAATAAAATTAATCTTAATGAAACCAAAGTATATAAAAGTTTGATAAGTTATTCGAGTGGTGTTGCAACTGAAAATTTAGCAGTAACAACAAAAAAAAAATTAATTTCGGTAATACCTTTTGTTTTTAAATATAGACCACTCTAAAAATTTCTTGATAATTTCATCAAACTAGGTCTGGCTAATTTAGAGTCTATAGGGAACATACACACAGCAAGTTTTATTTATAAAGATTTATTCTCTAATGTAATCTGTATCAATAAGCATAATTTTTAATGAAATGTATTTTTATTCCAATGTTATTAAATCCATAAAAGGTAAGAGTCATTACATCATATTTCTTTTGCTGGTATTTGTAGTACAAAAGTTGTATCTTAATGTCTATTATCTATAATAAGAACAAGATAAGCATTTGTTCATCTCCTACACTTACTATATATTATATCATATTTTATGCATCTGGGTATTATTGTTGAATATTGATGTTGATTGCTTGTTGTTGTTGAGTGTGAGTCTTGATTTCATGTTTTTATTTCTATTGCTTAGGTGGATGGACAAGGTTGGAGCCTACCTGGTGTTAAGTAATTACCTGAGCCCATTGACATCTACAACGTAAATACCACCAGCCACCTTAAGACAAGAGTTCTAAGGTCTCAGTCTTAACAGTACAATAGCTGCCCCACCCTCAAACCGAAACGCATTACTGCGTCACGGTAGAAATAAGCAGGATGGTGGTACCTACCTGTGGGGACTCACAAAATGTCCTGCCAAAGGAATTATAAATTTGCGGCTTTGATTTTTATTACACTACATTATTCCTTTAAATGGAAGTGAAAGTCAATCATAAACATTGAATTTTGTTAAGTACATAATATGTATTTCATTAGAAAAGTTGCTTTTGGCTGCAGGATTTGAGCACCATTGCATCGCTTGAAATGAGTGCACTGGGAGTGTTATTCATTCACAATGACTTCACAATTGAATTCTTCAACTCAAGTATTAGTAAATTAATTAAGTCTAAAGTCCACTCTGGTTTTGTGCAGTTATCTTGGAGAAAATTGTAGTGCTTTCTCAACTCTTATGTAAAAAAGTTGTTTTATAGACAGTATTAAACTAATTAAGTACTTTTAATAGAAGAACTTCAGTCACTGCACTCACAGCATTGGTAAAAATTCATGTCTGGTTGATATAAACATTCAGTAATTTTCTTATATGCTTTAATTAAATATATTATTAACAAAACACAACGTGAAGGAATCCAGTTCTAGTTAGTTTTTCTTTGTTGTATTGACCTAGGATAGTCTCACCTCAGCTCATCAGCCAATCAACACTCACAAAGTAACGGTTACAACATAAATTTTAGTAAATATTCCAACTAACCTACTCTCTGCTATGGTCTCTAGATTAACCTATGAGATACACAACACAAAATACGAACATATAATAATTTTTCTTTACAGATAGTCAAACATTTCATTCAACTAAATCACAGCCATCAACTGTCTCTCAAAGTAATACTTTTCGAGATGTCTCGCCCATGCAAACAACAACAACTGAATCAACTGAATACAATTCTGGACAAGACTTAAGTGTAAGTTGAATGAATACAATTCTGTTGAAGAAAAACCTAAGATTAAATAGTAAAGTAGAATTGCATCTGTAATTGGTGATCTTGAAATATTTTTCAGCAAGATAATGAGCGTCAAAGGAGACTGTCTAACAGTTCTTTTGCGAGTGATGTATCCTTCAGACTACCCAGCTACGACACACCAATGATGTACCACTTACAAGTATGTCATATTTATTTCGTTAATTATGAGTATGTAACAAATTTTTTTCAGTAGGAAGCAGTTTGTCTGGGTCCCTGACATTAGTGACGATAACCTCTCTTCATCAGATGGGCCGTATGCTCGTGCAGTAAAAACAACTTTTGGTGATTTAGGCACAACTACTTTGCTGAGTTCTAAATCAAAACAAAATTATAAAGTTGTAAGCGTTATTTAATCATCATTTCTGATGGCTAGTAAAGTTCTGATATATAAATGCTTAAAGATTTTGGGGCATTAAGAGCGAAGCATCTGTCACTTCCCCACAACAAGAGAGTATAATAATATATGGTATAAAATTTGAATCGCAACCGATAGTCATTGTACAGAACAACGCGCGAATGGTAGATTCAGCGCTTTGCCACTCTTGCTAGATGTCAGCAAACTCTTTCAGGCTGAGTCCATCCAGTCAGAGTGAGTAGCCTCTGGGCGTTACTAGCATATAAGAAGGGAAAAATATGAGCATGACATTAAGAAATTTGTATTTCCTTATTCCTTAACAGAGCTATTTTGTATTAATTTGCTGGTCTCAAGTTTTTGTTAAATTTTTATACGACCATAACACAAATCAGTTAACACCCAAATTACCTAACTTGAAAAGTTCATGTAATAATGATTTAACAATAGGTTTTTACCTATGAGATTGCCGTTTTACAATACTGGCTATTTGAAACATGGCTGGCAATAATTCTAAATTCAAATAAATTTTATTTTAAAAATAAGGAATTCTGTTATCTTATTGTGTCATTCGTTTATTGATTAATATTGTTTTGACTACGAATCTTTTTATCAATATGAACACATCTACGGAGGAACATTTCAAGTGAACGCAGGACTCGTTATTGTTTTTTAAAAATACCCCTAAAAATAATAGTAACTGTTTAGTTATCTAGTGCTGATATAATTAATTCATCACAGCTTCGTACCAAATGGTACGCGCATTACTGCTAATGTCTACTGTTAGGAACTGGACACAATAATTAATGCAAAAGCTCGGGAATCTCTGGCTAGCCTTGGTTAATTACTCGTCCCTGCTACTCCTACACGACAACGCTTGACCTCATACGGCACAACAGACGGTCTCTAAGCTGTAAGAGCTTTGAGGGAGTTTGAAATTTTGCGTCATACTCACCAGAGTCTGCCGACAGACTTCTACTATTTCCAAAGTTTGTACAGCTTGATGACAGGGAAAAAATTCAATACCCGAGAGGCAGTACAAAATATCTTTGAATTTCTCCTGTTCTCTATTGTCTCCTTTACACCTGATTTTTTCAATAATGGCATTGAAAAATGATCACTGTACTGGCAGAGATGCATATGATTATGATAACATGGGTATGATTCCATGGGAATTTTGACCGATAGTATATATTTATAAAAAAAGACTTTTAAATAAAAACTGTCAACTAAACGGTAGTTTTGTAGGTAAATACCTAATATAAATGTAAACATTTTTAAAAGAAATAAACTTAAATTTGATAATAATGTAAAGCTTCTGTTTGTTTAGTCTGATATTGAAGTATCTGCAAGTGAAGCTGAAGAAAGAGGCTTAAATGGTAGCACAGTGAGCCTCGATCGTGTCACTAAAGAACAACTGTATGCTGCCTATAAACGAACACAGGAAAGATACAAGAAATATAGGACACAATATGGAGACTTAGCCAGACACTACAAGCTCTTAGAGAGAGAAAATACTAAAGCAAGGGTAAAATAAAAAATATTTTGATGTTTTACAACTGGCTGGTTCTATATTTGTATGCCTTAATTATTTATTTTATTTTATTTTAGAGTGTCTTAGTTGAAACTCAAGATAAAGCCTTACGGAGAATATCGGAATTGAGAGAACAATGCTCACTAGAACAAAGTGCAAAAGTATGTAATATTATTGCATAATACGAAATTTACTAGACGTCTACTTTTACATACAAATTTTTACAATTATATTTAAAATTTTAGGCACATTTAGAAAAAGCTCTTCGTGTGGAAATTGAAGAAAAAAATATGAAAATTGAGACTTTGAACACGAAAATACAATTCCTCTCCAATAGTACAAGTGCAGAAATTCCTACCAATATAGTGGATAACAATAAGATTATTATCGACAAAGATAGCAATTTACCTTTAATTAATTTAGTAGAAAACGAAACAAAGGTGTCCAATGATGAATCGAAATTGCCAGTGTCATCAGATTTAACAGTGTTAAATGAAAAAATGGAAAAAATGGAATTATTGATACAGAAATATAAAGAATCATTGAAGAGCACAAAAGACAAAAATTCTCAATTAATAACCGAATTGCAAATAATGACTAACAAGCTAGAAAACAAAAGTAAAGAAGTTGAAGAAGTCTCAATACTTAATGAAAAGTACAGAGACGCCAGTGCAAAGATAAAAGAGCTGGAAAATTTAAATGAAGAACTTCAAAATAAAATAAATTCTTATGATTTCAATGAATCGAAAAAAGTTTCTGAACTAGAAACGGATTTACAAAAGGCAAACGAAGAAGTCCAACACCTTCAAAAGAAAATAGAAGTATTTTCTAAGAGAGAAGAGGAATACGCTATTTCTCTAGCAGAGAATAAATTGAGCATCCATAAAGAATTGGAAAGTAAAGAATCCGAAATCAAATCGTTAAAACATAGTTTGACCGCTAGTAAAAAAGAAATACAATCTCTAAGTATTGTCGTCACTGACTATAAAAATAGCATAGAAGCACTCGAACAAGAAAAATCTAAATTAGTTATTGAGAATAGTGAGATAGCAACCTTGAAATCTAAAGTTGAAGAATTAGAAACACATCTACAAGAACTTAATAAAAAAAATCAAATTCAAGAACAACAACACACCAAATTGAATGAAGAATATAAATGCCTGCAGCTTCAATTAAAACAAGAAATGGCTGAAAAATTAGCTATGATGGACAGAAACGCCTATTTAGAAAACCGTATTTCCCAAATATCTGAAGAGATCTCGAAGAAAAGTTCTCAAGTTAATCAATTAGAATCTAAATTACAATCTTTACAAAACGATAAAAGTAACGAAAGCATTGGAAAAGAAAAAGAAATACTGACTGAGCTAAACATTTGGAAGTCCAAGTATGATAAGCTTGAATCAGAGATGCAGGAAGAAAGAGAAGAATTAGTTAAATTACAATCGGAAATAGAAAAGCTGATTGAAAATCACGAACATATTCAAAAACAAAATGTAGAATTTCGGACAACTATCTCGGATTTACAGGCTGAAACTTCAATTTTAAATCGACAACTAAGTCATTATAATAAAATAAAAAACGATACAAATAAAATATTGGCTGATGTGGGAAAACTACGCGAATTAATAACGTTAACTTCGAAAGATATTTTCGCGAATGTAAAAGACCATGTGGATATGATTAAAACAATTAAAATAGACATTAACAATAATATGAAAGAACTTTCCAACAACGAGCATATCAATTATGTTAATAATGAGGAACTCCGAAATGAGTGTTTGTTACTTCAAAGAAACATAAATGACATAACAGCACTGCAATCTGAAACGAATAAAACTCTAACAAAATTAAAAGAAGAAAATGTCTCTTTAACTTTAACAATACAAAAACTTACTGCAGATTTACAGGAAAAAATTGATGTCGATGAAAAATATTGGAACGCGTCCAATGATTTAAATTCATTAAGAAGTGAAAATCAAAGACTCAGTGTACTTATAAAAGATTATGAAAATACTATACAAAATTTGCGTAATTCATTAGATTTACAAAAATCGCAGTTGTCCACACTACAAGAAGAGGTAATTTGCCTTCGAAAAGAAAAAGAGCTCTTTGAAGAAAACTTAAACAAATTGCAGAATATTAACAAAGATTTGGCGTCAGAACAAGACAAACATAAAAACGCAATTGCAACAAATGTAGAAATGATTAATATTTTAAGGACTAAAAATGATGACTTGCTGGAAAAAAGCGATGAATTGAACAATAAGTTAATAAACTACCAACAACTAGAAGAACATCATAAGTTATTAACACAAGAAAACTCTTTTCTTAAAAGTCAAACTGAAAATATCGCAAGCAATGTACGAGAATTAGAATTCGAAATAAATGAGGTAAGAAAATCTCATTCTGCTATTGAATCAGAAAAAGAACATTTAAGTAATGTCATCGAACAAATAGAAAACCGACGTACATTGCTAGTTTCAAAAGATACACAAACAGAATACAACGAAATAGAAACGGAACTCGACAAAGAAAAAAACTTATCTAATATAAAGATAATAAATGAACTTAGCGAGAAGTATGATGCCTTAAAAGGAGAAAATAGACGGCTTTTGTCTGACATTGAAGGACTCCAAACACATTTAACGAAAACATCAAAAGAAAACAGCTTACTCAATGACAAACTCCGTGAGCAAATTGCAACAAGTGAAACAGGGAACTACATGTCCCATGACTTGAATAATGACATTCGGTTGGCTAAAGATAAAATTGATCACTTAACAAGGGAGAATACACTTTTAAATGAAGAAAATCTGGAACTAAAAGACCAATTACAGTCACAGGAATATTGCAAACCTACAAATGCTGATCAGTGTTTTGAACACAAAGGTGAAAATGAGCTGTCTGAAATTAAAGAAAAATATTACACATTAATACAGGCTAATAGCAAAATAGAACAGAAAAATATTGATTTGGAACAATTGAACAAATCATTGAATGTAAACATCCAAGATGTACAAGCCAAAAACGAAAAATTGAAACTTTCGAATGAAAAAATAGAGCGCAGGCTCGATGAAGCTTTAGTTAGTTTAAGACATTTGCACTCTTTAGAAGAAAATACCGAGCTAGAATATTTAAGGAATATACTCTATGAATACCTTACAGGCTCAGGAACACATTCCATTACTTTAGCGAAAGTTTTAGCTGCAGTAGTCAAATTTGATGACAAGCAAACCCAAATGGTTCTTCAAAAAGAAAAAGAAAGACAAGGTTTTGTAAGTATAACCCAACCTAACTTAATTAACTATAATAAAAATTCTCCCTAATATTAAACATAGGCTTTATTTGAATGATTCTGATAATATAACAGATTCTAGTAATTATTTTTTCTATTCTATCACCCAACATTTCATAATCATCCAGGTGAATAGTTCAATTATTTTGACAGACGACCATGAATTTTAACTTGTATCTCTAAACAGGGTATTTTTTTCAGCTAAGGCAACTCCGACTCACGTGAGACAGTAACAAATGTAATTTAACTATACTAGAAGAACTTTAGTTAAAATTCGACTACAGAACATTAACTTTGTAAATTTAACAAGCAAATGTATTTATTAATAATGTTATATAATATATTCAATTTCATTATTGTTTTACTTTTCACATATTTCATTTCAATGTCCTATTAATATACCTATTGTTAAACAATGTGAACATGATAGATGGTGGTATTTTTTTTTCAAAAGGCAACAAGTCTTAACCTTAGCCAAGTTGGTTTCTGAAACGTTGAAAGTCTTTTAAATACACTTAGTGTGTACAAACACATTTTAATACAAAGACAGAACAGAGCTATTTTGAATCAACAATAATTCATAAACAAAAAGTACGGTACTTCAACTTTTTTTCCCTACCTAAACTGATGGTCTAGACTTAGAGAGATCATATCAGCGTAACCTTAACTAGTAGGTGAGCTCACCGGGCTCAAACCTGACTATGTTGCTAACACGAACACTAGCAAGAGCCGTGCTTCGCAAAATCTACCACCAGATCGGAAACGCGACCCACTGAGAAGATCCGGCGAGAAACTCTGAGCTGTGTCTGTGGGTTAATTTACCCGCCAAGCCCTTCGTCGCAAACGATGGATTCGACGAGAACGACGACCGGTACTTGGGGTACCTAAAAGCTTAGTGGATCGGGAGGATCCGAAATGACCATTTAAGTTCTAAGGCATGTTTAAAATAAAAGACGAATTTGAGAATTCCAATTATATTTATTTTACGTTTTTATATATATATTTTAATGGTACTAGACTATTTTCCAAGTACACTGTCAGAATCACTATATTCATCACTAGAAAACTTAAAATCATCATCATCATTTTTCAAATCCATTTTATCCATCTGTGATAATATTTCATCAATAGTTTTAATTGATGCTGGCGTTTTTTTCTGAGTACCATCTTCTTGGTTTTTGAGATACCTGGAAATAATAGAATGTTGTTTTATATTTGTTTTTTTTATCTCTCATCAAGGAGACAAAACTTCCACGCCTTTCGTAATCTATATTATATATTAATACCTGAAGCAAAAACTTTGTATCCCTTTTTACGAAAATTGCGGGACGGAGGAGTATGAAATTTTCCACACTTATAGAGAATAAATAGAGAAGAAGTGCACAATGCCAATATTTTTTTTAAATAATGCATAAAAGATACATTAAATCAATAAAGAAAACATTACGCACACTACATACCATGTATTTGACGCACACACGCATGCATACTATTTATTGTCAAACTTTTGTTATTGACGTCCTCGATCAAATTGAGAATAGATTAAATATTGTTTGTCTTTATTAATATTTTTTTATAGTGTAGCCTTGGCGAAATTTGTGATTATAGAAGTACAGAACACAATCATAATAGTGTACAAACCTAAAATTCCAATTAATTACAGTTCAATTTAGACTACTGCGGGACCTCTAGTTTTAATAAATTGCATTAATAATAATAAAAAAATTGTATAAGCATGTTTGAAACATTGAGGTCTCTAAACTTTACATTTTATTTAGTAGCAAATATTTATAAACATTACACAACAGAAAATCTTGATGGAGCTGACAATATATTTGTCAGTTACATGTACAATATTGTGAAACTAAATGTACTGTGACTAAGTTATAATTTCATTATTAGAAAAAAATTTAAATATATGTAATATGGAAAGTAAAATAAATTTAATAAGTAATTAATAATGTAGAACTTCCGAATCAGACATAATGGTAACAAATTGAGACAGAACAAGCGCACAGCAGCACTTGTATTATTGTTTCCATCAATTGCTGAACATTAAATAACAGGTGGCAAATAGCTTCAACCACTTTATTATAATAAAACTTCATTAGATACCTAATAAATTTATGAAATGTACATTACCTAAGAACTGTTCTACGCTTTCTTTCTGACAAACCACTTAATTTACCCAAAATATCAGTTTTTTTGTCTTCTTGTTTTTCTATCTGAAATAATTAAGCATATGAGTCGACTATTATCAAAGCCGGCAATGTGACTTTTGGACAACTATTGGTAAATCAGAAAAATGAATTATTGACTTTGTATTCCATTGGCAGTCACAAAACTCTTCTGATCGACATCTTAGATAAATAACAGGTTAAGTATTAACCTTTATTTAATGCAGGTTTTGAACCGTATTCTTTGAAGGAGACGATTATATTCAAATCAATCTGTATTGACATATCAATAACATTTTTTTTGTCCAAATGCACAGATTTTGATAATAGACGACTCATATTATATAATATTATAGACTAATTAGCATGAATTTATGAACCATAAAATTGATTCTTTAAGTTTGCCTATTTTTTGTCACAAAAATCTAAATAATAGGTTGCGGAAAGACTTTTCGCATTATAGTATGTATGAACTAGTAATAAAATCTCTTTGGCTATACTACTTGAATCTGGCTGGTTTTGGTATCATTAAAATTTTAAATTTAAAAAAAGATAAAAGTGGAGCAGGATCAGCATATTAGTAGTTACGACGTAGCTGAAGAACTGGGAATTGACCACAAAATAGTTTTGGTGCATTTAAAAAAGAAGGGTTCACAAAAAAGCTCGATATTTGGATACCTCACGAGCTCACTTAAATCATAGACTGTGGCGAAACCCTGGTTAACTCCCAACAAGTTGATGCTGTGTGTGTGGTGGCATTGGAAGGGCATTATTCATTATGATGTGTTACCACCAGGCAGGACCATCGATTCTGAACCCTACTGCAGACAACTGATAAGATTAAAGCAAGAAGTTGAGAGAAAGCGGCCGGAATTAATCAATAGAAGAGGTGTGGTTTTTCATCATGATAACGCTAGACCTCACACATCTTTAGCCACTCAGCAAAAATTAAGAGAGCTTGGCTTAGAGGTGTTAATGCATCCGCCGTTTAGTCCTGACCTTGCACCTTCAGATTTCCACCTGTTTCGGTCTCTTCAGAATTCTTTAGGCGGTGTCACGTTAACATCACGAGAGGACTGCCAAAACCAATTGTCGCGGTATTTTGATTAGAAGCCCCAAAATTTCTATAGCAATGAGATCATTTCCCTACCTACAAGATGGTAAAAGTTATCGAACAAAATGGTACCTACATACTTTAATTAAATGTAAATAAACTATATTAAAAAATGTTGTGAATTTTCTTAAAAAATGCGAAGTAACTTTCCCCCAACCTATAATATTTTATTGATAACCTTACATTTATATTTTGACAACATTTTGCGCAAACTTCTTTTTCAGAAGCACATTTGGAGCACAAAACGTGATATGCGTGTTTTACAGTCTTCTCTAAACAACTCGTGCATTTTGTAGGCACTGCAAGTGGTTTATATTTTTTATATTTAATCTTCCATTCGAGAATGTTTTTGCATCGTTGACAAACACCACGTATTTCTAAAGAATTTATAAATTTAGTTTTGTGGCTCGTATCATGCAAATCGTTCTTGAAAGCTGCCCGGTTTTGGTGTTTTTGCGGTCTCGTTCTATTAGTATTTCCTCTGGATAAACTCATGGTGTACAGTTTTGTTTTATTAAGTAGACATCAATTAAATTTTAAACATTTTTTTTTATCGAGATTTTATGACCTGGTAACTAAGACCTTTAAGTCATGTCTTAGTTTAATTTATATTTTTATGAAAAGTGATATTAAGGAGTGAAATGAAATGAAGATGATTATTTTGTGACATTAATCAACTGGGATGAAATTAAATGAAATGCGATGAGATGATATGAAATGAAATATAATCTCAGTAAAATGGTGGTCATTTACTGAGATTTTTTCAGTGGACTTTTTGTGAGGATCCCGAGAAGCTACGTCCAGCGGCTTTGTTTCATTTTCCTACATTTGTGCACTTTCAACGATATAAAACAGTTAATAAACCTCCGTTATTACACATTTAAACCCGAAGAAACACTAAATTAACAAAATAAAACAAATCATACAACTTCACTCCTCGCGTTCCCGCCAAAAAGTCCAAAATTTTAAACATGCTTCTTACACCGGTCACTGACATGCGCACGAATACGCAAACCCGCAAGTGTAGGACGACATTTGCAAATGATTATGCAAGGTTTTCACTGCATTCGTGGTTTTCCAAGCTGTGAGAGAGAGAGAGAATACACTTTATTGCACACCAAAACGTAATTTACATTCAAAAAAAAAATCAAAAAAACAGATACATTTTTACAATAGGCGGTCTTATCGCTAAAAGCGATCTCTTCCAGACAACCGTTTAATTTATAGAAATTCTGGAAAATATAAAAAATATAGCAGGTATGTTGCGGTGTACTATAGATAATACATTATAGAAAATATATACATACAATAAACAAAATATATACCGTTTACATATAATATGAAATATATACCTATATTTATATACCAATTATATACCAATATACATACTTACATACAATACATACTAATATACTTACATACACATAATACATCAACAGTATGGAAATAATAAATGATGATGCAAACAAACAGCACTAAGAAGATAAGTAGTGTGTGTAGTGTAGCTGTGTCGGTTTTTTAACAGACATCAAAGCGCGCGAATCGCGATCCTTCTCGTAGTCTCCCACACATTCGTGTGTCCAGTTGCGCCCAGGATTGTGAAGGCAACGGACGTTTCGCTATTTTCATAGATCGTGACGTCTACTGTGTAGCGTATCTTCATCAAAAGAAATCCCATAAAAACAGCATGGCTGTTAATGATGTCTGGGAAAGAATTCAAAACTCTTTTTCTCTTCAATGTTCTATTGACGAATTAAAAAGGAGAAATTCGTGAGACATTCGTAAACAAGTGTAGGAGGAAGCGCAAACGGGTTTGCAAATTGAGTACCAAGCCCATTTGCACAGCTGCTAAGTTTGAGAATGAATGTTTGATTGCCCTTCACATGCGCGCAAACATTCGTACAATGTACGAATATTTCACTGAAGTAGGAAATCTATGGAAATGAAAAGTCAACAAAAAATTTGAGATTAGGTATATTTCATCCCATATCATTTCATCTCATCTCATTTAATTTCATCCCAGTTAATTAAGGCCTCAAATTAAACATCGTCATTCAATTTAATATCATTTCATTTCATTTCACTACATATTATCATTTTTCATAAAAAGAAGAATAGAAATTAAAATAAGACATCACTTAAAAGTCTTAGTTACCAGGTCATAAAATCTCTTAAAAAAAAACCTAAACCAACTTTTTGGCGGGAACGCGAGGAGTGAAGTTGTGTGATTTGTTTTATTTTGTCTATTTAGTGTTTCTTCGGGTTTAAATGTGTAATAAAGGTGGTTTATTAACTTTTTAATATCTGTGAAAGTGCACAAATGTGGGAAAATGAAACAAAGCCGCTGGACGCAACTTATCAGGATCCTCCAAAAAGTCCACTGAAAAAAATTTGGTAAATGACCACCATTTTACTGAGATTATATTTCATCCCAGTTAATTTATGTCTCAAATTAATCATCTTCATTGCATTTCACTCCATAATAATCATTGTTCATAAAAATATGAATATAAAGTAAAATAAGACATGACTTAAAGGTCTCAGTTACCAGGTCATAAAATCCTATAAAAATAAATAAATAACCTAAACCTTGCTAATAAATAAAATAAATAAACTTATATGTTTATGTAGTCCGTAAGTAATCGTTACATTTGTTACCTACTAGAAGTAGGTAATCCAAAGCAAAGTAAGTAAAATAGGAGTACAACTAAAGGGAGTAAACAATTCACGAATATGCCAATAAAAACCAGTACTTTGCTTCAAATCGCTGGATGGGGAGGCGTGATAGTGAGTTCCACGGGCTTTTATTTACAAAATCGTTTAATAGACACGGTCAGGAATTACGACTACTACAAAGATGCTTTGAAGAAATTGAGGACACACCATGGCGCCGTACAACATTTAGGAGAGCCTATCAAAGACAAACGTTTCAAGATGACCGATACTGAAAATAATTATTCGGATAGGGAAAAAGCCAGATTTAGGATACCTGTTTCTGGACCAAAAGACAGAGGGGCTTACTTCATTTGGGTTGAAAATATGAATGAAAAATGGGTTATAAAAAGGGCTGAATTAGAATTGAAATCCAAACCAGATGCGAGATTGGTCATAGTAAAATAATAACGAAAATGTATTTGATTTAGTTTAATCAAAAGTACATAATTAGTGTAATATAAAATTTTAGATGAAACAATTTTTTCTTTTGTTTTCTTAATAATTTAAAAGGTGTTCATGATATGGTGAGTCATGATCTAGTGAGACTTTGATTCAAAGTATAGTTCTAGCTAGTACACAAAAATGATTTCAAATTATTAATTTAAGTGTTATATCTGGACTATAGAATTTTCAAAATAGTTATTTCTCCTACACACTTATGTGCACAACCTGCACTTAACACTTTATTGACCTGTCATGGTACAAGTTTCCACTTGAACTGATCAAGTTGTGCACAAATTTTCTAATAATTCATAAAGATATAGAGATTAGTAAACAATAAATCCCACTGGACAAAAATAATTGGTAGCTACAGAAAATAGTCTAAGACTGATTAATATGCTAACAGTTTATAAGCATTAGCAATAAAAATAGCAATTAATAAAATAGGCTAGCGGTAGATAAAGATATTAGTCATCACCAAAGATGTAGTGAACAAATTGATAAAAAAATGGAAAATGATTTATTGTGCCTTGTATCATTTTTCTTTTTTGTCTTACAGAATCGAGTCTGAGAATAGTGTTTATTTTCTAATATGAAGCATTATTTTCACTTTATTTTACTTATGTGGATATATTGGTAATGCTGCTATGTTTTTGTATTTATTTAGGATTGATTATACATATATATAAATGACATACAAATTTTTTATTTATTCATTTTCTATAAGAAGTAAATACACCCTTTTCAATATATGGTCTCAATAAATGTGTCAACATCATGAATGCCTTATACAAATGAAACAAAAGGTTTTTTTAAATTTTTATGTTTTTTAAAAGTTGTCAAAAGGTTGATTCGTATTATTATAATCTTTACAGAAACATGTCTGACGCAGCGCTCTTCATAGGTACACCTCAAGAAAAGTTCTTTTATCATAATACACTTTTGTGTGTCGTTAATTCTTTGCAAGGAAAAAATGTGACTGTGGATTTAAGAAATGACACATATGTCTGTGGATTGATTGAATTAGTAGATGGGTAAGATGTATCACAGTTTTCAATATGATAATGCATCAATTGTTTCTTTTGAATTTAAATCTGCTTTTTCACTTTATTAATTATTGGGACTGGCTATTTATTCATACTGAAAATCAGTGAAGGGAATAATCAGAAAAGATCCTGTTCCAAAGCTAGTTTTCTTTATGTAAAGAAAATTAATAATAATGTCATTTAATTATTTAAAAAAAACTTGAAACTATTGGTCATTAGTTATCCAATAAATTAATTCAGGGAAAATAAAAATAAACAAAGAAACCTCACGAAAAAATATGGATAAGGTTTTTTAACTATTAAACAAGAATCATAAATAATGAGTTTATAACAAGGCTAAGGAATTTTCTTCATTTTTTGAGATAAACATATTTAAAAATACTTTTATAATTTAATCTAATGTTTTTAAGTCTCGGCAGCTGAGACTTCCTTGACCATGAAAACTAAAGTATTCAAAATGCCGAAAATAATAAAATAACTACTTATAAAAAACAAGGTAAATGCATAAAAATCAATTTTAATGCTACAGAAGCCTTTCAGTTGCTTAGTAGGACGCAATGTGGGTGGGACGTAAATCAGGCAGTGACTGTTTAGTAATCTAAATTATGTATTTTATTTGAAAAAAAATGGTACTTGCCTGCTGTTACCTTACTTTGGCAACTTACCTTTTAGAGCTACTTGTTTATTAAAAAAGTAATTTCACTAAAATGTAAATTTTTTTGGCCTTATACTTTGATATATAGCAATACAGTATTACAAATTGATTACCTACCCGTTTTTTACAGATTTTACAGAAGAAAATATCCTAATGTTCAATTTTGAGTATTATACCCTTGTATGTCTGTTAAATTATTGTTAAAATTTATTTAGTTAAAATTTGTTACAGTTTTATGAACATTTCATTTAAAAATGCGATTTATTGTGATCCACAAGGAAATGAATTCGCTTTTGACAACCTGTTTATTCATGGTCGTAATATCAGATATGTGCATATTCCAGAAAATGTAAGTATTGTAAAATTAATCCTTAATTTGTTTAAACAAAAAATATTTGTTTTTCTAAAATATTTAATTAATCACTGGGTAAAGATTTAATTATTATAATATAGAATTTAAAATCAGTATGAACCATGAATGTATTCTCGTTTCTAAAAAATCTATCTCGAACAGATGTCGCTCCTATCAACAATTCGACATGAAGTTTCCAAAAAATTCTACAAGCCCCATATGAAACAGCTCACAGAAAAAACAAGAAAAACTAAAAAAGCAGTAATGCAACATATGAAAGTAGTAGCATCATTAAACACATAAAGCTTTTTTTTAAATCAGAACATTTTATTTATATTATATTTCAAAAAATATCCAATTTCGTTAGGTACTTGAAAACAATAGATGAAAATAAATAAATTAATGTCAAACACCTTATTACATCGTTCCATGTATCATGTCCGATATCAAAATCGGTCCACAAACGGAGAAATCAGTGGACATATCTACATAAAAAATGATATAATCGAAAATAGAACCTCCTACTTTTTTAAACTTAGCTAAAAAGTAATAACCCTAAAGCAGTCCTTACTCTCTTTAATATCTTAGCTTGCTGTCTGTCGGTGTTCAGGGGTCCGAGTACTTTGACATAAAATATTGGTCACAATGCTTGGGTATTTTCGGTAGGCAGCGGCTTGGCTCTGCCCCTGGCATTGCTCAAGTCCATGGGCGACGGTAACCACTCACCATAAGGTGGGCCGTATGCCCGTCTGCCTACAAAGGCAATAAAAAAAAAAAATTACGTTCATTTTTTGCGTTTTAAGATTTTTCCATACGTGTGTTTCGTGACGTAGGTACGTATTGGAAAGATTTCCTTGGAAGCATCGCTTCATACAGAGTATACATGCGTCAGGGTGCATAAGTCATTATAACAGGTTGGGACAAGTCGTGCCTAAAATGTAAAACCCATTCCTAATGAACGACGTCACGCTATTCATGTGGACAAAGGCGTCTCTAGCCCATCCAGCTACGTATGCAATCATTACCCTAGCGCCATCTATGGGCGCGCGGTCAAAATGTAATAGGTTCATTGAAAGTGCCGGGCCCGGAGCCCCTAACACCGCTGCGCTCGTGTACAAAATCAAGTTGGTTACTATAATTCAAATAGTGATTTTTAATTGAAAAAAAACTTTAATAAAATAACAAATATGTCATTGATATAAATTGTTATTGACTAATTAGGGGCCAGCGAAACGCGATAAAGAAACTAAACGAACTTTGGACAATAAAAAAAACAATACATGAAACCTTTACCAGACAATAAAGGTTTTAAAAGGGTATGAACCTATTATTTGCCGTAATTTATGTACTTTGCAACAACCTTAATAATAAAAAAGAAAAAAGAATTAACAATAAAGATTATTAACATTAGAAAAGTTTAATGGTACTTTATGACTAGGTATGTTCTATTTCGATCATAGGGCGAACAATTGTATATAAATAGGCGAATACAAATTAATTATGTACCTTTTCTTTTAAATCCATTTTCATTTCTTTGTTTGGTTTTAGTTTAACTATTGTTATGTTTTAATAATAAAAAGATACTAAATGGATTTTTTTAACACTGATATACAAAAAAAAGTGATTATCATCAAATTCCGATCATGGTGCCAACAGTGCTTTTGTCAATTTTGCTAAATAAAATATACCTTCTTCAAACATATACAAAATAAAATTCCTTTGCAAATGCCTTGTTTTCTCGTCTCTTAAATCACACTGAAAAGCTGGAATAGCCCCACTATCAGCGAACAGGTTGAGAAAAAACAGTGATGTTCTTTATTATGTGGGAGAAAAGGACAGACAATGCTCTCTGGACTAGGTCACAGCTCACCTGGTGTTAAGTGGTTACCGGAACCTATAGATATCTACAACGTAAATGCCGCCAGCCACCTTGAGATATGAGTTCTAAGATCTCAGTATAGTTCTTGAATATTAGTCATGTTCTAGATGTTTCTGTAGTAATGTTACACAGTTGTTTGTACAATGTCTGGTTTCATTGTTCCTTCCTAAAATACAATTTTCAATGACTACAAACTCAAAATAATGAGAAATAATAAAACCATAATAACTATTAAATAGTTGTCATCTTGCGACTTAAGTGACTATAGTAGAATTATTTTGTCCGTGCAGTTTGGGTCATAAAAAATCGGAGCGGTGAAGCGAGTATTTCGCTCTCTCTTCCACTCACGAGCCTTATGGATAGGCATAGTGATGCGCAATATTGTTTTCGATAAGCATTATCGGTAGTGTATTTAGTTTTGTCATTTTGTGGGTTAGTGATAAAAATGAAAGAAAAATCACTAATCGAACACTTACACCACATATCGCCGCTGCAGGTTAACGAGAACGGCAGAATAACTTTTCGGGATCTATTCTTATTTCAGTGAAAATTTTTAACACATTGTTGATAACAACACGTGCAAATATTATTTTGAATAAATTCTGCCGTTTTGATACAAAACAAAGGAGTAGCCATTGTGTCACTAAAGAAATTCAGAGAACGAATGCATAAAAACACATTTCTCTTCGACATAATGTACTATAATTTGCAGGTAAGTACAAATGACTCATAACATAACAATGTCTCACCACCCTTCGTATACCACCCCGTCGCCGTGTACCTGCCTTCGATGACTCATTTGTTTTTATCGATAATGGCGTTGCTCCCGCGCAACATGCTCACCGCCCTAGCCGGGCTATGTTTTATGACCCAAACTGCACGGACAAAATAATTCTACTATAGTTTATAATTCTGTAAATAAGCATATAAGGGAGGTGTGTTACTAAGCTATCGAAACCATGGCTCATATTCAGATTCTTAAGAGAAAATAAAATGATTCATAAAAAATTGTTCAGTTCTAAATAAAAAAAAATTTTTATTTATTTGATATCGTAGTAACCTAATATCGTAGAATGCACGATTGGTTGTTTCTATAGTAATTTTAGTTCTTATATCCAAATATGAAATAGCTAAAAATGGACAATCTGGAATTTATCTTTAAAATACTTAAAGAAGAAAATTAAAATACGTATAATATTAACATTATTTAATCATTCTGCACAATAACTCATGACCTCAGAAATAACTTCTGTCTGGGAGACGAACATAAGTTTGTAAACAACATTCTTAATCACTATAAACATTAAAGATACAGAGAATACTGAGAATTGATTATTTTCAATAATGGCCGATTTACATCAGAGGAGTACGTCGAACAATTTAGGTATTTAACGATTGATGGCGACAGCTTACGTTCTAACGCACTCAATTATGCGACCAACTTAATAGAAAAAGACACGTCGCTAAAGTGGTTATCTGAAAACATACTAGGTTTCAACAACATTTCTCGAAGAGTAAAGTCGCTGGTAGCCATGTGCTTATAATTCATCCAAGTGGAACAAGAGTTCACACGCTAGTACTGTAGTATTTTTTTTTTCATATTCAAAGGTGAGTTTTTATAGTAACGTAAGTGTCCTGCGACACGATTGATTTTGTAGTTTTTTAGAAATCTAATCACGTGTGACGTCACGTTGTGACCACCAAGTCAATGCAACTCAAGTCGAATTTTGGAGAACTATTTGGCGCACTAATGAACATACACATGCGACAGTATTCATTTGAAGAATATTTCTGAACGATTCCCTTCTACGACGTTTGAACTACTCATATGTTTTATATTCTCGCTTGCGGTTTTTCGAAAAACTCTTCTTGTGTAAATCGGCCCACAGTAAATGTACATAATAAGTAAATTACCTTAATAAATAACTAATAACTATACACATGCACGCACAACTAAACAACGAATAATACACACAACAATTTCTTTTAAATAAATAATTATCAAATGCGTGTAATGCAAAAAAAACGTTCGTATATTATGTAGTTCGTTATATCTACCTCACATTCAAAGTGTTTTTGTGTGTAAGGATTCATTATCAGCACCAATTATTATCGTCGGAAATACTATTATGACAGTTTTCGAAAACTGTCATAATATAATCTGCACTGCAACAGTTGATTTCAGCCAAGCTTCGCATTACTTACTAAATGCTTTTTTTTATTGCCCTTGTAGGCAGACGAGCATACGGCCCATCTGATGGTGAGTGGTTACCGTCGCCCATGGACTTCAGCAATGTCAGTGGCAGACCCAAGCCGCTGCCTACCGCATGCTTAAAAAACACCAATTTGTTTAATGGTTTGCTTGCTCTTTCTCGAACATAGAGATGATTATTTGTGGCTTAATAAGCTTAATAAGGCGGACAGACATTTGGAGAATCGTTCGAGCCTGTTCTTAAAGCAGTTAAATATTGGTGATGATGCAACATCTACGGACGCTCTGCTCTATGTTGCTATTGCTGGTCCAGAAATTTAACAATATTATTATAATTTTGTGTTATTCACTACAAATTGAAATATAAACTTGTATACATAAACTAGTTCATAGTACTACTAGTTCTTACATAATATTTAAATGTACATTTTAAAAACATCTAATTTACGTTTCCTATCACTAAGTATGTTCAGAACGAAATCATTAAAAAAAAACTATCAAAATATTTTAAATAAATCACACCAAAAAAATCAACCTAAAATATTCAAAGTTGTAGTGATAGATACAGATTTCAGAGCTTTTCTGGGTTCCGTGATCTAATAACAAAAACCCAAAGGTATAACTTTTCCTGTGTTTTTCCGAATGTCATGAATTCATTTATTTAGGCGATTATCGGCCCTATAACTGATAAACTTTTGAAGGCTCTATACCCCTACGAGAAGCACCTGAATAAAAAACACAGGTGGTAAAAGAATTTTATCAAAAATGCTTTTAAGGATTCTACTTTTTAAGATGCCGGGTATTTGAAATGTAAAAATGTATGTAATAAATGTTTCACGTATCTCACCTAGTCGCAGTGAACGTTTTTAATTTAAAAAAAACTTTATGTATTGTTTGTTTTGTGTATATCTTTATTTATTTTGTATAATATTTTTTATTTATTCCAAAACGATTTTTTTTCCAAGTTTTATTGTTTTAGATTTTCTTTGGGCGTTTCAAATTCTTTTTCATTTGACATGGAAGGGCAACGGTTGATTGTGTAAGCCCTGTCTGTGCCATAACTTTCCGGGCGCACAAATGGACCTTCGTCTGTTTCATTTTTTATTTCAGTTTCTTTCTTCTTAGTAGAATAATTAGTTAAATAATATTGAGAATTTATATTTTGAATGTTATTAAACCCTCGGATATGATTGTCGATAGCCAAATTTTTGAAATCGTAATTATTTTCTTGTTTTTTTGCGTCTGTACTGTGTGCAGGATCTCCCTCATTAATTGTGATATAATTATCTGAAGCTCTCCGATCTTGTGGAGCGGATACATTAATTTCCACATTAGAATTGCGTGTTTTTTGCACGATAATTACTCGTTTGTAGCGAGTTTGGTTCGATTCGGTATCTTTGTTTTTTTTGTTTATTGGGAATGTGTCTGACGGCTCTTTGAACGAATGCGATGTAGCGTTTTGTGGATCCGGAGTTTGGCTGCACAAGAAGTTGGACTGGTTGATGCTGGCGATTATTGATGTCGGACTTGGCGACGACTGCAACACGTTGGGTCGCTGGACTGCATTAGCATTTAGCGTAGCTGGAAGTAATAACCAAAATATTTAAAAAGTTATCTTGCTGCGAATTTTAAATCATATGATAACAGTAGCATTACATTAGCAGAGAAAAGCTTACATTAAAAAGAAGTCAGTACACAACAGGAACCTAACATCTAAACATAAAGATTTTACTTTAAAATAGCATATTAAAAAAAATTATTTCTATCACGTTACTTGAAGGATTGAAAACTTTATGCGGTCAATTGAATTCGAATCAAATGGGGGCTTCCCGAGAATGGATGGAGAGACAGCGAAAAACATCATTGGACTTCATACATAATTCACAAAAACTATATTAAGACTTATTATTAAAATTACACGCCTAGTTATTGCCCAATCAGTTAAAAATTCCATTTTCAAAAGTGGAACAGTTGTTATTACAATACAATTAATACTTCGATATTGTTTCACAAAGTGGATGACGGTTCTATCAAGCGAGCTAGGGTATTGTTTGACCGTCGAAAGTTATAAATTTCATGTTACATTACGAGCAAGAAAATAATAATACAAGATAAGAGAATATATATATATATGTGTGTGTGTCAAATACATGGTAGTTTGTATAATGTTCTATTTATTGATTTAATGCATTTTAATGAATATTTTTTAAATTCTATTAGCATTCTGCACTACTTCTATATATTCTCTATAAGTGTGGGAAATTTCATACTCCTCCGGCCGCGCAATTTTCGTAAAAAACCCCTTTTTACGAAAATTGCGCAGACAAAGATTTTGCTTCACGTATTATTAGATATATACCCACCCTCAGACACAGCCCAGTGAGTTTCTCGCCGGATCTTCTCAGTGGGTCGCCCCGTGAGCTCACCTACTAGTTAAGGTTCCGCTGAAATAGCCTCTCAAGGCTTAGGCTTATCAGCTTAGGTAGGAAAAAAAAAAGATAGATACCTTGAGGCTTATATCGGGCGAGTTGTGCGTAGACCTGTTTGATACGTTCGATATTTATCTGCGAGGCCTTGGTGTGGTCGACCATCGGCATGGGGTAGTCACGTCCGATGCTGCACTGGGCGGCCGCCTGCACAGACTCCGGGGCCATCCACGGCTCGTGTATGTAGCGCGTTGGCATGTTCTTCAGAGCCGGTATGTATTTCCTTTGAAAAACGTATTTTTTTTTCAAACTAATCGTCGCCGAGCGGTCGAAATTCGACCATATTTATTAATTTAAATTATAAGTTTGAACATTTATTATGGTTCTATTCTCAAATACTTTACTTCTACAATCATAGATTTCGTTAAAGACACAATATCTATTCTCAATTTGACCACAGACTATAAACATTAACAAAACTTTGACAGTAAACAAAAGAGAATGTTTTCTTTATTGATTAAATGTTACTTTAATGCTAAACTTTCAAAAAAAATTAGCTTTCTGCACTCCTCTATATATTCTCTATAAATGTGGGAAATTTCATACTCCTCCGTCCGCGCATTTTTCGTAATAAGGGATACAGACTTTTTGCTTCACGTATTAATATACCTATTAATTCTGTTCCAAAATTTATCAACTTTTTTTTTTTTTAAGCTGAGGTCCTTGAGATGCTATTTCAGCGTAACCTTAACTAGTAGGTAAGCTCACGGGGCTCAAACCTGACGATGTTGCTAACACGAACCCTAGCACTCTTGCTAGGAAACGCGACCCACTGAGAAGATCCGGCGAGAAACTCAGTGGGCTGTGTCTGAGGGTTAATTTACTCGTCGAGCCCTTCGTCGCAAGCGACGAGTTCGACGAGAACGATGAGCGGTATTTATCAACACGTGCCACTTCTTCAACGCGTTACTTAAGTAACAGCTTAACACAGAGTAGACGAAAGGCAACAACGATTAACACTTAGATTGCCATGTTGGTCACCGGTGCCTTACGTGGCGCACTGAAGTAATTATGTCGATTTCTATTACTGAGCGTCTAAGTTACCTAACTTTACCTTCTTTTGTTTTTAATATATGTTTTAGACTTTTAGGTTTCTTAGAAATAGATTAATTTTCAGCATCTTCGGATTCATCTTTCCTAGAGTGAACTAGATATTCCGGTGCTATAGTAAGAACATTGAAGACAGAAATCGCCATAATTACTATAGTGCGCCGCGTTGGGTACCGTTGACCTACACGGCAGTCGAACGTGTTAAAATACAAAAAGAAAAGAAAAACATACCTTATGAAATCACCATTAGGGTCGGTTTTCCTTCCAAAACGCACAGGGCAGTAACAGTGGAAAAATTGTTGGAAAAACGACGAGCAGGAGAGCCACATCCACATGCCTGCGTTCACCGACCAGTCTGCGTCGAGGAGTAACTCATCGAACACCTGACGACACACATCCTCTTTCTTTAATAGGTCAAATTCACATTTTACAATATAAAGGTCGAAAATTCGACAGGGACAAACATGACAAACTGACGTAAGTCACAGATCCGGGGTGAAAGTGAGGCGACGGTTAGTCGTATAGTCTTACAATCCGCCCTGCCACCAGTAGTTCTCAAACTAAAACAATACTAGACTTATTTCATACTAGCTGTACCCACCCGCTTCGCTGGGCATTTAAAATTAACATTATTATTTCACACCCCCACAAAGATTCTCATCATTAACGTACCACCCGCAACTGTTGTAGGGACTCCAACACTCATATAAATATTAGCGTATCCATTAAGTACATGTATTTTCTACACGGATACCAAGTTTCAAGTCAATCGGATGCATGGTTCAGTAGTTATAACGGGACATCCGTAAAAAACCACTGTAGATTTATATATTAGTATAGAAGTATAGATGTAGATTATACTTAGGTGATTGGGTCATATTACGAGACTGGTATATGGACTTGCCTGAGTTACTGTATCCCCTTAGAAAATAGCATAATACAAACCTCATTACACACTTTGGAAATACCTTTCCTCTTCTACAACTAGTGAGAAAAATTTTAACGAAATTTCCACTTAGAATATACCTTCATTCCTTCTTCCCATGAAATCCAAAGATCTCCTCTTGTCAAAAAGCAGGCTACAGCGTGTCGCGATAAATGGTGAATCCAGCCCTCTTCTCGTAATTGAATCATTATGGCATCAATCCAAGGGTATCCGGTTTGCCCCTTTTAAAAAAAAGTACATAAATAAAAGACACAATTACATTTGGCTATAAAACGAATATTAAAAATAACATACTTTGAATTTATAAACATGACATGCAGAACTGATGACGACAAACATGAAGTATGATTTAAAGGTTACAAAAAAAAAAATATTTTACTTAGAAATATCTTTTCAAAAATTATGGCAAACAATATTGGTCGAAGTCCTACCTAGCTCTGAACTGAAGTTGATTAGCCCTTCGTTGAGTGAGTTCACCGCAATTTGCCACACAACAGTTCTAAGACGAAATTCCTTGACCTAGCTAACATTACGATGATTAAACAAAAGGTGAAATAAATGATAGAATAATTTATTATTAAAAAAAAAAAAATATTAATTGTTTTATGATTCACTTTAAATTAAAATTAACATAAGCCAAAAAAATATGAAAAAAAAAATTGTTTTAATAATATCAAAAACTGAACAACTATGGGATGGATTTCTATTATAAATTTTGAGTAAAGAAGAATGTTTTATTCTGAATTTTATATCTCGTATCGCACCGCGACAATTACTGTCGCCCAATCGCCATATTGCGAAAGTTTAAGCGCTTATTTCATCCATTCCTTCTCATTCCTCTTACGTTAAGTTCCCGCTTAAATGAAATAATGTATGATATACCCAACTTGAAAATTAAAATTTCTATTAAATCCTTACATTTGCCCATTTCGCTAGAGCGTCCTGATTCTTCTCCCAAGGTATTTGAACGCATATAGGATTTCCTTCCATGCGATCGAAATTTGGGTTTCTTGTCGCAGCACAGTAAAAGAACTCCCTCCATAATATTTGTCCGTGAAGAGAGAGCGGAGGCCGCACCCGTTTCACTCTTTTATACAATTCCGTCAATTGATAGTAAAACAATCGGGTCGACAGACATCCGAATCTATGAACGAAATCAACAACCTCAACTGTAAAGTGTTTGAAACGTTCGAAATTGTGGAATGTGTCAATAAATTCTAATATTAAACGGGCTTTATGTTGTAAAGCCACATCTTGGGAGACATGACAAATTGTATTAGTACAACGTTCTAGGCTGAGAAAAGTACGACTGGTTCAAATCCATCTAACAAACAATGTTGCTGCAAGAGGATGCTAATTTCTTAAACTTCTTTAAAAAAAATTTTACACCATTTTTGTCCGCAGTTAACATCAGATTCCACATTCAAATTCCCCATTTCATTTCATTTTTTCGTTACTGATGCTGGATGAAAGGAGTATTTTCAGGAAATGGCAGTTTACAATTAATCTAATTATGGCTATGCTTGGTGATACAATGGTGGTATCTACCAGTACGAATTCACAATACCCCTACCACCAGCATTAATAATACAATAGGCATTTTATTACCTTAAGTATGGTGATAGTCCCGTTTGGCTCGCCAGCAATGATTGCGGTGTCATTTTGGGTCTTCCAAATGAAGCCACCCAGGCTTTTCTCTCTAAATGCCTCTCTAACCTGGCTAAAGCTTCACTTTCTCCGCCTATCCATATTGGTGGCTTTAGTCCCTCGGTTTCGAATCCTGTAATCGTGTATAATATTAAATCATAATTTAATAACTTAGTATGTACATAAATACATATACTATAATACTCATATAAAAACCAATATCTATTTTGTTGTGTTCTAACAATTTTCTTAAGCTGATTACATCCATATGGATGTACCCACTTAATCAAATTTGGAATAGATAAGTTGAATGCACAAACTTGGAACGCGAGCTCAGATTATATTGGTTAATCATGATTGTGATTATAATACAGAGTGTACTGCACGCGTCCTATGAACCCCGAACCAATAGACAAGACGCGCATATATTTTTTTTAGCTTAGATGGATGGACGAGCTCACAGCCCACCTGGTGTTAAGTGGTTACTGGAGCCCATGGACATCTACAACGTAAATGCGCCACCCATCTTGAGATACAAGTTCTAAGGTCTCAGTATAGTTACAACGGCTGCCCCACCCTTCAAACCGAAACGCATTACTGCTTCACGGCAGAAATAGGCAGGGTGGTGGTACCCACCCGCGCGGACTCACAAGAGGTCCTACCACCAGCATAAGGACGCGCATCGGCTATTGTTAGTATGGTACATTTTTAAAGGGTTTTATTTTGGTTTATCCACCAATTATCATAGGCACTAATACCACCACTTCGATTATTGGTAAAGTTTCACTACACCCTGCACATATCGAAGTTGTTAAAGTTGGTGTTATACGATGGGAAAACCATTCTTAAAATTATATATTCTTTGAAATAGTCTCTACGGTGCGCAGGGAGGTGGGGGTGGGGTATGCGAGCTGCCTTCGCGTTATGTTACGAGTTCGCTAAGCATCATTTTATATAAACAACGAGTATTTATTTTTAGCTTACGAAACGACTAATGTTCTTCATTTCGGTAGGAAGCCCTTTATTCAAGTGTCGGTAACAGCGTCGTTACGTTTTATAAGTCGGTCTCCAGTCGTACTATGTATAATAAATGCGAAAGAGAATCTGTTTGTCGCTTATTACGCTTCCACGTTTTATCTAATCAACAGATCATCGTGAAATTGCACACAAGTTATCGGGGGTACAGAAAAGGAAATAATAGGGGAATTATATCATATAAGGGGTATTATATAAAAGGGCATCCAAAAAAGGCAACTAAAGGCTATTCGTGAGGAATATATATTTTTCATATATTAACGAATCTATAAATTTACCAAGCTCTTCTAATGTGGGGACTCCAAAACGATCATCGTGATTATCAGTAATCGGTGTAGTGGCTCCATTGAGCATTTGCGGAGTTATTGTAACTTCGGCCGGTGGAGGGGGCGGCATACTGGCGATTAACGCTTGGAACTGATGATATGTTAACGGAGCTTTACCACCATTGCGTTCTATTATTCTGAAAATAACGATGGTTTGTAATCGAGTGAAAAGATTTAACTCAAAATATAATAATGATTCCATAATAATAAGAAATACTTACTTGTCCAATTTGTATAAAGTATGTGAGACGCGAGAGGTCACTGTTATGCCAACTTCACGACATTTAGATATAATATTGTGATCGCGTACGCGGCCGTAAGGCTCAGGGTCCTCTTCAAAGGTTAATGCTGTTGTACCCCATTCTCGAAACAATTTTGGCAACGCATCCGCGGGCTGACCGCGAACAACGAATAGCCTCGAATTAAGCTTCTTTAAACTTTTATCTAAATCCTCTAAACATTGCAATAGGAATCTGGAAAATACAACATTACATACACCATATGCTGACTGTTCATAATGAATTTGCACAAATAATAGATATTTTTAAACTAACCTCCATTTGTTTATGCCAACGTTTGAAGAGCTGGCGAACCATGGATCTATTATAAAGACGCATCGGAATGTGACAGCGTCTATAATGCCCTCTCGAAGGGCGGGGTTATCGTGGATTCGCAATCCTTTCCGGAACCAATGCACGGTGTGTTTACCCGGCGTACGTCGAGGTGCGGACATATGAGTAGGCCTGGCCGGCGTGTGACCTTGAGCACTTGGTGGTGGCAGTGTTTCTGGGGCTGCTGACATTTTTGTTTCTATAAGCCCCTATTTACATCCTAACTGCAACAATACAAAACAACAACATTTATTCAAATACTTTGTACAATGTTAAGAGAGTGAGAGAACGATCATTTTTTTTATTTTTGACTAGTCACCAGAGTACAGGGTAAATATTGAAGAAACGATTTCTCTAATACAAACTTTACCACCGTAATGCTTCATTTAGATATGCGTCGAACACAAAAGAATATGCACGAATAGGCGACTTATTCGTATGTAGTATATGCCATTCGCCAGAAATACTCGATAGGTTTTCCGCGCGTTGTTGGTTTTCGATCAGAATTAAATGGTTATTGGTTGTTTACACATTCTTCATGTGTCATCGTCATAAAATCCAACTGTGGTCTTGTTGGATTGAACGACTTCATTTGTCGAGAAGTTTCATTTATTCAATGAGATGTCAAAAAAAAAACCACATAAAAACACCGTTCTGTCTTGTTTTTGCGAGTTAATGCACATTAATTATACGAAGCCTTAGCAGTAAGGCACACGTCATCTAAGTGGGAAATATCTAATTTCACTGAATATGGACAAATTTATAATCGGGTATCGATGTGGTCATATTAATGCAGAAATTATTGCTATTGCGTATTGCTCGCCGTTCGGCGTATAATCGACCATAAATGAGGCATAACAGACCTTGTAAGGAAACATGTTGGAAAGTTTCGTATTATAAATATAGAATATGGTGCAAGGGAGCCATTTGGGCCCGCGTGGACACAGTCTACTACTCTGCACATTTCTGCCGCGAAGCAGTCATGCGCTCCGTTTTGAAGGGAGGATAAAGCCGATACGATGCAATTGAGACTTACACTTCATATCTCAAAGTGGGTGGCAGCATTCACGTTGTGATTGTCTACAGTGAAACTTACAAACAGGTGAGCCTTGAACTTGTTTACTCGTTTATGTAATAAAAATGTTCGAGTAAAAAAGGTGACCATGGAATAAGATTTTTATTACGAATAAACGTGTTGAGTTTTTAGGAATGAAAAAATTAAAAAGCACCATATAGATACACAATTACAAGTTTTGATACCGAAGATCTAACATGAGAACTCTTTCCGGATTCCGTCTTCATCTAACTGCCATAATCCTCTGTTGACTACTTCCTATTTTGAGCAGTAGTGAGAAACAGGTACCACCGTCGTATCGATTACTACCTCGAAACAATAAGCCCACTTAATTGCCGGTATAATCATTACTATTATTCCAAACAACTCCAATTTACTGAAACTCCAATTTAGAAAATTCTAAGAAATCTTGTAAAACATTTTTTACGAAATCGTTGCAGCCGTAGAAAGCCCGTGGAACTTTTTATTTTTGCGAAATTTCGAGTCGCACAGGAAAAGCTTACAAATTAGGTTTCGAAACTTGCTTGTTGTTTTCGTGTTGAAAGCGATGTTCCATAATGACTAATGTATAAAATTTAAGAATAAATCGCATTTACAATACCTGAAATATAGCAATTGTCCTATTTACCTACTTTTTTACTGGTGGTAGGACCTCTTCTGAGTCCGGACGGGTAGGTACCACCGCCTTGCCTATTTCTGCCGTGAAGCAGTAATGCGTTTCGGTTTGAAGGGTGGGGCAGCCGTTGTAACTATACTGAGACCTTAGAACTTATATCTCAAGGTGGGTGGGTGGCTTTCATGAGCCTGACACGCTCCGAACCTGTCTACGGCTCGGGGTTTCGGTCTGTGTTCCTCATAAATGTCCCTGTGGCAGTGATGTCGACAAGCTAGGACGTCACGGACTGTCATGCCAAAAAAGTGCAGGCCGCTTCTCGCGACATGCCGCACTTAATGATATCATACGCCGGTCCCTTGCCACCGTCATCGTGCCAAGTCTACTTGAGCCGCCTAGTATTGCAAGAGACGACGGCAAGAGACCGGACGGTATGAGTTTGATTCCATGGAAGATGGGCCAGGTACTGGTATGGGATGCAACCTGTTCAGACACGCTGGCCCCTTCCCATCTACATGGAACCAACAATAGAGCTGGTGCGGCTTGTGAAGCGGCTGAAAAAGCCAAAGCATGCAAATACAGGGATCTCGGCTCGGAATATGTTTTTATCCCATTCGGTGTCGAGACCCTTGGTCCGTGGGGTCCTAGCGCTATAAGTCTTTTTAAGGAAATAGCAAAAAGGTTAGACACCACCGGAGACCGAAGAGCTGGCAGCTACCTTGGACAAAGAATTAGTCTAGCTATTCAAAGGGGGAACGCTGCCAGTATCTTCGGAACCTTGCCTAAAGGGACTCCTTTTAATAATATATTTTAGTTATTAAATTATTATTCTTATTATTTATTAATGTTCATATAATTTTAATATTATTAATATAATTCTATATATATGTACATATATATATTTGTTTTGGTTTTTTTTCGTTTTTACTTAGCAACCAACGAGGTGCTCGTACATAATGCGTGTACGTATATAGTACGTGTACTTAGGGTTCCGATTCTCGACAAAAAACAAAACGGAACTTTATAAAATCACTTAATTGTCCGTCTGTTTGTTCAAGACTTAAGACAGTTTTTCTCGCGAACAAGTAGATATGTCAAGTTGAAATTAGTACCAAATACAGGTTTACGGCGGAAAGTGTATGTAGTCGTAGATATATCTAGCTTCTCAGTACACGCAATCAAAAGATTTACATAGCCATAGTTTATCACTCTTATAAAACTGTAATTCCCGATCTATCTATCTATGTTTTATCCCACAAGATATCGATTGCTGGAGGTAGGTCTCCCCAAGCCTCACCACAACGACCGGTCCTGTGCCGCCTGCATCCAGCGGGTCCCTGCGAAACCCAATAGGTCGTCGGCCAACTTGTGGGAGCCCTAAGGACTTCCTGACTATGTCTACTTAACTCTAACTAAGTCTTCATGTACTCGGTCGCCACCCGAGAGCTTTTGGGCCCCAGCGTCCATCTGCTCTACGAGAAATGCCCTGCCAACTGCCACTTCAAAATCGCAATGCTTTAGGCTCGTTGGCGGTTACCATGGTTTTCCTGCGAATTTCCTCAACCCTGATTTGATCTCGCGGGGAAACACCGAGCATAGCCTTCTCCATTTCTCTTTGGGTGACCTTCAGCCTTCTGATATGGCATTGTGAGTTTGCCCCAGGTAAAATTACTCGTCAAAAACTTCGAGCGTAGAGCTTCCGATCATTGCTGGAGTGGACGCGACATAGGCATTCGACATAATTTTCCTTTTTTTGCATGTTCATATTCAGGTCTATTTGGATAGAAGTTCTACTTAGGTCATTAGGCATTGTACTTCCCATTAACCTAAAATCATGAAATTTGACAAGTGGCAAGGTCTTATAGCATAAGGGGAAAAATCGGAAAATGGTATCTTTAATGGATAACATTTTTGTGTTTTATCACTTTTTTTTCATGGTAAAGTATTGACCGTTATACCAAATATGTGTATTGAGTCTTAAATGTCTTTATCTCAGAGTAAATATTCAGATTTTTCTTGAATATGTGGATTAATGTGCTCAGAGCCTACCTGGTGTTAGGTTGTTACTAGAGTAATCACAATGGCCTTGAGAGATAAGTTCGAAGACCACCCTTCACACTAGAGTCCTATAACTTTTTGGGGTAGAATTATGCAGCATGGTGACACAGTTTCAGACTTAAATATAATCTACCCCCTTAACCATACGTTCCTTTACAACATTACAACAAGTCACAATAAGTAAAGAAATAAACAAAAATGGATGTACAACAATAAAGAATGCAGTACTTCTTGTTCTGGCTATATTCATAGTGTTATATTGCATACATATTTACTACAGAGCAACAGTTCCTAAAATTATCAATCTTGGTACTTTAAGCCTATTTTAGCCAGGACAAGGCAATTATCCCCAAGTAACTTTTTTTTGTTTCCATTGCCAGTGTAGACATACGGTCCAACTGGTGGTGAGTGGTTACCGCCGCTCATGGATTTCAGCAACGCCAGAGGCAAGCCAAGCCGTAGCATACTGCTAAAAAGTCCAGAACTAAGGCTAAAAAGTAATGCTGCTCATGTAGAAATTATTTCTACAAGAGCTTTAATTCATGCTATTAATAACCATGCACTCAAGGACCTGTGGAAAAAACTTAAATATATTTTGTTCATTGTTTATCAAACTATTCTTTATTCTACACATCATCATCATCATTCTTTCCTATTACCCTCTGCTGGGGTCTAGGGCTCGAATCAAATTTTTCCATTTACATCGGTCTTGGGCAATCTGTTCTAGTTCCTCCCACGTCATGCCCAAAACCCCTAGCTCCTGCCCCACTGAGCGACGCCAAGTTGTTCTGGGGTGGCCTCTCTTATTTTATTTTATCTTTATTCTACACAGAATATACAAATGCAAAAAATATTAACATTTTAATATAGTCTGTACAAAGGCAAGCAGCTTAATCTGTACTAATATATAAATCTACAGTGGTTTTAAAATACTGCAATAAGTAATTTTAACAATCTTCTCTAGATATTAAGCTATCACTACCTAAAGAATTACAAAGAGACCAAAATAAATCTAGGGCTGCAAATCCAGGTATGTATAGTGTATGAATTAACAGTTTCTAAACAAACTTTCTTTTTTCAATACTTGCTGCTTTTTTATTGCTTAGATGTGTGGACAAACTCATAGACTACCTAGTGTTCATTGGTTACCAGAGCTCATTGACATCTAAAATGTAAATGCTGCCACCCACCTTGAGATATGAGTTCTAAGGTCTCTGTTTTTACCTTACTACAGCTGCCTCACCTTTTAATTCCACATTACTGCTTCAAGGCAGAAATAGGCAGGGTGATGGTACCTACCTGTGCAGACTCATAAGACATCCTACCACAAGTATTATGCAAATAATTTTGCAGGTTTGATGTTTATTACATGATGTTGCTCCTTAATCATGGAAGTTAATCGTAAACATTTGTAAAGTAAGTATTTCAATAGAAAAATTGGTACCGGTCTGTGTGATTCGAGCACTTGCATCACTTGATACGATTGCATAGGGCACTTTATCCTCTAGGTCACATGACTTTACAAGTATACCCAATACATGCAAGAACATTCATAGCACAATTTAAAATAAACCAACACAAATTAATACATATATACATAAAACCTATATAAATACAAATAAAGAATATATCGACAATGTGTGAGCTTTACAGTAGACTAATTTAAAGTTGAAATACCTGAAAAAAATTATATTTTAACGAATCTAGCTGTAGGATTGAAATGATTTTAATAGACCTAGAATATATTTTTTGCGCATTGAATATGGTTATTACCTATCATTTATGTACAAAGCAGTTATTGTCGCTTAGTCACGTTTGCCTTTCAAGCGTCGATATACAATTAAAACCTTGAAACAAAAAAATGTGTTTTAAGAAATTAATAAAATTAGCTAGAGGAATTTAAGAAAGGTCAGCTCTGTATTCCTATTACAAAATATGGGATACTCAAAACACAAACAAATAGCTACACCAGTATTGTGACAAATAAAATAGAAAAGTATCTAAAGAGAAGAAATTAATTCATTTATTTTAATTACGTAATTTAACTTTATATCTATTTATTATATATATTGTGATTTCAGCTAACAAACATTTTTTTAAATTCAATTAAATAGTAGGCAGATACATAATGGCTCAACTATTCGCCTAACATTACTTATGGCCATGAGTATGTTTGTTTGCTGTCAAAGCATTTTATTAAGACAGTATATCTAATAAAATAGCACTCAGTTGTCTTCTGTTGAAATTGCCAACTAACAAGTCCTCATTTCATCCTCGTATTACAGTGAGATCTTATCTCCATAAGGTCGATTTTACAATTTTGTTAATAAATTAACGTTAAACGTACTCACCTCGAATAACACTGAAGATCTAAGTTCATAGCCAGTAAAAGCTTAAAAATATAATATTAGCAATACACTTTTGTTTATGTAAATAAAGTTGTGTTCTATGCACGTACACATCCGAATCTTGATTGAAAATTAAATATTAAATAATTTCAATTAAGTTTAAAAAATTTAGTAATTGAGCATAATGTGAAAACTGCACCTTCTAGAACATTTAGAATAAATTACGACGACACAGTCTCTAGTTAAGCACGAACAAGACTGCGGTACTGTGTATTTGTAAATTAATGAGAATTTATGGAACTGTCAAAGTCGAACACGCCGCTTGCAACGTGACCACAACGTGACGTCTTAACACGCAAACCATAATACTAAAGAATGTAGGTGATGTTTGTTTATTCTCGAGTTATCCGAGGAGTATTAAATTTTAAACTATGCATTTATTTAGTAATTGCTCTCACGAAAACGTAAGAAAAATTGATATCGAAGTGATCATTTTAGATCTTTACCTACGAAATTGGCGTTAAATATACAAAATATATTTTCTTTGAAAATATTTTTTATTTCCTTAAACTAAAATATGCACCCATGGCATCAACATAGTTTACCAACGCCGTCTATAAAGGAGTCAACAAAATTGTCAAAGGCATTTTGTATCTCTTTAGTATCGAATTTATTTTCTGCTAAGAAATTGTCCAAGCTTTATAAAAAGTAGAATTCTATCGGTACAAGGCATGGATAGTACGGTGGATAACGCAAAACTTCATTTTCTCCACTTTCTCCATCATTATATCTAGTTCCTCACAGTACACATCCGCAGTAATGCTGGTGTCATTTGGTAAGTAGCTGTGATAAAATATATTATTAATGAAGATGAATTATACCGGTACTAGACCAGCAAATGTCACTAAGTGACCATGACTTTTTTGTTTGGGGCATTGCCTAAGTCTTGAACTAACTGTTGGAGTTTGAATGTAAATGTAATGGCAGGTAACACTTGACACATGATTACAGATTTCGAATATTAGAATTATTTTAAATGTTTAAAAAACAGATGATTGTATTCTCGTAAAAAAAAGTCAGGACTTCTCATCTAGACACGGTCAGAGAAACATGTAAGAGTTTTATAAAAATATAAAGATAATAATTTTATAATGGTGTAACAGTGTTCAAACTATCTGCAATATAATTATAATGAAGCAGTGTGTTTTTAAATAACCCCTCATCAACCTACAGAATCCAATCCCCTCAAATTTAACCGTACAACACTAACTAACATGATAAGCGCTTACAATTTTCTATTAGTTTTGCTATTCGGTTTTTATTTAACAAAGAGGTACGGGGGAAAAATACTAGTCTTAAATTCACATAATGATTTGCGAAGTCTGAATGCTTTAATTTCCTTTTTAAATTCGCACCACTTTATTCAGAGGCTTGTATTATTTCATCATGACTCATTTCATTCAATTTCAGCTTAAAATCAATTTTAGATACAAGATTATTTCAGAGTGCTATTCACTTTTCATACAACTGACATGCCGTCAGCCGCCATCTTGATACAGAAACATCACAAGTGCAAGTATATAGCAATTCGACCCGGCAGGCTAGTTCTGGTCCAGCGGGGTATTCTGGTGCACCAGCGGCACCGTCTGGACGGCCCGACGCGGTGACGAGCTGCCGTGCCGAGACGGCCGACGTTTCAGAACCTTCGAACCGAAAAAGGTATGTAGCAATTATGCAAGAAGATTTGGCTTAAAGCTGCAGATTGCTGCTAGACAATACATAATTTTCTTTTAAAATCCTTTTTTATCGGGTTAAAAAAAAAAAATGTTCTTCGTTGATTAATTGCCTTTCAACATCGACAAGGGTATTTAAATTCAGGATTTGAGCTTTTTTCTGTTTGAGTGGTCCGGAGGCCTTTCCAGTTTTACCAGGGCAGGTGGGCGAGCAAGCGCTCAGCTAGGAGGGGTGGGATTTGCTAACAGCTACCCGAGCACCTTCAAAAGAGATCTAACAACTCAAGAGTAGCTGCTTAGCGAATGGATCTACTACCGGATCGGAAGGGCGACCCGCTGGGCGAGAAACTCAGCGAGCTGATGTTTAGGTTGCACGTCGAACTCTTTGCCGAATTTGACGAGTACGGTTAGCGTGGTCCCTACTCCTAGTGTTAGAGATACAGGTGTCTAACGCAAGGGTTATTGCATCTAATGGATCCATAAGGACGTGTCTAGGGCGTCGACGGTGACTGTTTCCTGCGTGATCAGGATTCGGAGAATAGTCAGCGCTGGCAACGATAAGGCGATTATGAAGACGCATATTCTTATCGAAGTACCGTTCCGACGTACCCTTTGACACAAATACCCCTGACAAATGCGTGGCCACGGATCATTCAGACACTTTTACTGCAAAATTAATTTGTTTCCACTTATGATGATGAATGTTCTGTGAAAATTATGAGGCACTGTTCGACAACAAGGTTATTTAATATTGATTATGATATTAAAGTTACTTATACCTGATATTGTGCAATTTGAACTGTTTGTACATACCTAGTCAGGTCATAAATTCTGTCACATGTTTAATGTAAAATAATTGAAACAAGTTTATTCATTATGTAACCATTCATATACCAAAATGAACTTAACAAAACCTAGATTCTTATGACACTAAAGTTTATTCAAAATGACCTCCGTGATTTTGAATACAGGCCTTCAATCTGCGTGGCCAGTCGTCTATCGCAGCACGAACGAGGTCCATGTCAATATCGGCGGCTGCCTTAATCAAGGATGTCTTGAGTGACTCCAAATTGGGATGAGGCTTTGAGCACGCCTTTTCCTCCGAGTGTTGCGATATCTTGTAATCTAACGGATTCAAATCTGGACTGGAGGAGGGCCAGTCTTCGTGCCGGATGACGTCGATTTCACGCGCCGCCAGCCAGTCTATGAGCTGGCGCCGAATCTTGTTGGAATACCCAGTGCCTGTTATTGAACATGATATGAGAAACAGGTTCCACAAGGTTCGTCAGGACTGTATTTTGATACACAACTGCATTCGTTTTTACACCTTTCTCACAAAAATGTACCTCTGTTAAGCCCCAATAAGAAACTCCCAACCATACCATGAGCGAGGATGGAAAATGACCTCGTTGGACACGCGGAATACGGTTGCTCGCTTCTTCACTACTGTGTGCGTACACCTTATCATTTTGTTTGTTGTAGCTCTCTTCTACGGTAAAAATTTTTTCATCCGAAAAAAGAATTTCCCGATATTTTTTTCCCGCGTACCGCTTCAACAAAGCGCGGCATCTCTTCAGTCTCAGGTCCATTAGACGAGCATTCAAACGATGTCCTGTTTTTCTTCGATATGCCCGAAGCCCTAAGTCTTCATTTAACACCCTTTTCACCGTGGTTCTGCTTAACCCCATCTGAAGGGCCAACAGTTTCTGCTTACGTTTGGGATTTCTTTGAATTCGCGCCTTCACAGCTTTTATCACTGCTGGAGTCCTAACAGACCGAGGGCGACCACTTCTTGACCTGTCATCTACACTAGAGTCTTCATTGTATCGTTTGATGATACGATAAACGAATCTTTTGGTTATATTCAAAATTTTCAGTATGTTAAAAATTTTAATTGGCGCGTAACCGCAACGATGCAACGCAATAACTGCAACACGGTCTTCTTTAAGCGTCCACTCCATATTTAAAAATGAGTAAAATTCTAAAAGTATACATTTTTATTTTCATGAACAATTCGAAATTCGAATTCAATAAAAAATTTGGTGGCCAGCATTCTAAAAGAAAAGTTTTTACTGTGTGACAATACTTATGACCTGACTAGGTATATGCCATCTTAACTTAGAATGCTTCACAAACCTTGATCGACAATAAAAAGATAGATTTAATAAAGAGTTTAATAACATTAAATAAAAAAAATATATTGAAAAACTTTAAAAATTTGAAGTGTGTGTGAAAAATATCATAGTAATATCTTGTTCGCAAACGACCTCCACGACGAAAAAAATGGTGCGCGTACAACTTGGTGCACGTAAAAGAAGTGAAACTTCTTTTTCGGTGTGTAGTATTGTGGTTTTATTAATTTTTTATCCTTAAATCAAATTTTTCTTGCAAGACGGAATGCTGTGTATAAGAGAAACGGTCTCTTCACCATTGATTAATAGTTCAAAATATATACGGAAAAATATTTTTGTTTTGAAATCCTTCATTAAAAATAAAATATTGCCGTCTACAGGAGCAATGAGAAACTAATAACAAGCCACCTAGTGGCCGACGTCCGTAAACAGAATGTGTATAAGAGAAACGACCTAGCCTGCTTTCTCCCTCTCTCCAAGGTCGAATGGTTCTCGAGATGCCCTGCCTATTGTCTCGCTCTTGCTCGTCCTAAATTGATTCTTTTCTCTCTAGCGTCTAGCCTCTGGTCTCTGGCGTCTAGGCTCTGATCTCTAACCTCTAGCCGTAACGAATCTGTCGCGAGGTAAATGTTATACCGGTCACTCACATTCGCACGAATACGCAAACCCGCAAGTGTAGGACGACATTTGCAAATGATTATGCAAAGTTTTCGTGGTTTTCCAAGCTGTGTCGGTTTTTTAACAGACATCAAAGCGCGCGAACCGCGATCCTTCGCGTAATCTCCCACACATTCGTGTGTCCAGTTGCGCCCAGGATTGCGAAGGCAACGGACGTTTCGCTATTTTCATAGATCGTGACGTCTACTGTGTAGCGTATCTTCATCAAAAGAAATCCCATAAAAACAGCATGGCTGTTAATGATGTCTGGGAAAGAATTCAAAACTCTTTTTCTCTTCAATATTCTATTGACGAATTAAAAAGGAGGAGAAATTCGTGAGACATTCGTAAACAAGTGTAGGAGGAAGCGCAAACGGGTTTGCAAATTGAGTACCAAGCCCATTTGCACAGCCGCTAAGTTTGCGAATGAATGTTTGACGGCCCTTCACATGCGCGCAAACATTCGTACAATGTACGAATATTTGCGCGCATGTGAGTGGCCGGCATTACTGTCAACGCGCCTAAATAAGTTTCACTTCAAAAACCTTGCGAATAATAAGATCAAACCCAGGTTATACACTAGGTTTTACCCGCGACTTTATTTACGTAGAATGTGAAAATATTTTTGAATAATAGATTGTGCAGGAGCTATTTAATCACGCTTTTTAACCGACTTTCCAAAGAGGAGGTTATCATTTCGACCACCATTTTTTATCTATGTATGTTCACCAATTTCTTGAGAATGCTGGAAAATAAAATGAACGCCCGCGCGACCGTCTGTCTTTTTTTTTAAAGGGATTTTATGATCTGGTAACTAAGGCCTTTAAGTCATGTCTTATTTTAATTTTTATTATTATTTTAATGAAAAATAATATTATCTAGTGAAATGAAATGAAATACTATGAAGATGATTAATTTGAGACATTAATCAACTGGGTTGGAGTTAAATGAAATGAGATAAGATGATATGGGATGAAATATAATCTCAGTAAATTTACTGATATTTTTTCAGTGGACTTTTTGGAGGATCCCGAGAGGTTACGTCCAGCGGCTTTGTTTTGTTTTCCCACATTTGTGCACTTTCACAGATATTAAACAGTTAATAAACCACCGTTATTACACATTTAAACCTGAAGAAATTCTAAATAGACAAAATAAAACAAATCACACAACTTCACTCCTCGCGTTCCCGCCAAAAAGTCGCGGCGGCCATCTTTCTTGGCGTTCCAAGCCATAGATAATATACTTGATATTTGAGCTTCCAAGCACGACTAGTCAAATATTAAGAGTATTACCTATGCGCGCAGATTTGGTATGGAGCAAACTATGTTGGAAATGCTAACTACCAGACCGAGGCAGACTCCATTAATAATAATTATGTTCGCAGGATGTCAAGCTACAGACGGTCAGATTTGGTTCAAACCAAATTGGTGGTTTGTTCGAACCAAATTTTGGTGTATGTTAATGCTTTAAAGTGTCCCGTGTATCTAATATTATGTGGTCCGTCATTAATGGACATTAAAGGCTTATTACATTTGGCTGAATTTAGTCGTCTGAATTCAGAAGCAAAGGGGATGGCCCATTTTAGGCCCAAAGCGGACAATAGATTATAGAAAAAATACTTAGTGCATTAATTTTGTCATAAATAAATATGCATTTACTTTCTTGCAAATAAGCGCCACTACAGTTTACAATAAGTAGTTTAAAAAAAGTAACTCTATTGAAAAAACAAGGAATTTTATTTTTGCGGGAAAAATATTGCCAGTGTCAAAACCTTTTACGTATGAAGTAAATATTTTGAGTATATAAATAAAACATATAAATATATCATTTTAAGTATTATCATTAATCAATCGATTTTAATGGATTTTATGCACATAAAATAACATCGAAGACATACCCATTGGACTTTAACTTGTAACTATTCTTGAGACCTTAGAACTTATATCTCAAGGTGGGTGGCGCATTTACGTTGTAGATGTATGTGGGCTCGAGTAACCACTTAGCAACACCAGGGTGGCTGTGAGCTCGTCCACCCATCTAAGCAATAAAAGAAACTTTACTAGTATTGTTATTTAAATATGTACAACAAAAACAAAAACATAAAATATAATGTGTACTCGTAAAAAAAAGACTAAGATATAAATCAATTATCGGTTATTTAAAAAAATAATCGATATATGAATTTCATGTAATTATTTTTCTTTATACTGACAACACTGAATTTAATCTGACTGACTGACACTTCGCTTGCTGCTTGTGGTGTTGTGCTTGCGTACAAAATGGATGTGTTTTGATTTTTCTTCGATTTATTTTACTTTTATCAATAACGTTTCATACTACGACTAAAAAACATTGTGTGAATTGTGGTTTTACCCTGACCGAGATTTAAAACCGTGTATATGCTCTCCTTTGCTATTTTTAGATGATACTAATTGTGTATGAAGATGAAGAAAATATAGATATTTAAAGAATTAAGTGTGTTTTTATACCCTATTGGATAAAAATACATTAGGAACATCTTAAACATTAAGAAAAGAAAAGTTCTTGAAGTATCTCACAATCCGACACTTATTTATATAGAAAATTAACCTCAAAACGAGTTTTTATTTTTATTATATTTTTTATAATAGTGGCGTCAATTTCAATATATTTTTTAGATATCCAATACATTTAAGAATTCGAATCAGTACATTTTTATAGTAATATTTGATGTCCATCTTGGGCCTAGCACACTATGGAGAGTGGGCAATCCCCTTTAGAAGCTTCTGATTACACTGTTCTAAATTCAGTTACTGAATCAATTGTCAGTTTAAGCGCGACGAAGTAAGACGTGTCATGTGCGTAAGAGGATGGCCCCAGTATTGTTAAACAACAATAATTATTTTGTTTTTTTTTTGTTTATGTGTTTTGTTTTAATTTCACAAAAAAAAAAACAAGAATATCGGTGAATAAATATTCATTGCTGTGCGGAATGTTAGCAAATATGAACATTGTGAGTGATTTAGAACCAGCAGACTTCAGAAATTGTCTATAAATGGATTCGATCTCGTTTGACCTAATATTAAACCTTGTGACACCGTTTATTCAAAAGCAGGATACTATCCTACGATAGTCTATTATATATCTATTATATAACTATTACATATCTAATTCTACGATAGTATAAGTCCAAAAGAAAGATTGGTTGTAACATTAAGATTTCTTGCAACAGGAAATTCGTATCAAGATTTAAAATTTAGTTCTTCAATATCCCAACCCCTGATGACAAAAACTATCCCTGAAACATGTCGGGCTATTTTTTAAATGTCTGGTACATTAAATAAAGGCGACCGAAATGAATACTTTTTATTCGGAAGCAAAAAACAAACTAAAACGTCCTCACGCACGGAGAGCTATGGGCCGACTGAAGCTATTCAGTAACTAAATGCGATTACACCTTCCTAAATGCGTTTCTAATTAGGCTTCTAAATGATTCTGTCAGTCAAAAACCATCCTTGCTACTGAATTCAGTAGACTAACTTACTTAATGCTATTACACTTCACTGAATTCAGTAGCGTCTGAATTCAGTCGTCTGAATTCAGCCAAGTGTAATAACCTTATTAGCAAAGATAAAGTGCAGCCAACCTGCTATATATTCGTAATTGGGTTGATACCCAGTTATAAGATCATACCAGAGGAACCTAAATTTTGAGACAAAAAGGCTTTCTTAATAAAACCTTAGTCTTCAAAAGTCACAATATTATTATTAATTAAATAAAATACAATACTTTTGAAAAGTACGATTTATCGATCTTGTTTTGTAATAACTTAATCGAAATAAGTATCGAAATATCGCATTTTTATATCGATTTCGACACACTATATTTCGCGCATCACTATGGTCTTTCAATTTTGACCGTCTGTGAGATGTATGTGGTGAATTTTTGTGTTTCTGAAAATCTTATTAAATCAAAATAAACAGTCTTTAAATTTTATAACCGGATATGAAATATATAACGAAAAGCTTAATCCTACGTTGAGTTAATTAGATTTTATAAAATCTTTCAGTGACGGGTCGTAATCATGGGTCGTGTAATACGTGCTCAGCGTAAGGGTGCCGGTTCAGTTTTCGTTTCTCACACGAAGAAGAGGAAAGGCGCTCCTAAACTTCGCTCTTTAGATTACGCTGAACGTCATGGATACATCAAGGGAGTTGTTAAGGTTTGTAAATAATTTTGTTAAAATATAACCAACACATTGTATACACATTCGTTATCACTTTTTATTGCGTGCATATCATTGAATTTTATAATATTACATTAAAAAATTGCTTGTTGACCCTTGATACAACAAAATTGACTAAAACTATCAACACGATTTGTAGCCATTATACTTATATGTATGAAATTCAATAGGTTAAAATGAGATTTCGTAAATGACAATACAAAATAATTACAAATGTGCCGCTTAACACCACCTTCCAATACTGAAATCAAAAATAGACTTAACAAGTCCGAGGAGAGAGAGGTGTGTGGGCCAAGCATTCCTGATCCAGTACAATGAGAAGCTAACTTACAACATTTTATTCAAAGAAATGATTAACTATCTTACTACTCAATCACTGAAGCTGAAATGAAATTTAGTTTTTAGTTTTTTTCTTTATTCTTTGCTTGTTGTTAACACAATAATAATACAAGTAAAATTGCTTACGTGTGATCTCTAGGATATAATCCATGACCCTGGTAGAGGTGCACCTTTGGCTGTTGTACACTTCCGCGATCCATACAAGTTCAAGACAAGGAAGGAGCTCTTCATTGCTCCCGAAGGGCTCTACACAGGCCAATTTGTTTATTGTGGAAAGAAAGCAACTCTTGAAGTTGGTAAGAAGCTAAAGTTTTTAAATTGTTACAAATATCTTGTGCAATTTGCAATGCAACACCATTGTGAATCAGCTGATAGTTACTGCTGATATGCATAATAATGACTACTCATCAACAGATGAGTTATATCACTTGCCAATTTCATTTGGACAGAGTGACAGCTGTGAATATTATTTAAAACAATATTTTCCAGTCTAAAATTCAAATTCTGCTACCTTAACTGTATAATAATAAATAACTACAGGAAATGTGATGCCTGTTGGAGCTATGCCTGAGGGTACCATTGTGTGCAATCTTGAAGAGAAAATGGGTGATAGAGGTCGTCTGGCACGTGCCTCTGGAAACTTCGCCACTGTGATTGGACACAATCCTGATGCTAAGCGTACAAGAGTAAAGCTACCGTCTGGAGCCAAGAAGGTTCTGCCATCAAGCAACAGAGGCATGGTCGGTGAGTAAATGCAAATATAAAGTAAATAATATTACTTTATTGTTTTGCACAGTTTAACATCAGATGGTTAGGACTTTCTTATCAGCAAATTGAAGTCTAAATTTATTTACTCAGTTCAAAAAAAGAAGAAATTCTACCTTTGTATAAATAAGTATGTAAATATGTAATGTATGTAATATGCACTGGAGACAGTCTTATTCTTAAATTAATGTATTCCTATATTTTTAAAATTGTCCTCATGATGTACTGCTCATAAAAAACTAGCTAGGCAAAAGGCAATGATGACTTTCACTTACCTACTCTGAAAAATTATGATTACACAGAGGCTCTTTCTGAGACAGCACATAAATTTACTTATCAAGAACACTACAATAATGTAATTTTTAATGAGTTTAAATTTCACTCAGGTATTGTTGCTGGAGGTGGACGTATTGACAAACCTATTTTGAAAGCTGGAAGGGCATACCACAAGTACAAGGTCAAACGTAACTGCTGGCCATATGTACGTGGTGTTGCCATGAACCCTGTAGAGCATCCTCACGGTGGTGGTAACCATCAACATATAGGTGAGTTGATAATTTCATGAATTGACTATGAAACAATGTGATTATAAGCGAAATAATCTCATTTAGTAATAGGACAGTCTACATTTAATTTAAGTCAAAGCAATTGAGAAGTCTTCTTAGCTTAAAGAATAAGATGTGTGGTGTAGTCCCCCTTATCAAGTGATGGGAATATGTTAATGTACCAATCCTGCAATTATTCGGCAAACTTTTGTAGACATTTAATCCATGTTCACTAATAATTTTCACGATGAATAAATAATATTGTCTAACTATGATCAAAGGGCCAAAATTAGTAAATTTGCAAAATTAAATTTGTAAGAAGTATTCTAGCCCTCACAAGTAAACTGCCTATTAATTTCTGCAAAATAGTCATGCTTGCTGGTGTGAAGAATGAGACAATCATTAGACAATATGATTAGAGACTACAAACTTAGGCACAAGGTTGGAATTCACATTGTGGTTTCAATAGGCTTTGGTAACCACTTAACACATGTTAACATCCTGTGATAAATTTAGATATTATACTATTAATTGACCTAGGCAGTTTCTTGAGATCTTAACCCCATGTATGACAATAAGAACTTAATAAATACAATGTTTTACAGGTAAGGCTTCCACTGTCAAGAGAGGAACATCTGCTGGTCGCAAAGTTGGTCTTATTGCTGCTCGCAGGACCGGAAGGATTCGTGGAGGCAAGACCGATACAAAGAAGGAGACCTAAATTTATTATTAAGTCTATTAAAAATCTGTAAAAATATGCTGTTTTCATTTTATAAATTAGAGACATTTTGTTCCTGTTCCATGTAACACACAAAAGTAAATAAAAAAATTCTGTTTTACAGTAGAAAAGTTATCCAAAAAAAAAACATAATTCCTGTTTGTATGACTTAGGTCACCAGATAATCTTATTAGGTACTATTTTTGTTCACTCCGTATTTGAAATAAACTTTCCTTCTCAATGTAATGTGCACTGTTCATGTTTTCTTTTCAAACAAGAACTTATTTAACTCTTGTCTTTGGCATATGTCTCATCAACGTCAAGTTTGAATCTTGGACATCATTTTTTACTAATGTGTAGTTTTCATTGTAAGCTTCAACTTTTATCTAAATATTTTAAATTATTAATAATACTTATTTTTAGTATAATATGGCGTGAAAAATACATAATTCCCCGTCCAATAATACGTATTAAATTCATGGCCCACACTCGACTTACGGGTTGGTAAAATTACATATATTTGGTATACAATCGACCGTTTGGTGTAGTGGTAAGTGACATGGTCACTACACAAGGGGGTCGCGGGTTCGAATCCCGCCAAGGGAAGATACTTGTATGATAAAATTAAATATAAATCTTTTCCAGGGTTATGGATGTATATAAAATAAATGTATGTGTATAATAAAAATCTTACATTTATTTCCGTTATCTGGTACCTGTAACAAGTTCTTTACGAACTTATCATGGGACCAGTTAACGTGGCGTGATTGTTAGTAAATATTTATTTATTTATTACAATGAACTATAAAAGCCTATAAGCAGCAGTATAAAAATTTAAAAAAATATCTACAAAAGCAAAACATTACCATAGTAAGCTACTACTCTGGTAAATTAATGAGTGTACCAAATTTTCGCGCTATTAACGCCTTTTTTTATGATTGAAGGATTACTGGTGGCTCTGAGGCCTTTCCGGTTTCACCAGGAACTATTAAGGCTAATAAATTTCGCTCGAAGTCTGTCCGCTGTACCAGCTTGGGGTGGCCATATCCACATCGTATTTTTCACAATATACGATTCCTTTTAGAATTGTTTCCATAAATCCACAGACTACAACGAACAACGTACCTACTACTACAGCACAGGTACAATGCAAACTGTGATGCAAACATTGCAAACAACATATATCGCTACACAACTACACTAATAATCGTACTTGCAAATTATGGGGTCTGCCGAGAATAAACGCGACGCGACGTGGTCGCGGAAAGACTGCTTGGGTGGAATGTCATAAATGCATCCAGGGTGACTCACAGGTACTTGACATTCTTGGCACAGGGTATGAGTTGGCTGAAGAGGGTGATTGGTGTGAGATTTCTATGCTTAATGCGGGAGCAAATATGGGTTGAAATATCCTTTTGAAAGAACACTACTGTGCTTGTCGCTAGGTTAATATCAAGGCGAGTCCGAATGTTGTTGTTCGGAACTTGTCGCCTTAGGTACACCTTAATAGGTGTCCCTCACGCACGATTGTTTCGCAGAAATAAGCAAGATGAACCACCATAATCGAAAGCAATCCATCTGTGCTCGCAGTGTTCCCTACCACCAACAAGGACGCAGACATGGTCAGATTTCATTACTATTTCTTCATCGTAGAAACCGCTAGGTACGCATCTACATAATATTATTATGATATACAGTTGACGCAGCTCTAGGGCCCTAATCACGAGAGTCCCTGACGTAGTCGGATCACTTATTACGTATAGTTTTATCTCGCAATAGCCATTTGGCCGTGAACATGTCATTTCTGATCCTCCCGATCCACTCTCAGTACTTTTAGGCATTCCAAGCAGTGCTCTTGCTAGGGCAGGTGTTAACAATTCTTTCAGGCTGCCCCTTGAGTATCCCACATGGCATGGTGAAATCAGTGTTTACTGGTAATCAATTAAGAAAAAAACAAAAAAAAAAAACAAGCATTAGCCTACTTGATCTTAAAACTAAATTTTATTGTAACAAATAATGTAACAGCTTAATGAGCTAGAGCATAGGTGACCAGTAAGTCCCTACCAAAACACAGGATGTACATATATAAATATTAAAATGAATCATTTTTAATATTGTTGGTTATGTTGTTCAAAATATCAGTATTATAAATTTCACAGTCAGTCCTCTTAGAATAAATCTTATTATTTAAAACAGGCATATTGTCGGATTCATCTAAAATTGAACTGCCCAGGCTTGTATTACTGCCACCGGTACTGGGCGCTCGATTCAGTGTTCCTCCTAAACCAAAAACATCTACTCCACCTATAACACTAGAAGAAGCTATATCACCACGTCGTGCTAGTTGAGACTCAATGGTTTTTTTAAGTTCTGCTATTTTCGGACCTGTACGGGCGTTGACTTGAATTTTTGTTTCAATTTTTGGGGCCTCATTTTCTATGCTGAAAAAAAGTAGGAATCGAATGTTATATTAAAAACAATCGAGAAGCAATACATACCTAAAAAATTTGTTTTCTTGTGAATACCTAGAAATATCCCATTCGTCATCTTCTAAGTTAGTCAAGCCTAGTTCATATTTTTCATTGTCATTTTTCTCAGTTATGCTCTGGGATGGTGAGGCACTCAGTGATTTCATTTGAATAGCGTCCATGTCGAAAATTACTTTTTTCTTGTTCAAAGATGAAGTGGAAGTTGCATTTTTTAAAACACTTTTTGTTTGTTTAGCATTATGTAAATTCTGTTCTGACGATGATTTTTGTAATACGACCGGTATAGATTCTATATCGTCACTGCTGCTATTATCGTATAGTGAAGATTGAGCCTTCTCACTTTTTTTAATCTCAGTAACTAGATTACTTTCAGATTGTTGTAGCAAATTCTGTGCACCGTTTACCAAATTATATTTATTTTTATTCGTAGTCGGTCGATGAGCTGGTGATTTTATTAAACTTTCAATTGATTTAGAGCATTGTTCAATGTTTGTTGAATAATATTTATGACCATTTTTTACAGAATAATCAGAATTCGAACTGGTATCATTCATTTCCATTTGATCTGTATTGAGGCTTTTATTACGAATGTATGATAAATCATTGTGAGCAACTGAAGCATTTAATGCAGCTGGCTTCGTTTGATTATCCTTACTCGGAGACCCTGGAGGTGTTCTCAATAAAGACGTGGCACGTTTTGTCACTGCGTTTGTTTCTTTATGTTTAGCTCTGTTATTCATTTCTCCATTTTTCATCAAAGACAAAGCCTTCGATTTTACACCAGAAATAACAGAAGTAATTGCGGAAAGAGGATTTTTTGAGTTACTGGCTGAAATATAACTGCTTGTTTGCTTACAATCTTCTTTAGACCTCGTATTATTGTCTAAAAAAGTTAAAACTGAATGCCTGATTTTCTCATAATCTGGATATTCCTAAAATAATAAAAACGCTTTTCTCAATGTCATTGAGTATGATAGTCGGCTGCAATAATTGTTCACTAGGTCGTAAATCTTTATCTACCCTGGAGATTTTATGATGTACAAGTCATCTCGTAATAGAGACAAGGTGCTTTACAACTTTTTAAATTAAAAGTCAGTCATGCTTTTGAAAGCGGACGAGGATACGGCCTTTTGCTGGTAAGTAGTCACGGCGCTCATGAACATCAACACAGATGTGTCGTTACCATTTAGGGCTCTTTCTTTGAAAGACATGTCATAGCGTTCAAGAAACACCGTAGAGGAAAGTTTATTCTAGAAGTGAATCGTCCACCGCAAAAAACGCGGTTCGTGACATCGGAATTATCGAAAATCCGAACGACTCCCTTCGGTATGTTATCAAACATAACTACTACACGCGAGGGCGGACCTGTGTTTTATAAATTCGACGACATCCGACTAAGTGGTTACCAGTGTGCTTAGTGCAGTTTTTTAACTTCTCAATCGTGTAAAAGTTAACTCAAATTTGTATAGAGTTGGAACAGCGCCCCTAGCGGCAAACGAAGGGAAGAGAAGAACTCTAAAAACTCGCACTAAGCACACTGCACACATAGTTGGACGCTGCTACCCACCATAAGACAGAAATAGACAGGGTAATGGTGTGAATACTGAAATGATCTGTGGAGGTCACTTAAGTTATAGTTAATAGGTATTTACACATACATACGCTTAGAAATTTTGGGTTCTCTCATTGTTTTTGGACGACGTCGTAAAACATATGTTCTTAAACGGTCTTTTACCTTATAAGCAAGAAATCATGGAAGGAGAGACTTTTCTATACTAGACCCTTACCTTTGCTTTTATTTCTTGCTTCTGAAGTAATTGCATTTTTTGTTTCTGGAATACATTTCTTGGTAATCTGCTCGACAGTGGATCTACTCCAGCTGATATAAGTCTGCTATTGACTTCTTCTGTAATCTTTGCCCGTAGTACTTTCAAAGGACTGTAATATGATAAAAACAATGTAGGTTTTTTATATACCGAGAAAAATGACTAATCATCATTTAGTAATTCGTCATCATTACTGTAATCATCATATTATAGACATGCGGGGGTTTCATAGTCGATAAATTTGTAATTCAGAAATAATGATAGACTTAAGTATTTATTATAGAAAACTCATTTACTACAACAATAGTATCCTGTGTGTTAAACGAAACTGTGCTAAATATCACCCCAATCCGTTGTCGTTTTTAAATAAATGCGTAAAAACGTGCAAACTTTTATATTTATAATTTTAGTATTCATTTTGAATAGTAATAAGGTAATGTTAGAACTTAAATTTTTATTTTCATGTTTAATGTTGAAAACATTTGACATTTTTACCTTCCCGGTAGGATACCCTGTTGGTTATCATCTTGCATGTCTGCAGGTGGAGAGGGGTTCATCTTCTTGGTTTTATTATTTCTTTTGTTTGATCTTTGTTTTTTGTCAATTTTAATTTTCGCATTATTTACCGCAATTTTGTTGTTTTTGTTCTTTGCTGTCGTCGTGCTGATTTCTTTACCGTTTGATTTCATTACAGTGTTTTCCACTTTCTCAATACTTGAAATTTCGGAAGAACTAGAACTAATTGAGCCAATATTTAAGAGCTCTTGTGCTTTTCGATGAAGAGTTTCCAATGTTTGACGATCTCCAAATTTATTGATTTTATTTGGTGAATGTTTAAATTTGCTTCGGTCTTCGGTTTTAGCTGTAACTGATGACTGAACAACCTGAAATCCAATAATATATAATTTCATAACAAAAACATTTGGTTACGGTGAAATTTCATAACTGTGCTTACATCTGTCTTTTCAATCATAGGAAAGCTTTTCATATTTTCATTACATCTTTCCGCCATACTTTGTTCCAGTAAACTTTGTAATTGCTTAGCTCTTTCTCTTTCCGCTTCTGCTAAAGCTCGAGATTCCTTTGCGTCTTTTGCTACCTCGTTTAATTTTTGAATTAATGCTTCATATTGTTTAGACTGAGTTTCTGCTCGTTTTGACCAAAACGAAACCTGTTCTTCAGCTTCCTTCTCTTTTTCAATAGTTTGTTTTTGTGCAATGGCTCTCTGAAATTGAGCATTTAATATTATTTGCTGTTCGAGGTGTTAATTATGCAAATACATTAAAATACTCACCGATTCATTTAATTCTTTTTTTAATGTTAAGATCTCACTATCTTGTTGAGCTACTTTTATTTGTAGTTGTTCAATGATTTTCGGGTCTTTTTCATCTGATTTATTTTGACCATCATTTTGTTTCATTAAGTGTATAGTTTCCATTATTTGAGTTTTTAAATCATTCAACTCCTTATCATACTTTTGTCTTTCGCCAGTTTTCCATTCTTCGATTTTACTTAAAATATATTCGTCGTTACTGGTGGAGACCTCAGCATCTTTCATCGACTTTTCTTCTTTTTTATGTTCCTTGACACTCTCTGAATTGTTTATTTCAGTAGGCTTCATGACGGAAGGAAGTAAATTCATTTTCTGTGTTTCAGCTATTCCTGCCTCCATTTCTTTCAATTTATTTTTCAGTTCAATAATTTCTTTGGTCAATATGCTATTTACATTATTATTTAAAACTCCATTTTCGTCATCACGCTGTGGTGCGTCGACTAAATTCGAATGACGTCTATTAATATGACTTTGTAAGTAAAGTTGATTTAGGAAGACTTTATCGCAGTATTTACATTTATTACACTCCGGTATATCCGCCTTAGAAGTAGACGGAAGTATGTCTGCTCGAGTTGTTAGTGTCTTTAGAATCATAGATGCTATATTATCATGACCATAAGCAAGAGGCGCTTGGTAAGGATATCGTGTTTTCTTCTTCATTTTTTTTATTTCATTTTCTTTTTCCTGTAAAGCCTTTTTTGTTGCACAGAGTTCCTAAACAAATAGATCTAACTTAAAAACATTTTAATGAACGCTAGTTAGTGGTACGGTATTTTTTTACAAACCTGAGCCAATGAACTTATTTCTTGTCGTAAGACGTAAACACTACGGTCGAGATAATGTCGACAGAATTGCTGATACTCTACTGTCAGTTGTGCCAGCCGGAACATCTTCAATACGCCTTCATCGAGTATGCGTACATCAAATTCAGATTCCAGCACGCAGTCTAAAATCTAAATCCGCGATAAAAACAACCTTGGTAGTATTCTGCTATATATACTGCTGGTAATGACTGTTGTGAGATGTTGGTGCCACCGCCCTGTTAAGCAGTTATGCGTTCCCATTTGAAAACCAGGATATTAAATATCTAATTCATTTTAAACATACCCCATGACTTAAGGTGTGTAGCAACATTTATGTCGGTTCACCTTTCTATGGGATTCCGTTAACATAACATTATCAGGTAGTAGGTTAAATTGTCGGCAACAAATGCTAAAGCTCATGTTAGGCTTAGCCTTGCGTTAAGGCTTAAAGTAGTTTACTGGTGGTAGGACCTCTTCTGAGTCCGCGCGGGCAGGTACCACCGCCCTGCCTATTTCTGCAGTGAAGCAGTAATGCGTTTCGATCTGAAGGGTAGGGCAGCCGTTGTAACAATACTGAGATCTTAGAACTTATATCTCAAGGTGGGTGGTGCAATTACGTTGTAGATGTCTATGGGCTCCGGTAACCACTTAACACCAGGTGGGCTGTGAGCTCGTCCACCCATCTAAGCAATAAAAAAACATCAAAAAGTACTCTTAGTAGAACAGGTAGTATCTTCTGATAAATAGAATTATACTTCATCGAAACTTCAAATGAAGTACTCTTTATTTTTACTTCATTCGAAGTTTTCGCTACTTACGTCGTTAATATATTGTTCAACAAGCGCAAATTTTCTTTCCCTTATCAGACTATCGACATCAATTAATTCTGAAAATAATAATAATTCGTTACATTACATCTATATATAAATCGTTTAAGAGATCCGTTTTTGAAAAAGGATTGGTAGTTTGGAAAATTTTCTAATAAATGTTAATCTTATAGAAAAGCAATTCAAGAAAATCAATTATGCAGCTTTTCAAAGTGAAAGTTTTCAAAGTAGAAAAGAAAATGAGGCGGAGGTTATTTATCACAACGAAAGTATGAACATTTTATCTGGACGTTATCTAGCCATAACGTTTTCTGACGAGAAGGTTTTGCACCAGTAATAACACAAAAATTTTAAGAGTAATGCAAAAGTACCAGGGCTGTGAAACCCGAATCGACTGATTAATCAACACAATTTTTAGAAAAAATAGATCAAAAACATAAAAAAAATGTTTTGGTACCTACTTATTTTATTCCAGTCAATATGAACCCTTGGTCTGTGCGTATTGAACGCGAATCCGGACTCTTCAGCTAACTTCGGAAATTGATGGTAGAGCTCATAAGATGTTTTACAAGTCATTTTATTTTAAATGTTTTATTTCCAATTAAATTTTTCGTAACTGTAAATATTTTGAATACTTATTCTATGAAACTTACAAATTTACTCATCTGTTGACAATACAGTTGCTAAGTAACGCACGCTTATACATCAACAATCACATAAATATTGTTCATGGCAACTGTTGTTTTATTCATTTTATTAACTTTCTATAAAAGCCTGTGTACTAATTAATAAAAATAATTATCTAGATCAGAGATACCGAATCTTTTCAGAACTGCTGTTTCCAAGAAAAAATCCAATGGTCGTTGGTTTTTTTTAATATTATATGAAATAATAAAATATTGCTGGATTTCGTTTAACATATCAATGACATGCCGTTGAATTGATTGCATGTACTATGTCTTCTTCGGTATAAAGTTAAATAGAAGTAGCTGATATTTTGGGGTCTTGACTGTTGACACAGAGTTAGGAGCAGTACTTACTACACGCGAAACCGGACATGTGCTCTGTAAAACACAAGTCTTTGTCGAGACGCAAAGTGTCAGTATATCATGCATCCCCATGCTACCTGTGTAACAATTTATGGTATTGATCGAAGCTTGAAAATCGAGAGCGAGTACCGAACTTTGTGTAACGACAACGATAATTATCATAGAGCAGTAATCATCAACCACTGCTGAATACTGTAAGCTGGTAACTTCGACAGAAGCTCTCTATGCCAGACACTCGAGGCTTACAATGAGAACCTGGTATTTGCTGTCTAAATTCTCAGCCCAAGGGCGAGTGAAGTACACAAAATGTTCAGCAGCACTAACAAGGACGTACTTATGACTGAACCCGTTCTGTTGGGTGCTGATCAGCTCGTAACCTTCATAGTGCCCCAGGAGCTGAGTATTAAGATATTAATCTTTGAAAGCAAAGAAAATATACGTGACTTTAAACTGATTCGTATTAAATGTTTAATGCACCATTGCAGAATTGTTGATCGGTCTCTGTGTAGATGCTTCGTTGATGGTTTTTTCTTGTATTATTTTTAGTTTAATTTAATTCAATTGTTGTAAATCATAGTTATTTAATATAAACGCAAATATATTTATTTGAAGATTTTTTCGTGTTGTGATTGCCTAAAAATTAAACCTAATTCTCATTACTATTTAAATGCCCGCTGTTCACTTTTTGCCAACCCACCAAAACAAGAAAATAAGGTAATAAAAATAAAAACACTATATTTACGTGGTTGAATTCCACATTGCTTTATTTAGATTAATTATGATATAATTCATTTTTCCATTACAAACAGCCATGTCGAAGTGAATAAATCAATTAATTTTAAATTTAGGAGGAGCAGCCTCATCTTAACATTATATAATAACATGCACAATATGAATTTGTTGACTTGAAGCATTTATGTTATATCGTTAAATAATACGAACAGTATATACAAAAAGATTTTAAGCTAATTTAAATGTGACATAAAAACGAAGTAGGTAGACGTCTTATGCTGTCGGTTTCTCTTCCATGACAGTAGTGCCCGAAGCTACAGAGCTGGCCTCATCGGTAGTCGTTGAGTGGCATTGAAGCACTGGGAATCTTTTGTACAGAGCAGCTTGGTATTTAGGGTGGCTAAAAATAATAAATGATGTAGAACAAATGATGAAAAAGTATTATGCCCACTTGCATGAAACCTTCACATCCTAATAGTAGATATGCGAATGTCTGTTGGCGTGCGATTACGAAATTCGAACAAATAAAATTGTGCGTGTTCAATTGTTTATCCTCAATATTTATTTATGTATGTAACTTATGAGTCACTACTTTTTTTAGTTACTAATTTTAATGAATTATCTTCTTCTAACATTTCAAACATAACTTTTTTGCAGAAGGGTTAATTCAAAAATAGTCCGACTGACCTGATACCATATACAATCGGATTATATACAGCATTAGCTTTGGCAAAGAGTGAGCCCCAGATAGTAGCTAAAGGACTAATTGGAGCGCTTTCCAATATTCCTGTGTAGTTGATGACTAAGTAAGGTGTCCAGGCCATGAACCACAGAGAAATTGTCATAAGTGCCACCTGCAACATGTTATTAAATTAATCTGATATATTTTTCGCAGAATCTACCACCGGCTTGGAATCGCGACCCACTGAAAAGATCCGGTGAGAAACTCAGTGGACAATCCGATATTTAAAAGCATTAACATGAAAGAATTTTCATTGAAATTAAAACAAAATACCACGTACCTTAGCTAGCTTACATTCAGTGCTAGTGTTAGCAGCTTCCGACGATCTAAGAGATGCCACGTTCATTTTCTTCGCTTGTTCCCTCATTGCTTTTTCGTGAGCAGACACAGCCTAGTCGCAAAAGGTAAATAATAATAATAAAAATTGGGCTACTATATAGTTGAGATTACTATAAACGCCGAGAATACAGACCTGTACAATGTAGTAATAAGAGTAGACGATCAGAAGCAACGGGGCAAAGTAAACAAAAACGGAATAGACAACGATGTAGCTTCGGCTAAACCAATCTTTGGTCAGGTAGTCAGTACCGCATGCAGTCATATTACCTTCAGGTACGTATCTGTTGGAAAACATGAGAATAATAAATATAATAATAGGTAAGTAATTGAAAAACAACAAAAAAAACACTAAAACGCAACGCGATCCAAAAAAAAATTATTTTAAAAAATCCTGTTTTTTTTTTATTGTCCTTGTAGGCAGACGAGCATACGGCCCACCTGATGGTGAGTGGTTACCGTCGCCCATGGACTTGAGCAATGCCAGAGCCAGAGCCAAGCCGCTGCCTACAGCTAAAATTTGATGCTACCGCTGATTTTGATCGGTGTTCAGCTTGTAGTACTACTCGTATATTTCGGTTGTGTTCGTTGATGTTATAATCGTTGATAGTATAAATTAGTAGAAGAAAAACAGTAATTCTAGTGTCTCAACGGTTATCTTACCTGTTCCAACCGAAGAAAGGTGCCACTGTCCATGCCAACGAGAAGGCCCAGATTCCGAGAATTCGTAGAAGAGCTCCGTTGTTTGTCATTGGTTTTGCCGCAATTCCCTTCACAATAACATTATAGCGGTCGAAAGCGATCATTGTCATCGTCCAAATTGAAGCACACCCAAATAGCGATCCAGCGCAACCGTATAGCTCACACGCGAATGGTCCTAAAATATTTTAAATAACAAAAGCCAAATCTTTCAACAGAGTTTATTGTTAATAATCTATTTAAGCGGTACGCAGCGGTTTGGCTCTGCCCCTGGCATTGCTGAAGTCCATGGGCGACGGTAAACACTCACCATCAGGTGGGGCGAATGCTGTCTGCCTACAAAGGCAATAAAAAATAAATAAATAAAATAACTAGAATACTGACCGAAAACCCAAGTTTCATTGTAACAATTAATTACCATAGCTGGAGACATGGCACACATCATTAGGAAATCAGAAAATGCTAAGTTCACTACGAGTAAGTTCGATGGTGTTTTCAGATTCTGAAACATGGATTTATAAAAACTTTAGTGTGGCTGATGAAAAATTATAAATTTATTAAATGTAGGTACGTAATATTTGGTACTTTACCTTTGTTGTCATGAAGATGTAAATGACCATACCGTTGCCCATCATTGAAATGAAACCGAGGACTCCAATGGTAAAACCCAATAGCGCATGCCATAAGGGATTCATGGGCGGAAATTGATACCTAAAAATATTATTGGTACATTATAAAATTCTTACTTTAATTTCGATTTCACTTTAAGTTCGTATTTTACTTTCAACTGCAATAAGCAAAACATCAGAAATTTTTAAGATTTAAATAAAAGTACGAACCAGTAAGCGTCGATCAAATGTAACATTTCTGGCGAAACTCTGTCCACCACGGTTTGGTTGGAGTTTCCAAATGCTGCCACTTGGCTACTCCATGACTGTAGGGCTGCGAAGCCTGGACCGGCGTCCATAGATATCGACATCTCTACTTGTTTCACGAAAGGTAAATTCTGAAATACAATTACTATTTAATGAACATTAGCATTAAAAATCAACGTGCGAATGACCGCTGATGACAATTTACTTGAAGGGGGATGAAGCTTGTGTTGAGAATGGTTATTACAAAATACTGAAGAAAATCGTTTAACGAACTACTCCAGTCTTTATTGTAGCTAACCAATCTCGTGGTGCGTGGCGTGGCAGGATTGCCGAGGCAGTGGAGGCTACTCGGCGTTTAGAGACTTGCCTCACCTTTTATACTTCACAAGAAGTATTTAGCCAACGTCACCAAAATCAATATTCATAATTAGATCAGATGTAAGTGTCTTAAAAGGTGAAATAATTAGCTACTTAAGTTAAGCTAAGAATAGGAAAGTAGGAAGAGGCTTCACTTATTTGGTAAAGGCGGTGTTCTTTATTTAATAAGTTTATAAGTTATATGAATAAATATTACGGACATCTACATATTGTGTTTTTATCTATTAGTGTTGTTGAACTGACTAGCTATATACCCGTCTGATATTAAGTGATTGATTTGAGAGATTGAATTCTTAGTTGTATTAAATAGCGGGTGCTTCGTTCTTCAAAGCAATAATTATGATGCTGGCAAGAATTGCCAGACCGCCATATCTGTTCAGAGTAGTACGCCTTACCTTCGAAAAATAGGAGTATAGTTTTCGGGTTTTTGTGTATTGTGTGGCGATATTCTTTCATAGTTGAAGTCATTCATGAACACGTTAACTAGGTACGTATTTACTAAAGAAGATTGGTAAGTATTTGGGTTCAGGATTTCAACCTGACATCATTTGACATAAAGACAAGACGCAGCGCATCTTGCCTATCCAAAGAGCATACGATAGATGTGATTAAAACTATACTTTTAAACATCTATTTATTTATTATTTGTATTTAGCATATAAAATTTAATAAACTAAAAAAAAAGAGTTTTTAACACAACCTACATTTTTCCTACCAGTAAAGAATATATATATAATATATATATATATAGTTACTAATAGTAAGTAATCATAATAAAAATTAATTATCATTGTGATTACTCAGAAAAACCTTTAAGGCACTATCATAAAATATATGGTAAATCATAATTTTTATTATGATTAGTTACTATTAGTTCGTTTACTAAAAATTTTATTTCAGCGGCTTACTCATAGATTAATGAAAAACGTTACCTACTTAGCAAAAAGTCTTTGTATCTACGTCTTTGTACTATAGTCTTATTAAAGTAATAGAATAAAATATTTATGTTCGATAAATATTCGAATACCTACACAGTGCACGCGAAGCACCGATGTGCGATGTTGCGTGAACAACATCATAGACATATTAGTGGACAGTTTTACCAGTTCGATTTTTAGGTTTGGTACTTAAAAAATAATGTTACAGAAAATAGTTTACTATACATATTACAATTTCTCATTGTCTTAAGACAATTAGAGATTTATATTTAAATAGAAGGTTTTACTTTTTTATTTTTTTATTGCTTAGATGGGTGGACAAGCTCACAACCCACCTGTTGTTAAGTGGTTACTGGAGCCCATAGACATCTACAACGTAAATGCGCCATCCATGTTGAGATATCAGTTCTAAGATCTCAGTATAGTTACAACGGCTGCCCCACCCTTCAAACCGAAACGCATTACTGTTTCACGGTAGAAATAGACAGGGCGGTGGTAACAAACCCACGCGAACTCACAAGAGGTCCTACCACCAGTAAAGGTACTATTACAAGGTGTGAGGCCGCTATCTATGTTACTTTCCCCTCTACTATTTCATTACCTCCCCGTAGTATTCTCAACTTGTTTTCTATTTCGTCCTGTACTGCTCACCTTACTCCTATATTGAATAGTACTGGTTGGGTGTTGTCCTTTAGTCGAACACGTTGGTATCATCTTGCTACCTATATCTGTCATGAATAAAACTTCCGCATTAGTCGGAGCGTTGATTAACTGTTTTTAAAGTGCAACTGGTTGGGTCTTCCACCTGAAGAAGCCCTGTGAAGACTACTTCCGCAAAATTGGTGGCGGGATTAATGCTGTGATATCTATAGACTTCGGTAACTGCTTAACATCTGTAGACCCGTAGGCGCATCTGCCTATCTACTCTAACTAGTGGTCCCGTAGTAGTCGAAATTCGACTATAATTAATTGAAATTATATATTTCAACATTATTGTGGTCCTATTGTTACAGATTTCGCCAAGACTACACTATAGACAAATACTCGTAATATTAAAGATAAACAATACTAACCTATTCTAAATTTGACTACAGACTTTAAGCAATAACAAAAGTTTGACAATGAACAAAGAGTAGGTATATGTGTGTGTGTGTGTCAAACACATGGTAGTGTGTGTAATGTTTTCTTTATTGATTTAATGCATCTTTTATGCATTATTTAAAAAAAATATTAGCATTGTGCACTTCTTCTCTATATTCTCTATAAGTGTGGGAAATTTCATACTCCTCCGTCCGCGCAATTTTCGTAAAAAGGGATACAAAGTTTTTGCTTCACGTATTAATATATAGATAATAATAAAAACAAAAACCTACAGTCATTTAACAAAAAACCCGTTAAAGACGGTTTTGAGGAAAATGTTAATTTACAGCTTACATCAGAATGCATCGTTTTTTTCCAATGCTATTTATCATTTAATTAAAATTTAGATGGAGTTTGTCGTGCGTTTCGTGGCTAGAAATCGTGCTATTTTTGTAAACGACAATCGTCTTTAAATTATCGTATCATAATATAATAATATGTTGCAACGAGATTTATAGCTTGTTTTCTGATTATGCCAAAAATGGCATCATATGTTTTTTCTAAGTATTATTAAACGTATCGATAGCCCACGCCCAAACGTAGCCCAATGATGAAAAGCCCTTTACAACCTCAAGTGTATCTTTGCTTTCCATTTCAGACTGTTCATAATCCCCCTCCATAAGTCCACGTTGTCATTTACGCAGCAATGAAGGCGAATGAAATGTTCGTTGTATCTTCCGTACTTTTTGTGCTAATAGTAAAGATAGAACAAAGCGATCTTGTGGTTGCGTTGGTACCTTAGATATTTTAATAGGCTAATAGCAAAATGAAGCTATGTATTCAGGATTCCGTGATTTAGTTCAAATCGAAGAAACAAAAATAGTTATTAAAAAACGTAAAATAATTCCATTTCAATCTGGAGCAATTTAATAGTGAAGTATTAAACAAAGATGAGTTCATTAGACAGTTCTTATACAATTAGTAGTAGTTTATTTAAAAATTAAAAAACAGTTAAATTGTTTTTTTATGAGTATGGGGGGCTCCGCCCCCCTACCCCCTGCCAGGGCTTCGCCCCTGGACCCCGGCTCGGTACTCCACGAACTTTCGACCTGGCAGGAGAAAAAAAAGTATGTGCACCGCGGGAAAAAATTAGGACATCTCATCCCGCATGTTTGCCACCAAAATGTACTATTACAATTTGTCATTTGAGATTACAATAATTTATTTTTCATAAAATATAAAATAATAACATAAATTCTCTTCACAAAATTTTATTAAAAAAAAATAGAATTTCTTTATAAATTAATTTATAATTATTTTGTATAGATTTATATTGAGGTCAGGTATTTTTACTTTTGTAAATCATATCTTCCTTTATCCCTCGCTGTAAGTCTCGGAAATCTAAAGCTTTGGATTAATATACACGAGATTTAAAAATTAGTTCGCCAAAGAAGTTTTACTTCTGACATGTGTACTTTGTACGCACGCACTTTTTTTTTTCTTTTAGCTTCTCTGTAAAAAATTAATCTAGAGATCTAAATCTAAAGATAAATATCTAATCTAAAGATAGTAGATGATACTCTACAGACCTATTTCATCCTCAAAGCAGTCAAAGCAAACATGCGTTCTGGTTTGGTGGGTAGGGCAACCGTTTAAACCTAAAATATGTTTTATTGATGGTGTGTATGTGTTTATTTTTTAACCAAAAATTTTAATTTTTCGGTAATTTTCGAGTAATGATTGACATATTTACCATATTCCCTTATCAATAGATACAATAGACACATAAGTCATGTAGTCAAGCATCAACGAGATGTTTCAATTCAATTAAAACTCAGTTATGTGGTCAACATCCATGTTATTTTTTATTTAACGGTCATTTTGATCCAGGTTACATAGCCATTTCGTAGTATACAGCGTAGAACTTAACTCTACGAGGAACAGACTCTTGGGAAGGGTTTCGGTTTAACGGCATATATTTTAATCATTACCTTTTTTTTCTATTTTTAATACCGCCACCGTAAAGTTGAGGCAGTTATAAGATATAAGAAAAGTGTGCACTATTCAACTCAAAAACAAAGCGTGGACTCAAAATACGCAGAATGTTTTCAGAAACTTTACTGAATATTTTGTAACAAGTTCACGCTCTGTGTCTGAGCTTACATCTTTTTACAAACGTAAAACATTTCATATAAAAATAAAGAACATCGCTCTAGCATATCCATATGTCCGTATAAGAGAATCGCGTCGTCTGTGTCTGTGTGATTGAGTGGATTGTAAAATTTTCACGCGGCCGGCTTCTCCTCCGAGACAGCTGTGGCACCCGAAGCCACGGAGCCGCCATCGTCCGGAGGTGCTGATTGGCATTGTAATGAAGGGAACCTTGCATACAACGCTGCTTGGTATTTGGGATGACTGTAAGAATAGCACACGTTTAATGATCAAATCAATATATATGATGGAAATATAGTTTAATGTTTCATTTTGGAAAATATACCAATGTAATCATTAACATGTTTATGTTTTTCATTATTATTTAATTCATTTCAAAAGAGATCCAAAAACAAACCTGATGCCATAAACAATCGGATTATACACAGCGTTAGCTTTGGCAAAGAGCGATCCCCAAATGGTGGCCAGAGGACTGATCGGGGCGCTTTCAAACACCCCTGTGTAGTTTATAACCAAATAAGGTGTCCAAGCCATGAACCACAAGGAAATTGTCATCAATGCCACCTGAAATTTTTTAAGTCATTATAATATACGAATTTTTGACAGTATATATATATTATAAATATATATTTACTAACAATCACGCCACGTTAACTGGTCCCGTGCTAAGTTCGTAAAGAACTTGTGTTACAAGTACCAGATAATGGAAATAAATGTAAGATTTTTATTATACACATACATATTACTATATAATATAATATACATCCATAACCCTGGAAAAGACATTTTATATTTATCATACAAATATCTTCCCTTGGCTGGATTCGAACCCGCGACCCCCTTGTGTAGTGAGTATGTCACTTACCACTACACAAAACGGCCGTTAAATGTTTGTTGTTGTTTAAGTTTTATGTGTGACTACAAAGCACCTACACTGTGTCGTGTAATTACAGTACCTTGGCGAGTTTGCATTCAGCGCTGGTGTTGGCTGCTTCAGATGATCTGAGAGAGGCGACGTTCATTTTTTTCGCTTGTTCCCTCATTGCTTTTTCGTGGGCAGCTACGGCCTGTAATGTTAAATTATTTTTGTCTGGACGTTTAATTGATTGTACAATTATCAAAGCGCCAGAACATGCTATTTTACGGTCCTGCACGGGGGTTACCATTGCGCTGCATCTTTTCTCAGCGAAGTAGTCATTAGAAAGTTCCGAAAGTAGCCGTTGTTTCAGTAGAAGACGTTCTATTCATTTGATGATTTGATTTACCAGGTTTAAGACTAGACGTCAGTTTTCACGCTAAGGTGTTTACAGGCTCAGCTAACCATATAACATCTGACAGACAGTAATATTAATTGCCCATCTCAGACAATAAATCATATGCTGAAGAATAGTAAAACAAACCTGCACAATGAAGAAGTACGAATATATGATGAGAAGAAGTGGGGCGAAGTAAACAAAAACGGAGTAAATAAGAATGTAACTGCGGCTAAACCAATCTTTAGACAGATAGTCAGTACCGCATGCAGTCATGTTTCCTTCAGGCACATATCTGTAAAAACAAAATATTTTTGTTGCACATGCCTTTTATGCATTGAGGCAGCAGGCTCAAGGCAAATTTAAAAAAGTCTTTTGAGCTAAGCGATATATTATCAGTAATGCGTTTCGGTTTGAAGGGCGGGGCAACCGCTGTAACTATACTTGAGGCCTTAGAGCTTATATCTCAAGGTGGGTGGCGCATTTACGTCGTAGATGTCTATGGGCTTCAGTAGCCACTTAACACCAGGTGGGCTGTGAGCTCGTCCACCAATATAAGCAATAGAAGAAAAAAAAATTATATATTTTGTATTTCATGGTCACATTGGTCTGTTTCTGTTTTTTTGTCGGACATTTGTTCTGTGGTCTATTGAATTGCAATTAATTCTGAAGTACCTCAGGATCAGTTTACGCACCTATTCCAGCCAAAGAAGGGTGCAAGGGTCCAAGCTAGCGAAAATGCCCAAATTCCAAGAATGCGTAGAAGAGCGCCGTTGTTCGTCATTGGTTTTGCCGCAATGCCCTTCACAATAACATTATAGCGGTCGAAAGCAATCATTGTCATCGTCCAAATCGAGGCACACCCAAATAATGAACCAGCACAAGCATATAGCTCGCATGCAAAAGGTCCTAAAAGGAGATGATGTTTAATAAATTTATTTAAAAACAAAAACTCTATTCGCAAACTTTTTACTAACCGAAAACCCAAGTTTCATTGTAACAGTTAACGACCATCGCTGGAGACATAGCACACATCATGAGGAAGTCTGAGAATGCCAAATTCACTACGAGAAGGTTTGATGGTGTTTTAAGGCTCTGGAAAATAGTACATTTCATGAGGTAAAATCGATCTACGGACGTAAAGTTTCGGCATTTTAAAAGTTATTTATTTTCACAAACCTTTGTTGACATGAAAATGTAAATGACCATTCCGTTACCCGAAATTGATATGAAGCCAAGAACTCCGATTGTGAAGCCTAATAGGGCGTGCCATAGTGGGTTCATAGGTGGAAATTGGTACCTGAAATGAAATCGTTGAAAAATGATCACTTTAGTTTACGAATTGTTATTGCAATACAACATTGAAAGATATTTAAAATAAAATATGAATTAACAACAAACCAATGAGGATCGACCATGTGTAGCATATCAGGTGGTACTTTATCGACAACGGTTTGGTTAGCGGCTCCGTAGGCAGCCACTTGACCACCCCACGCCTGGAGAGCTGCCATTCCTGGTCCAGAATCCAAGGAAATCATTTTCGCACTATTAAAGTTGACTACGTAACCTGAATGATTAAAGTGAAATTTTAGGAAATAGTAATCTAAATTCAATTACTTCCAATTCAATTAAAATAAAAATAACTTGTCATTTTTTGCTCACAAAGAAGGAATGTGAACTTTAATTATGTATTGAAATGGGTATAAAATACTGAAGGAAATCATTAAATGAACTTCAGATTAATTACAGTAAACCAATCTCGTGGTGCGAAGTGTGGCAGGATTGCCGAGGCCGTGGAGGCTACTCGTCTTTACTAGTACGGCTCTGTTTTATATACCTAACGAGGATTAATGTTGCGTTGCAGGAAAATCAATATTCATAATAAGATATACGATGTCTTAGAAGGTGAATACATTATTATCTTGAGGGTGAATTTTACAGGTTTGCATTTAAAATTGAAAATGATAATAATCATGTATGATATAAGAAAGTTGTATTTTCGGTTATGTTTAAATTAAATAATTAATATTTCATGCTAATGGAATAAAAAAAAACGAAAGTACATTTTATTATTCCAAATTGAAATAATTACTTTACCTACATTCATCCGTATCCGAAAATTATCCGTCTTAGACATAAAATATATGTTAATTTATAATATTATATTGATATATAATATTATAACTAATATTAAATTAAAAATTAAATACTAAATTAATAATATTAAAATAATATTATATAATAAAGAATAAAAATAATAATTTTATAACTAAAATATATTATTAAAAGGAGTCCCTTTAGGCAAGGTTCCGAAGATACTGGCAGCGAATTAGTCTAGCTATTCCCCCTTTGAATAGCTAGACTAATTCTTTGTCCAAGGTAGCTGCCAGCTCTTCGGTCTCCTGTGGTGTCGACTAACCTTTTTGCTATTTCCTTAAAAAGCTTTATAGCGCTAGGATCCCACGGACCAAGGGTCTCGAGACCGAATGGAACAAAAACATATTCCGAGCCTAGACCCCTGTATTTGCATGCTTTGGTTTTTTGAGCCGCTTCACAAGCCGCACCAGCTTTATTGTAGGTTCCATGTAGATGGGAAGGGGCCAGCGTGTCTGAACAGGTTGCATCCCATACCAGCACCCGGCCCATCTTCCATGGAATCAAACTCATATCGTCCGGTCTCTTGCCGTCGTCTCTTGCAATACCAGTCGGCTCAAGTAGACTTGGCACGTTGGCAGTGGCAAGGGACCGGCGTATGATATAATTAAGTGCGGCATGTCGCGAGAAGCGGTCTGCACTTTTTTGGCAAGACAGTCCGTGATGTCCTAGCTTGTCGACATCACTGCCACAGGGACATTTATGAGGAACACAGACCGGAACCCCGAGCCGTACACAGGTTGCGATTCGGAGCGTGTCAGGCTCAAGAAATGTTCCTGTATTTGACGAAGGGTACGCGTGAATCCAGTAGCTGGCCTCGTGCGCACCCACAGCCAAAAGCCTAGCACGCGCCGAACCTGTACTACAGCTCAAAAGATTGTCATATGTCAATTTGCAGTTTATGTCGTCCCAGCTCTTCTGTGAATTTAGAGAAACTGGAAAATTTTGACGTGGGCATGCAATTAAGAAAGCGTTTCTAGCTTCTTCCAAGCCAGCAATCTCAAAGTTTTTTACTTATGAGATTTGCTGAACTATGGACAGAAGATAGGAAGGCTGGTAAAGCGACACTAGAAATTTTGCGAATCCCTAAACCACCAAAATGGATGGGTAGGGATGCATGGGTCCAAGTTAGCTCGTTTAGCTGCATATTAAGAATCGATTCTAAGCCAATTTTGATTAAAGTCTACTTGTGTCAAAAGATCTGGGTGATTCCAAAAAGAGCAGCAATGGAGCACATACGTAAATTTTCGAACGAAAAAACTAAATTTTAAGATGCAAAGTGCTTAATGTGGACTAATTTCAAGGAAACGGTCAGCAGAATTTTGAAATTTAGTAATAAATTTAGTTATTTATAAAATAAACTATGTTTAAGTGCCGCCGTTATGGTACGGTTGATATTTGCAAAATTTAAAGCTGTAGGTACAGCTCTGTATTACTGAGGTAATGTAGTTATGCGACTTCAAAGAAGCAGGTTTATGCGGCTAACAAGATTAAATGTCTTCGCTAGTACGTACGTACATTATTCGATACAAAAACTGCAATTAATTGTTTAAAACAAACTAGGTGTGTCCCGCGGCCCACGGCTCTATTTTAAGTAAAATTTAGAATGAATAATGTAAATGTATTTACGGGATGGTTAGTGTGCTTGTACCAAGCATATGTACAACAACTTTCAGTAGTAATGTCCGAAGTAGAGTTCATTGTTCATCCACAGCTCATTTCTAGAAATAATTCTAGGATGAACTCTATAGCAAAGTATTTCTGAAAGCTATATTCAGACGAGTTTTGAAAATAATATGTAGTTTTAAGTGGGAGGTGACGCACTCCTTCATAGTGTCAGCACTGGCTTTTCTCTTCTGAATATCGACTTATTTCGTTTTCTTGCTCTTCATCCCTAATTTTACTAGTAAGATAAGGCTTGCTGTAAGCCTACTAGGATGGCTCGAGCACCCATTACTACTGAGACTTCCACAACATGAAGCAATAAAAAAATATTTAAAAATATTAACCATTCAACCCTTCAAACCAGGATGATGATTGGTTTGCACAAGAAATAAACAAGATGGTATGGCGGCTTATACTAATTTTATTACAGCGTTCGATGTTATTCCTTCACTACTAAACTTTGTTCAAGAACACAGTGGAGAAACATACTTAACATACAGGAACATTATCATTTGTAGAAATCGAACTTGATATTAAATATCATCGAGACTCATAGCTGCTCACTCACTCTTCGTAGTATTACTTATGATAGAAATAGATAAAACATTGGTTCAAACCAACAAAGTTTTAAACAAACAGTAAGCCAAAAAATCTGTGAGAAAAAAAATTACACTATTTTACCATAAACTTATTATTTCAATAAAGGTAGTAGAAATAAAATCCCGTGCTATTCAGAAGAAAAAAAAATTAATGACAATTGAGGTATGTCATAAAGTAACAATTTGTTTAGTACAGAAAGCTTATAATTAAGACAAAAATACAGAAAATTTTAAAAAAAGAAAAAGATAAAAGAAAAAAAAACTTAAAAAAAAACTATGATTGTAATGTAGTGAAACATGAATGCGATTATATACTCTTTAAATTTATAATGAATTGGTAAAAAAAGCTCTTTAGAACCTAAAAAACACCAGAACTCAAATTCGAGTCGTGAAAGCTAGAATAATATCATTCAGTGACAATCTAAAGTTGCACTAGAATTCTGTGGGTATATTTAATTTAGAAGAATATGGAGTCAACCGAAGAGTTGCAGTTCAGTGATGATGAAGAAGAAGTAACAGCTGAGACTGTTTTAAAAACACTACAATGTGCTTGGCAAAATGAAAGATTGTCCCCAGAAATACTCCCTCATCAAAATGACATGGTAGAATGTATGTTAGGTCAAATACAACACATGGAAAGAAACATAAATAAACTTTCAAAAACTGATTTGAGAACTTCTATACACAAAATGGAGATTAGCAGAATTAAATTTATTATTTGTAATTATCTTAAAACTAGACTGAATAAGATTGAAAAATATTGCATTCCAATACTAAACCAAGAAAGACAAAGAATAGAAACTGATACTAATTACCTAACACCATCAGAATATAAATATGCTCAAGAATATGTTTTGAACATGGAAAATCATATGAAAAATGTGGTATTAAATAAAATGCCTGGTAATATGCAAGTCTTTGAAATGAACAAAATGGCAGAACATCCTAATTTACAAACGCATGTATTCCTTAAAGCCAATGAAACCATTAATGGGGTTGTATTAGAAGACTTGACTGGTGAAGATGAAGAAATTGACTTAGAAGGTTTGTTGTTGATTTTCTTACAACTAAAACAAATTATAGTTTTTCTTTTGTTATACTTTGATAGATAGAGCAATACCCTTGTTGGTTTAATGACCTTGACTACTGTACCACAGGATATCACCTATATCATTGAAGTTATCATGACTTAAATAATAATATTATGGTATATTGAATGATTTGATTATATATGTCTCAAATTGAATCTAATTCTGTTTGATTAATCCACAAAGAAGAAATAACACAATAGAAAAAAAAAACTTGCCAAAATAAAAATAATATCCCATAATTATTGGTGGTAGGCCATATGGGAATGTATCACCAATTAATTAGTCTCTGCCATGAAGCAGTCATGAAGTTTGAAGAATTGGGACAGTCCCCATACTAGACAATGGAGACTTAGTCCTCATATCTCAGGAGGTATTCACTTTTTATAGTATTTATAGATTTTGGTGAACATTTAACATTGTGTATGTCTGACACATACAACACTTGTGAACATACATTATGTAGCAATCTCAGAAATTAAAAAAAATCAAACACAGTGAATGATATTTACCATAGGAGTTAAAATCTCATACTTTTAAACTAATCTAAAGTGCAAAGTTGTGCTATAATTTAAATTAAAAAAATTTCAATTAAAACCTTGAGACAAGGGTTCTAAGTCTCCGTGTTTATGACTCAGTTAATGGCCGCCCCAACTCTTAAACCAAAACCCATTACTGCTTCATGGCAGAAATAGGCAGGGTGGTGGTACACATCATGCAGGCTCACAAGACACCATACCACTAGTGAAAGTGTAAGTAAGATGTTAAATGATAAAGCTGTAATGTAAAAATGCTTGTAATTAATTACCTTAACATTTCAATTTAAAGTCTAAATTTTATTGTAGGTATGTAGCCCAACCATATACTTACACCAGTAAAGTCAAATTTATTAATTTTGTAGGTTTTGTAATTGCAGTAATGCTATCTATATAAATACTAAGTTTGTGCATTTCCTCAGAAAACTAGGGAATGTCATAGAATTTTAAATCTGAAATAGCAGTAACTATCATAGGACAAAAATTGAGCAAAAACTGAAACCATGCAAAAAAAATACAAGAAAAATCTAAGATATATAAAAGTTTCAAACAACATTTGGACTACTGGCTTAACAAGAAATAATTACTGATCTGTGGAAGATTACCTGTTCATCATTTTCACTATACTAAATGTTAACTTGTTAATAACAGCCACAAGTTTTACTTTATTGTTTACAATTAAATTGTTTTATTTAAGTATAAAATGTAAAATCTTGCTACAAGTGTGGGTTCAGACTAAGAATAAAAGTAAGTGAAATTCATAAAATGCAGTATAATGTCTTTAGTACTACTTATTTCTTTCAGAGGGCTCGCAGCACATCTTGCAATACAAACCAATTGCAGATCTTTTAAAGAACGGGAAAGTCACATTGTTATGATAGTAAATTTTCTGTAAACACTTTGTATTTCATTTATTTTTAAAACATTTGTAGCTAGTTTAATAAATTAAACAAAATCAATTTTTACTTTCAGTTTATTGTAATTAACATAATAAATATACAAGGTAAGTACACAATAAGTACTGAAGTATTATAATCTCACAAAATTTAAATATATTTCAAAGTTACAATTACTACTTATGTAAGAATAGACAGTTGAAACATTAAAAAACTACAATGTAAATTTATTTGTAATTATATCACAATATTTTTTCATAAAGCACTTATTTATATTTAAGTTAAATCTGACAGCTTATTATTTTTCCTTACAAAAATATATCTGGAATTTGGATACATTTTATTGGCTAGCTAGGCTAGGTTAGGTTATAATGAACAGCACCTTACTAGCAGATCTTAAAATTTAAACATTAATCTACATATATTCGATAAAAACCTTATTATAATCAACATATTGTGTAATAAGTTACTTTTTTGTATGTTGCCATAGTAAAATGTACATTATACAAACATAAAGCATAGATACAAATTTAAAACATTGCTTATAAATAGAGTATTAAATATGGACTGTAAATAAAATAATTTAAATACATATATGTATAACTAAATAAGTACTATGATTATTATTGGTAACATTTAAAGCTTCCTCATTATTTAAAAGTAACAGAAATAAACTCTTTGTGAAAATAGATATATGTAGATAAATAATTTAAACAAATAGTTCGTTATGACCCTGTAAATGTGAATTGGACTAAAGATATCCATGCACTATTAATTTAGAGACACGACGTGTACTTTGGTGACAACCGTTTAAAATAGTAATTTAACAGTTGTGGTGGATATAATTTCTTACTTATCTATGTTAGTGTTACCGGGACTTTATAATATTCTTAATTAGATATAAACATCGCCAATGCTATTATCAAGTAAATACGACATTAAAAAAACCTACAGCAAACAGTGGGAACCCGTGAATGTTGCCTCAATTAAAGCTTCGATCTGACGTTTTAAGGCGGGCGGTAGTTTCTCGGCGAGGGTATTCAACTGTGGAGTCTATGGATACTTGTAATCTTTTAAAACCAAGTGTATCTCGAACTTGGCTGCCCAGCTATAGCAATGTATTTATTTGAAAGTAATCTTGTACCAACGAATTAAGTACCATTAAAAGGGGATGGCCCATTTTCGGCCCAAAGCGGACAATAGATTATAGAAAAAATACTTAGTGCATTAATTTTGTCATAAATAAATATGCATTTACTTTCTTGCAAATAAGCGCCACTATAGTTTACAATAAGTAGTTTAAAAAAAGTAACTCTATTGAAAAAACAAGGATTTTTATTTTTGCGGGAAAAATATTGCCAGCTTCAAANAAAAAAGTAACTCTATTGAAAAAACAAGGATTTTTATTTTTGCGGGAAAAATATTGCCAGCTTCAAATCCTTTTACGTATGAAGTAAATATTTTGAGTATATAAATAAAACATATAAATAAATCATTTTAAGTATTATCATTAATCAAACGATTTTAATGGATTTTATGCACATAAAATAACATCGAAGACATACCCATTAGACTTTAACTTGTAACTATACTTGAGACCTTAGAACCTATATCTCAAGGTGGGTGGCGCATTTACGTTGTAGATGTATGTGGGCTCGAGTAACCACTTAGCAACACCAGGGTGGCTGTGAGCTCGCCCACCCATCTCATCATCATCATCATCATTTCAGCCTATCGCCGTCCACTGCTGAACATAGGCCTCTCCAATAGATTTCCAGTGCGACCGGTCCATTGCCACCTGTATCCAACGAGACCCAGCGCTTTTTACTAGGTCGTCGGTCCATCTAGTAGGTGGCCGTCCCACACTGCGCTTGTCAGTACGTGGTCGCCACTCCAGGATCTTTCTAAGCAATAAAAAAAACTTTACTAGTATTGTTATTTAAATATGTACAACTAAAACAAAAACATAAAAAATAATGTGTACTCGTAAAAAAAAGATTAAGATATAAATCAATTATCGGTTATTTAAAAAATAATCGATATATGAATTTCATGTAATTATTTTTCTTTATACTGACAACACTGAATTTAATCTGACTGACTGACACTTCGCTTGCTGCTTGTGGTGTTGTGCTTGCGTACAAAATGGATGTGTTTTGATTTTTCTTCGATTTATTTTACTTTTATCAATAACGTTTCATACTACGACTAAAAAACATTGTGTGAATTGTGGTTTTACCCTGACCGAGATTTAAAACCGTGTATATGCTCTCCTTTGCTATTTTTAGATGATACTAATTGTGTATGAAGATGAAGAAAATATAGATATTTAAAGAATTAAGTGTGTTTTTATACCCTATTGGATAAAAATACATTAGGAACATCTTAAACATTAAGAAAAGAAAAGTTCTTGAAGTATCTCACAATCCGACACTTATTTATATAGAAAATTAACCTCAAAACGAGTTTTTATTTTTATTATATTTTTTATAATAGTGGCGTCAATTTCAATATATTTTTTAGATATCCAATACATTTAAGAATTTGAATCAGTACATTTTTATAGTAATATTTGATGTCCATCTTGGGCCTAGCACACTATGGAGAGTGGGCAATCCCCTTTAAGTAACACATTAAGTACATCGTACATAAAATCGGTTTTCGACTCGCCTGTTATTTAAGTAACACATTAAGTACATCGTACATAAAATCGGTTTTCGACTCGCCTGTTGTTAAGTAATTATCTGAGCTCATAGACACCACAACGGAATGCCGCCTGCCACTTTCAGAATTGAAGTACCTATCAATTTGTAATGACGATTATGACAAATAGGCGAGTACGTGTGTTACATAATATTAACGTTTCTGTTACGTAATAACGTTCAGTTATTTCGTTTTATCCTGGTCGTCCGCGTCGACGTATTGTATGTGTTGTGCGTGTGCGTCCCGCGCAAGTTCTCTAAGGCTCTGCTCTGAGGCGGGACCCAATTGTTTAACCATTTTCGAGAAATGCCCGTTATCGTTCTTAAGTAGCTCGTAAGGGTGGCCACATTCGACGATCTGGCCTGCTTCCATGACCTACAAGCAAATGTTGAGCACATTCATAAGACTGGCACAGCCATTAATAATTCGTTGTTTTTCAATTGGTGAATACGAGTCAGTCGAGTCAGTCGAGACGAAGTCACGACAAGAAGGATATTAAACAATAAATCATAGCTCTTAAACTTCACTACGTGAATTCAGATAGAAATCGCCTTTGAGACACGAGGTCAAAATCTCACGTTGATTCTAAAAATTATATTCGGATAATATATATGTTGTTAATAGCTTATCTATTTTAAACATTAGTTAATCTAGAATATGGTTGGGATTGGAACAGACTCCGAGCTCGGCAGTTTGAAGTGTTGATTGGTCAATGCTTATAAAATGGACCGTCCATTTTTTTGTTGCAAATAAACCCTCTGGATACTACACATAAATATACAAAAGCCAAACCGGTCAAAGCGACGGGCTTACCAGTGAATACCACTACTAAAATATATATTACAAATTTATTATTAAAAAAAAAAAGCCATAGTGAATACGATTGACTTACCACAACTCGATCAGAATCCGCAACGGTGTGTAGTCGATGGGCGACTGTGACAACGGTGCAGTCCGCAAAATGTTTGCGAATAGACTTCTGGATCAATGCATCAGTACTGAGGACAAAATGTGCACGTGTTTTAGAACATTCAAAGGCGGTCGATCGATTTCATTACTTGAAATTATTTAGACGAACCATTTTAAATATAAATTTTGTATTCATTCATTTTATCTGTATTTAAGTATGGTTCGTTTTATTGATTTGAAACTCTATTAGTTGTTTTAGTAGCTGATTACGTTTTGTACAAGGCCAACTTAAATGCCTCAAAAATTAAATAAACCACAGCGAAGTGTGACCGAATGAAACAAGAAAGCAGATAAAAAAAATAAAAAAAAAGATGTGTGGTGTCGTGGGACACCGGATAGGAACGAAGTTCCTTATTATAAAAATATTAATTTTAAATTCTATTCGAGGTATAAAGAAAATAAAACTGGTGGTTTCGCTACGGTCATTCGGTAACGTGCCAACTTATTGTGGTACACTTCATTCACGATTGTTTACATAAGAGTTAGTGTATTGCGCAAACGAACGCTCTGAAATCGTGGTCAATGAATGATAAAAAAATATGTTATTTTTTTACATTATTACAAAGTTAAATCGTACACTGTGTGCATTACTAATAAAAGTCTTACGTTACGGACGTTTTTTCCCAGTTAGGGTACCCCTCCGCATCGTCACATAAGGAACTTCGTTCCAAAAATAACATTTTTATTGCCTTACTTCGGATCTACATTAGCGGTAGCTTCATCCAACACGAGCAGTCTATTTCTAGCAAGGGCCGCGCGGGCCAGGCACAGAAGCTGCCGTTGTCCAGCACTAAAATTGGATCCACCAGAAGCGACTGATGATGATAATGATGTCACAGTATTTTTGAGTTCAACCTAAAAAGAATGTAAATGATTAAATTCCTAATTCTTGTTACTGAGATCGTATGGCGCTTAAGTCCTGTGGTTAATAAATACGGATCACCGTCTCGGTTATTTCTTACATCTTACTATTCTTACACCATGTTGATGATACATAAACTGATTGTAGGACCTCTGGTGAGTCCGCACGGGTAAGTACCACCACCCCGCCTATTTCTGCCGTGAAGCAGTAATGCGTTTCGGTTTGAAGGGTGGGGCAGCCGTTGTAACTATACTGAGACCTTAGAACTTATATCTCAAGGTGTGTGGCGCATTTACGTTGTAGATGTCTATGGGCTCCAGTAACTACTTAACAACTATGTGGGCTGTGAGCTCGTCTACCCATTTAAGCAATAAAAAAAAACATAGCCTTAACGGTAATCATTGAAAAGAAAAATTCAGGGGTTGTCACATATTGTTGTCAGGAATTCTACATAGATAAAAGTTAAATTTTAGAAATGATAATAGTCATTGCTTGCTATACTCCTTACCTGTTCTAGGGCGGTCCATATTTCAGCGTCAGTGTATTTATCGAATGGATCCAAATTGTATCGCAAAGTAGCAGAAAACAGGACTGGTTCTTGAGGAATGATGGAAATCTTCGAGCGCAATGCCTAAAATAATTAAATTAAACATTATTAAGAAAAGTCCTCTGATATTAGTATATAAGTTCTTTGTCATTATTTTGTCTTTAATATTTTTTTATGGGGACAGATCTATTGTAGTACGCCGCGAGGATGTGCCAATGCATCGGAGCGGGAAATCAAACAGGAGTGGAAAGCTTGCTAACTAATCTTTTTAAGAGAAAAATGCATTTATGGAACACTCATAATGCGATTCAGAAAACTAACGTGTAGTTACATCTACTGTGTATACTATTGTATAAGCGCTTAAGACTAGTTAACTTCAATGATTTCAAACTTAATTCAATGAAGCTTCAAACTTTGATATGCAATGAACGTCGGTAAGAGTAACGCCATCTATCGCCGCATAGTCGAACGAACACCGAAGGATATAGTAGCATCTAGAACGCGCGAGAAGTACAGCGCCATCTACTGTCAGATAGTGGAAAAACAATACTCGAAATGTGTGGAATATTCTCGATAATTATATCGATATCCCGAACCCCAGCGCGTAACAATATCATGATGTGTCTGACTACTAAATTAAAAGGAAACTGATCGAAATCTATAAACTAATTTTTGGGTGAAGCGCACACAACGACAAGTCTTTATCGTTTTATTTATGCAAATTGTATTCCATTGTAGTCACATACTCGATGACTCATTGTTACATTCTGTCACTAAATGTCACTGCGTCTCGATTTGATCTAGTTTAAAGATTAAAAAAGTTATTACATATTTCAATTTCATTATCTTAACAAAAGTGAAGTTTTTTTTATTAAGTACTATTTATTAAACTAAGTTCTTGTCATTTAGCTTAATATTCATTTATTAGTAACACGGCATATTATACTTCGCTACATTATTTATCTGAAGTTGGTGAAGTAAAATAAAAGAAATTTACGACGACTTCAGTAGACTTTTTGGAAGAACTTGAGAAGCTACGTGCGACTTTATTACATTTTTATAATCACGTGCACTTTCTCAAATCCTAAAAGGTTAGCCGGTATTACTACATCCTTAAACTCCATGAAATAATAAAATAATAAAACAAAAAAATATACCTAGAAACCACCACCTAAAGATCGCGCTTCGCATTATCCTTAAAAAAATGTAGTCGTGGAATAAACATACGAAAAAACAAAAAATCTTACTTTAAGAGCGATTTCTCCAGTTTCAACATCATCGATATAAATATGACCCTCGATCGGAGCCAATCGGAACAAAGCCGAGATCAATGATGATTTACCGGCACCGGTGCGCCCGACGACACCGACCTTTAAAAAAAAGTGTGGTAAATTAAACTTTATTCAAAGCATAGTATAAAACAAAATCGTACGGCTAGGGGCGCTGTTCCAACTTCATACAAATCCGAGTTAACTTTTACGCTATCGAGAACGTTAAAAAACTCGCACTAAACACACGGCCAAGCCGCGAACTCGTTCACTCGTTAAATTTATCTACCTACAAAGCATTTTTGTTTCTCTGTACCTTCCAGCCGCTTTCAATTATGATGTTAAGGTTTCTGAGCACCGGGTCGGAATCTTTGTCGTATCGAAGATTGAGATCCTTGAATACCACGCGAGCGCGCTGCGGCCAGCTCGGCGGCGGGGCGGGCCCTTCCGTCTTCTCGAGAGGCAGCGATGTGAATTGTATCACTCTTTCGACGCTGGTCATTTGCGATATAACCTCCGTTGTCTGTTTGATACCATACTGAACCATGTTCACCAAAATTAAACCTTGACTTAACGCCAGGCCGACGTTTCCAGACTTCGTGGTTCCTGGTACATAAATAAAATTCAAAATTAAAAAAATATTGAATACGAAAATAATAATGATTAATAAATGAAAATCGCCTCACCGTCATCCAGTAGTAAAAATGTATAGGCCACCACTATAACGTACAAGGCAGATATGAGACTGAGCCAGATCGAGAAAGCAGTGTTTGTGACCAGAGTTAAATACCTGGAAGAGACATGTTTATAAAAAAATAATTAAGACACAACCTAAAACTTATGGTAAGGGTTTTTAATGTGACACACACATGGACAGGACCAGATTTCGATAATTCTTACGACAAAGCATTGTGCGTTCCGTGCGTAAAACAGCAGCCTCAAGATAAGCGCAAAAATCAGATGTGCTGTACGGTTTATCCACGCGCACTAATAAAAATGGCAATGCCGAATTTAAATTATTAACTAATATTTAAAAATTAACAAATCTATATATTAATACGTGAAGCAAAAACTTTGTACCCCTTTTTACGAAAATTGCGCGGACGGAGGAATATGAAATTTCCCACACTTTCAGAGAATATAGAGAAGGAGTGCACAATGGAAATATTTTTTTAAATTAACACATAAAAGATAAATTAAATCAATAAAGAAAACATTACACACACTGCCATATATTTGACACACACACACACACACACACACACATATGAATATATACTCTTTGTTTATGGTCAAACTTTAGTAAATGCTTAAAGTCTGTGGTCAAATTGAAAATAGGTTAATATTGTTTATCTTTAATATTATTTGTCTATAGTCTTGGCGAAATCTGTAATTATGGAGGTTTAATAGTATGTATTTGACAATAGAATCATAATAGTGTACAAATAATTAATTTCAATTAATTATATTCGAATTTCGACTACTGCGGGACCATTAGTATTTAAAAATATGTAATATCATCTTATTAATTACGTTCTTACATATATCTGTTAGGACATCAGATTTCAAGATCATTAAATATGTTGTTAATAGTAGCTCACCAGGCGGCTGTGTGTACGTCCTGCTTATCGTCGAATTGATCCGCCAGCATCATTTCAGCGTTACAAGCCCTCACGGTGGATAAGCCCGCCATGCTGGCCGACACGTGGGAGAACACAGGGCTCCGAGAAATGCCTTCGACCCTAAGGAACCACGCACACAATACATTACATTTAATTTTAAATCATCGTTTGAAACTGGTTTGAAGGGTGGGGCAGCCGTTGTAATTATACTGAGAGCTTATAACTCATATCTCAAAGTGGGTGGCGGCATTTACGTTGTAAATGTCTATGGGCTCTGTTAACCACCGGTTAAACCACCTGGTGTTAACCAGGTGGGCTGTGATCAGGTCCACCCACCTAAGCAACAAAAAAAAAGATTACTAAATAATAATTTGTCTCTTCAAACTAGTGTATGAAATCAAAAAAAGGTGAATTTTATTGTAATTTTCATTATTTTATCTAATTGAATTGTTTCAGAAAGAACCGTAAATCTACTTCTATTCTTATAGGAGATTAATGAATTGGTTTACTGGTGCGTTTCGATTTGAAGGGTGGGGCAGCCGTTGTAACTATACTGAGACCTTAGAACTCATGTCTCAAGGTGGGTGGCGGTATTTACGTTGTAGTTGTCTATGGGCTCCGGTAACCACCCGTTAACACCAGGTGGGCTGTGAGGTGGTCCACTCAACAATGCAATAAAATGAAATTTAAAAAAATGGTTGATTAAATTGTATATAGTATATAGCTATAGCTATCAATACCTTTTTACAGCTTGAGCGGTGGTGAGGTAAACGACGGTCCACAGATACATGAGCACCCCGCACACTACCGTCGTAAGCATCATGAAGGGGCTCACTATAGCGACCATCACTAATATACCGATCATCACCATAAATATCTGAAAGATTACAAAATTAAAAAATAAAAAATCCGAATAAAAAATGCTTAGCGAAAAATTACACTGTAAGTGCAGTGGTTCTTAACTACAGTAACGCGACACATTAGTGAAGTTCACAATCTCGCGACACGTTTGACAGGGGATCTTCTCAGTGGGTCGCATTTCCGATCCGGGGGTAGATTCTGCGAAGGCCTGCTCTTGCTAGGGCTAGAGTTAACTAAGTCCTCAAGTTAGAGCCTCGTGAGCTCAAAATACTCGCTCGTTGAATCTAATATGACCCCCCGAGGTCACTAGAACAGTTAGGAAAAAAAAAAAGCTTAACAGGGGCTTGCGATACGGTATTTTTATCTAAGGCGATCCGGGGGAATCGCATCTCTGGGTTACGTTATCAAACGTTTACTGGGTGTTAACTACAGAAATACGTTCAATAGTTTATTGATTTCTATTTATTTCACTTTAATGTGTGTAAAAATTCATGTGATAAAAATCAAACCCGCAAAATTATAATTTGCGTAATTACTGGTGGTAGGACCTCTTGGGAGTCCGCACGGGTAGGTACCACCACTCCGCCTATTTCCGCCGTGAAGCAGTAATGCGTTTCGGTTTGAAGGGTGTGGCAGCCGTTATAACTATACTGAGACCTTAGAACTTATATCTCAAGGTGGGTGGCGCATTTACGTTGTGGATGTCTATGGGCTCCAGTAACCACTTAACACCAGGTGGGTAAGCTCGTCCACCCATCTAAGCAATAAAAAAAAAGTGAATATATAGCGGTGTCGCGAACTTGTAAAGAGAATGTTAGTCTATCGTTGAATAAAAAAGGTTGAGAGCCACTGCTGAAGTGCATTTTTTTGTAGATGATCGAATGTGGAACATTCGTTGGCTAACGCAATAATAAAATAAGCACAAGTAGCAGAACGAACTAAAAATTAAAATAATATTTTTTATTCAGATAATTCTGGATCTGATTAGGAGCTGGTGCTAATATCGGCATCCACCTGAGGGTAGATGGTGATGTTTATGGACTCCGATAGCTACTTAACACCAGATGGGTCAAGAGCTCGTCGATTAATTAATAAGCTCGTCGAGAGCAATTAAAAAGAAACAAAAAATGTATTGAGTTAATGTGCGGGCTAAACAAATGAATTGACCTTCAACGGACATTAGACCGTCTCAAAACGAGTTTATTGATTCTGTTTAGCTGAACATGTTTTCTTTTTTAGTTTCATTATAATAACGAATTCAAATTTAATCATATGATAAGTAGTCCGCCCCGGTCAAGCTTCTGCTACCGGCTTAGATGTATTTAGACTGATTTAGATACTAAGACATTAATTTCACGTTTTAAGCTAAATGATAGTTGCCACCGAGACTCCGACCTCATGTCGATCCTGATACAATAAAAGCAAATTGTTAATGCGCCGAGACCATTTCACGTTAATATTCACGTGACGTCACCCGCAACAAAATACAGTTGACAAAAAACTTAGTTTTATTTAAATTATTGAGTATGGAATTATTATTTGCAATATAATAGGGTTAAGTTCATGATAATGCTAAATAGATGTTTTCCTTTTAAAATACTTACAATACATTCTCATTACTGAATTACCAGTTATATTTATATATTAATACGTGAAGCAAAAACTTAGTACCCCTTTTTACGAAAATTGCGCGGACAGTGGAGTATAAAATTTTCTAAATTTATAGAGAATATACAGATGGAGTGCAGAATTTTAATTTTTTTTTTAAATTATGCATAAAAAATACATTAAATCAATAAAAATTCATTAGACACACTACCATGTATTTGACACACACACGCATGTATAGTTGCATCAAACTTTTCTTATTGCATATAGTCTGTGGTCAAATTTTGTTTGTCTTTATTAATATTTACCTAAAGTGCAATCTTGATGAAATCTGTGACAATAGAATCATAATAGTGTACAAACTTATAATTTTAATTAATTATAGTCGAATTTCGACTTACAGGAGACCACTGGTAATATTAAAAAAAAAACTATTAAAGACCATAAATTGCATAATACCTGTATGCTGTCTAAAAACATCCGGGGCAGTATCTCGTCGACTACGCCCATGTCCTTCGAGAATCTGTTGAGGACTCGTCCGGACGGGTTTGTGTCGAAGAAGCGCATCGTCGCCGCGATAATATTACTGAACATTTGGTTGTGGAGTTTTATAGAGCTCCGCATACACACCCACAGGAACATCATCGATCTAAAATGAACTTTATAGTGAGGAGATTAAGAAGGAAGGCAACATTTATAAAAGTATTCCTATTGACCTATAGAAAAAGTACGCCATGTGTACTCGTAACGCGCGATGCGGGTGTTCACATCTCATTATAATATAATAGTTCTAAAGAAATATACTTAAATGCATTTAATATAGCTCACAAATGATTTAAATGGAGTAGCATCGTGTATAAAAATCAATGTATAATTTTTTATTTTGGTAATTTCTCATAGGGAATGTTTCAAGCCCGCACAAGTGTGCTTAGTGCGAGTTTTTTAAGGTTCTCGATAACGACGTAAAAGTTAACTAAAATTTGTATGGAGTTGGAATGTTTGCCGCCAGGGGCGCTGTTCCAACTGCATACAAATTTGAGTTAGATTTTAGCTATCAAGAATTTAAAAAAACTTGCAGTAAGCATAAAAGTTGGTATTGGACTGAAGGTATTCATGTTTTGATATCTATGGGCTCCGGTGGATCGCGAGCACATTCACGTGTTTCATTCACATTTCACCTAAAAAAATCTTGACATTAATCATTTTTTTCAACAATTACTGCCTTTTTTGAAATTTATTTCAACGTTTGAAATCACTCATTCACTTTTACCATAGAAGTAATATAATTCGATTGGAAATAATAAATAAATAATGGGGATATTTCAACGTGACGTACGTAACAACGGTACTTTGTCAGTTATCCACCCATTACTAAAACTGATTGATAATAAATATCGGTTTTTTATGAGACAGATTTACGTGATGTAAAATTTACTTACAAAATAAAATTGTGTTATCTTCGTTTATTATCGTGTCACATTTTATATAGGTATATACGATATACATACAAGGACGTGACAATGACAATGATACTAACCGGTGAATCAGTTTCAAATCTTTAACTATAACCGTAGTTACGCCAATAAAAGATATCGTTACAATTGAGTCGACTATTATCAAAGCCGGCAATCTGACTTTTGGACAATGATTGGTAAAGCAGAAAAACGAATTATTGACTTTGTATTCCATTGGCAGTCACAAAACTCTTCGGAACGACATCTTAGATAAATAACAGGTTAAATATTAACCTTTATTTAATGCAGGTTTTGAACCGTATTCTTTGAAGGAGACGATTATATTCAAATCAATCTGTATTGACATATCAATAACATTTTTTTGTCCAAATGCACAGATTGCCACCTTTGATAATAGACGACTCAATTGTATTTATTTATCCAGTGAAACATATCGACAAATACAATTGAGAACGTAAATAAAAACATGATTTTCCTTTGACAGCCGTGAGTCGGCGTAGACATACCAAAAAAAGGTACTTTTGAAAATACGAAATAGTTATATGATGCTAATAATAATAATAATTATCAATTTAGACCTAGCCCACGAGACTAGACTACCGCCATGTTGATTCAACCATCATTGTTCCAATAGTTGTGTACGATACACGATTTTGATAGCGAAAAGTTTGGATCAACATCTTAATAAGCTTTCGTTATCCAGTTGGATTAGGGGCCTAGTGCAGAAGGCAGTTATCCTCGATACTGCGCGCATTGTGAGGAGGTTTCTCACTTCGGAGTCCTAATCACAGGTGGCTTGTGTCGTAGACACCGCCATCAGTAGCAATCTATTTTTATAGATTAAAATTTTTTTTTTTTTGTATTGCTTAGATAGGTGTAGCCCATTGACATTTACAACGTAAATGCGCCACCCACATTGAGATATAAGTTGTAAGGTCTCAGTATAGTTGCAACGGCTGGCCCAACCTTCAAGCCGAAACGCATTACTGCTTCACGGCAGAAATAGGCATCTTTTTTTTAAAATATGTGGTGTAATTAATTTGAATTTTAAATAAATATAAATAATATAAATATAAATAAGTATTAATAATCAATACGACGTACCTGGCCGTTGTTAATATTATGCAACCCAAAATTCCGATCGCCCATATGTAAATGTAATACGAGTGATTTACATTTTCACGTTCCGTTTCCGTCGCGTTCTGTATGGCCATGGCCGTTTTCATGATCGTACCGATCACTGTTAAGTTTGGCGGGAAGGCGGCCGAGTCAACGACTGTGGGAACTTCACTCGTTAAATTTAAATTATTCGTTTCGTTGCGATCAGTAAGGAGATCCGTTTCAAAAGTCGGTGTCAAGTACGTCACTTCCACGTCGTTCATCCTAAAACGTGAAACATGTCATGTAAAATAACTTGTTCCTTGTCTTCTTTCTGATAATTTCCACATAATGAAGTGAGAGTATTGCTTAACCTCAAACACTTACTGGTGGTAGGACCTCTTGTGAGCCCGCGCGCGTAGGTACCACCACTCTGCCTGTTTCTGCCGTGAAGCAGTAATGCGTTTCGGTTTGCAGGGCAGGGCAGCCGTTGTAACTATACTGAGACCTTAGAACTTATATCTCAAGGTGGGTGGCACGTTTACGTTGTAGATGTCTATGGGCTCCAGTAATCACTTAACACCAGGTGGGCTGTAAGCTCGTCCACCCATCTAAGCAATAAAAAAAAGAAAAAAATACAGCTACTAACTCTGTATGACATAGAATGTAGTTGGAAGATTAATTCCCGATACTCTATTCAATTGTTTTTTTGCAAGACTATAAGTGACGGCAATCGATTAACACCCGCTAATGAATACAGTAAAATAATTGTAAAATACATAGAAGAAATCAAGAAACCGAAACAGGCGTATTTTTTTTGTAAATTAGTTCATCTGTAAGACTTTATGCGGGCGATTAAATGAATGATGGCAATGAAACTTACCAGTGTGTGAGCCACATATCGCTCATTGACGTCACGGCTTGTGCAATAATGATAGAAAACAAAGTCCAGAACAAAAGTCCCCAACCACCGCCGGCACGGAAGTAGCTCATGTATACTAATCCTGATACTCTCCCTAAAAATTAATGGATATGAAAATTTTATATTTACTAGTTAGTAGAAAGTGTTTTTTCAATAAGTATGGGTGTGTGTGTAGTTTTGAATATATTATAACGGAGAACCAGTCAGTTATTTATTTTCTCCATTTCGGCGTTAACGCTACGGAGTTCGATCGAAGGGAACATGACCTGTGACGTCATTTAGAGCGAAAAAGTATAAAGACCTAACCATTGATCATCACACATTACGGATCCTCCCGATCCATTAACGGTGCTTTTAGGTACCTTAGCACCGGTCACCGTCCTCGCCGAACCCGTCGCTTGCGACGAAGGGCTCGACGAGTAAATTAACCCATAGAGACAACCCACTGAGTTTCTCGCGGGATCTTCTCAGTGGGTCGCGTTTCCAATCCGATGGTAGATTCTGCGAAGCACTGCTCTTGCTAGGGCCAGTATTAGCCACGCTCCCGGTTTGAGCCCCGTGAGCTCCCCTACACGTAGGAAAAAAAATTTATCACACACTAACAGCTGCGTGTATCAGACACACAATGCGCGACATCGGGCGCGAAAGATTAATCTTGTGAAACCATCGTTTATGTCTACAACTCCCTGTCCAAAGTAATCATGCGTTCCATTTTGAAGGAAAAGTAGGGCTCACGATACCAATATATCAAATCCGGATACCGCAATATAGTAGCCATAGTCAGACACCAAATCAACGAACTATCGCTTTATTAACTATCTATCTCACTTTCATATGCATGAATATATAGATTAGTGACGTATAGTTTGCCCACACCAATGTCGTTGTCAGCGGCATTTTTAAGGCTAGGAATATGGTATGCTAGCTATGGCCGCGACTTCGTCAGTACAGCTACAGTATTTTGTAAACAAATTATATTTCAAAAACACAAAGTCTTTCTGTGCATAGTATCAACCATGTTGCCATCAGAACTGCTAATACAAATGAATAGTTTTATTAACGAGTCTGACACAGCAATTAGAAGAGGACGAAAACTGACTTGAAAGATTCCACTTAACACTTAAATACATATTATAATTACAATAAACACATACCACAGCAGATGATAATGTATAGCGTATAAAATAAATACCTCCATAAAAAATACTTCATACAGTCAGTGAATAAATAATCGTCTACACATTATAATATATGCATACATATTATGTGCTGAGTAGAATTTCCTTTATTTGCGTATTTACATAGTATAATAATTATGCAAACATGTAAGTCATAATGAAAGAACATTTTATCTTTCACACGCACTATTGTTAGGATCTTCTTTTAGCTTGTGGCAACATTGTAATATTATGTTTGAAATACATTTTACCTGTAATAACTCAATATCTGTAATATTGTAAATTAATAAATCACGACCATTAGTTTCCGCAAGTCGTAGATATAATTAAAACTACCGTCACAGATTAATCTAGATTACATTTTAATTTTTTTATTTCCGACGTTTAGAAAATATATACCAAAGAATCTTAAAATAACATTTATTAAATTGTTGACTTCGACGGCACGGTAGATACTTAGATCTTACAGGTGGTAGGACGTCTTGAGTCCGCACGCCATGTACCATCACCATGCCTATTTTTGCCCTGAAGCAGTAATGCGTTTTAATTTGAACGGTGGGGCAGCCATTGTAACTATACTTGATATCTTAGAACTCTTATCTCAAGGTGGGTGGCGGCATTGACGTTGTAGATGTCTATGGGCGCCGGTAACCACTTAACACCGTTACCTCTTTTGAGAAACTGTAGGTTTCTTCGTTGCAATTGTAAATGTAGTTATCATGACAAATAAAGGACGGGACGATGAAAACCTCGTGAAGACAGAAAAGGATAAATTGATAAAACGTTCAAAGTATCACGAGACCACAGCCACGTGACATGTTGACACAAGTATCATTGTTATGCCGGCCACTGACATGCGCGCAAATATTCGTGCATTGTACGAATGTTTGCGCGCATGTGAAGGGCCGTCAAACATCCATTCGCAAACCTAACGGCTGTGCAAATGGGTTCGCATACTCAATTTGCGAACCCGTTTGCGCTTCCTCCTACACTTGTTTACGAATGTGTCACGATTTTCTCCTCCTTTTTAATTCGTCAATAGAACATTGAAGAGAAAAAGAGTTTTTAATTCTTTCCCAGACAACATTAACAGCCATGCTGTTTTTATGGGATTTCTTTTGATGAAGATACGCTACACAGTAGACGTCACGAACTATGAAAATGGCGTATAGTATACGTCCGTTACCTTCGCAATCATCGGCGCAACTGGGCAAGCGAATGTGTGGAAGACTACGCGAAGGTTCGAGGTTCGCGCGCTTTGATGTCTGTTAAAAACCGACACAGCTTGGAAAACCACGAATGCAGCGAAAACTTTGCATAATCATTCGCAAATGTCGCCCTACACTTGTGGGTTTGCGTATTCGTGCGCATGTGAGTGACCGGTGTTACGATAGTTTTGTCTGTGAACGGTTTTTTGTCGAAATGATTCGACTAACACACTGGCCGTTTTCAACACGGTGTGTATCGTGAGGATGTTTCTAGCGTCTACTCGAAAACCTATCATTCCTCTCGGAAAACCAAACAAATTAGAAAAAAATAATTCGAGCTCTCTGTTTTCTAGCATGTGACCAGGAGATGTATGGCAAGGTAGAGGGCAAGGGGGCATGTATAGTAAGGGGGAAGAGGTCGACCAAAGAAGATATGGATGAAGTGTGTGAATGACTATATGAGAGAGAGGAGTGAGTGTTGAGATGACGGCTGATAGAAGAGAATAGAAGAGAAAAAATAGCTATGCCGACCCCACCTAGTGGGATAAGGTGGAGAAGAAAAAAAGAATTTCTCTATCATTAATTTATACTATTATATATGTATTAGCTAACAACTGTTTAATAGGGTAAGTAATTAAATGGTGTAATGTAGCGAAATTTATCTAATTAAATACATAATACATCTAAATCTTATCACATTACAACATAATGAAGTATTACGACAGTAAGCAAATATTATGAAGACAATAATTTAAACGCAATGTGCTTATCACGATTACTAAGAGAGCTATCAAGGAGAAAGAGCTGTGCGATACATAGTTTGCAAAATTTCTTACAGAAACACATTTTATTCTTTGTTTATCATGAATGTCGACGATATGACTACATTAATCAATTATGTGACATGACATGTGACAGCTGACTTAAGTCCAAATAGTACGAGATTGACAGACTAAACCATGACTGACTTTGCGTTAGTATAAGTGAATAAAATATGCGTCTATGTACTTTTTATAAGAGTTAACGTTCGTAGAATCTAGCACTACCTGGGACCTGTTAGGGGGTTTCCAGACAATCTGATAGCCGCCACCATAACGTCGAAGACTCAACAGTATTGTACAACGACAGTAAGTTCTACGCTCTGTACTTAACAGCAGGCAGCGGCTTAGCTCTGTCCCTGGCATTGCTGATGTCCATGGGCGACGGTAACCATTTACCATTGGCGGGCAGTATGTTCGTCTGCCTACAAGATAAAAAAAACTTCGAAATGCCTACGTAAACTGGACCAGAATGACGATTAAATAAAAAGTGGGATGGACGTTAAAAAGAAAACTGGGTTTTAATTAAATTGAAACTTCTGTAGACACTAGACTATACAGTATATATGTATCTATTTATAAGAATAGTTTTCGCTACTGCTTAGAAATATCGGTCTGTACTATAAAACACCATTAAAATATAGAATTTAGTTTCAGAATTATTGCAGATATAAGCAGGGTGGTGGTACGATCTCAAAATGTGCCCTACTAGCACGCGAACCTTGAAGCCAATTACAATGTCATTGGAACAATTGCTTTGCTACCGTTAATAAGAATGAATAATTGCTTCACGGCATATGCTGAGGAGTAGTAACAGCTTGCGAACTCGCCATACAACATCAGCATGATAATTTCAGAGAGTGTTCAATAAGGAAATAACTCCTACACTGTAGGTTTCTTTGAGCTTAAGATAGATATGAATTATGTTTACGCTTATAGCACATACGTACGTAGTAGCATTATAAGAATAATATAAAATTTAAGATAAATATGCAGAGCTCAATAAAAATTATCTATCAAAGAGTAATGTTTTTTTTTATTCTCCTCTATCTTCTGGGTTGTAAAACTACTAATTGGTGAGCTTATATTTTTCCTTACTCTTTTGTTCGAACTGAGTTTTTTTCCACACACTTTTCTAAGGAATACAATTACGTAACCGTTTTTACGATTTGCCTTTTCAATTTGCTTCTTGTGATGTATTTGCTGGTAAATCCGTGGATTTTAGAGTTCCTAATATGTACTTATGATATTACTCTACAACAAGGACGAGCAATACACGACACACCAAGCATTTCTAAAATTGAATTTATTTTATCGACTTTCTCCCATCAATTCGTTTTTCTGTTTTCATTTTGCATTAAAATTTGTATATGAAATCTTTTTTTTGGGGGTTTTATATTTTTTTATTCTAACGTTTATTATAAATAAAGTTTCGTAAATTATTAATAAGAGTAAAAGAAAGTGAGGCCCGCCGAAAAAAATTTAAATTTAAATTAGTCCATTGATTAAAAAGGTTGCTCTACAAGAATACATAATACAAAAGATTAGAAAAACATTTTTTGCGGTTTCATTATCCAGGTAGGGATCAGGAATATATTTGCATGTATTAAACGCGTTTTCTCATAGCTATTCATTATTGTGGTGAAGTTTGATATATTTTACGTACCAGATCCAGTTAGTTCTTCGGACTCCTTCTGCTCATCTTCTTCAACATCAACCTGGCTTCCATCGTGTGTTGTACTAACACTCGTTTTGGACTGTAAATAAATTAAAGTAAGTACTTCTCGTCTCATTCATTGGATATTAGGTAATGTGGTAAGACTATCGTATAATGGTTCCTGGTAAGTATTACATGCGTATTGCGGTAATTTCATGAAGTCATAATCGAAAACCGTATTGAACTAAATAATTCATTGTGAATTATTTTACTATTTAAATGTGCACCTTCCGGTAAATCGACCAAAAATGCCAGTTTTATGTATTGTTAGTTTAAATACGGTGTAAAACATATTTTAGTTTCCAGTTAAAACCGGTATTTGGCTTTTTTCCCTTGACAAATTATGCACACAAACATGCTGAGGCAAATAAACTTTTTCAGTAAATGGTAGTGACCGCTGATTCATCGTTTTCTTTGAAGATATTATTTGTAAACGATGACAAACGGTAAACCATATATTTATTTCTATAAACATTAATAAGTGAAGTGATTCCTTATAGCGTGGTATTGTATTGTATCCTTATATTGTTCAATAAAACTGTTTGCAGAAGTGCCTACTATGTCACTTTATTGTTTTGTCCTCCTCGTTGAAATCGCCAAATTCGACGAAGAGTGCGAACTAGAAATAACCCAATGGGTTTCTCGCTGGGTCGGCTCAGTGGGTTACGATTCCGATCCGGTAGTAAATTATGCAAAGCACTGCTCTTGCTGGGGCCAGTGTTACCAAACTCTCTCGGGTTCAGCCGTGTAGTCGGAATAGCCCCTTAGACTAACAACGATTAGGTAAAAAAATAAAATATTTTAAAATAATAAAAACAAAGATAGCGATCAAAAATAGAATCGGATCGCCCTTAACGTCCTTTCGCCGTCAGACACAGTGATAAGATATATTCTGTATTCACAATAACTTTCTGTAGCTACCTACCTACTTTTTACTTATTTACACTTCATTGGCCATAAGATGGTATAAATTATTTTACGCAAAACACACAACGGTTACAAATGTTACAGGCTAATAACTTTAATTTACATGCTGTATGTATATTATGAATATATGTATATATTGTAATTTATTAAAATACTCATTTTTTTAATGGTTGAGAGATGAATTCGATTTTTATTTCATAATATTCATAATATTAAGCATATTTCAAAAATACATACCTGAATGGAGATAGTTCGTTTCCTGAGATGTTTTAGATTTTTTTCATCGGGTTCATCTTCCTCTTCCATTTCAGAAAAGAGTGGACAGCGTGACGCCTCTTCGAATTTTCCTTGCATTTCAATTTCTCCCTAAGTAACAATGAACAAAATGCATAGGTATTGAAATATTGATAAGGTTACCGTAATTTCATCAATATTTAATGAATAATAAATAGGTCTTCACCTATACAGTTGCCGTTAGAAAGTTGAAAATATGTATGGCTGAAAATTAATTCTAAATTCAAATGAATTTTATGTTAAACACATTGAATTCTATTTTCAAAATTAGGAATTCGTTTATTGATTAGTGTTTTTTTGTTTTCACGACATTTGTTTATTTTTAATCAATATGTACATATTAAAAATACGATTAATTAAGGAATAGGTGTTTCCGTCGCCTTAGCAATACCGCACAAACAGTTCACAACATTAATGACGTGGGGGAATGAATATTAGAAACGAACGCATGGCACTTTATTAGTTAGAACGCTTCTGATATCGATATTTTTATTTAAAAGCATCTAAGCAATAAAAAAAATGAACCCGTGGTCCGAAAACTCAAGTCAACGACAAGGGATTAAAGGCGATAGTCGAACCTACTGAAACTGCTACTGCTTTAGCAGCTTTCAACGTTAGCATCAAAATAATCTTGGTCTATTTGCGTCAAGTTGGCAAGGTCAAAAAAACTTCATAAGTGGGTTCCGCTCGAACTGGATGGTCTGCAGCATGACGACCGCGTTAATGCGCGTGTGCCTTGCTTTTCTTAACAGAAACAAAAACGAAGGGATTTGGAACCGCATTATCACTTGCGATGAAAAATGGTTTCTTTTTTATAATTGTGAACGGTCATCATGTTGGCTTGACCCTGATTCAGCAACTAGGCTATGCCCAATACCGAATACCACTAAGAAAGTCATGGTCATGAGAGCATCTTACCGAATGGGACCAACATTACTACGGATCTGTGCTGTGAGGAACTGGACACAATGATGGACAAGCTCGCGAATCTTCCAACCTTGGTTAATCGTTCGTCCCAGCAGCTCCTACACGACAACGCTTATATGGGCCAACAGACGCTACAAGAGCTACGTATTGGAAGTTTTGCGTCATCTACCGTACTTGACTGAACTTGCACTAACAGAATTCTACTTTTTCAAAAGTTGAAACTACTTCTTTGCAGCGAAAAAATTCAATACCCGAGAAGGCAGTACAAAATGCATTTGAAGAGTTTGCTGGCTCCCGTACAAATGACTCGTTTAAGAAAGACATTGAAAAACATCAATGCGCTGGCAGATATTTTGATTGATAAAAATATATAACATTTATGAAAAAATAACTTTAACCTTCTCTATACTAAATGGCATTTCATAAGTAAAGAAAGACCTAATATTAATGAAATATGTAGAATGTTTCAACTGAATCAAACTAGGAATCGATATGAGTTGAGGATAACATGTTTAAAAATTGATAAAAATCAGCTATGTCATATTACAAAAATGTGTTGTCAAAATGTGTTGTGGCCAGTTACTGTCATTGAATTCAATCTACTAAAATAAAATTGATCTTGCTCATTGTTTCTCTGTAATTTTGAAGAGAATATTGAGGTCAGAGAATCCTACTTTTAATTTATGATGTTTGTCATGGCTCGTCACTAAAATATGCTACTACATATCTTTACTTTATCCATAGTAGCAATACAATTAAAACCAGCTGTTTAAACAAAATAAACTAAAAGTGTCATGAAGATCAACAATATATTGATATATAATTAAAACAAGTGGTTTAATAATGAATACTAGCAGCACCTCATTAAATCAATACTACTAAAATTGCATTTTCTCGAGAAAAAATATATAATAATATAATAAAATACACAAGGATTCAATTCAATAACATGTGTAAACATGACTATTAGTGTATTATATGCAGGTGGGCTGACTCATTTTAAACTTAATCTAATAGCAGTGTAAACTAACTTACCTAATCGTTTTGGAGTAAATCATTATACCAATATAAACTGAGGTGTGTTCTTAGTGTATATCAAACTAAATAACTAAAAGATGCGCACACGGACTTGACTTTCCACAACGGGATAGTGGTATCCACCCGCGCGGGGTCATAATACTTCCTACTACCAATAAATAACAGTTGAAGATCTCAATATGCTAGTACCATACTCAGAGAATGCTGTGGCCCGTGCTCTGGTGAATCGATTGGTGGTTTTTAAGACACTCACGGGAATAGATAGAGTGATATTATACAATACAAACAATATACCGAAACAATATACTCAGCTACAATATGAACGAAGCAATATGTATAACTTTTATACTTTCTTTTTCTATACCAAATCCATTATCCAATCCAATTGCAAATCCTCACTTAACCAAACCTAATGAAATTCAATTTATTGACTTATTTTTATATGTTACGTTTATAAGGTCGATCTTTTTTGTATCACTTTGTAAGTGGGATAAAAATTGAGCCACAGGTAAGATTTATGTAGTTTATTGGCTTAAATGTACGTTTTTAATTTGGGCATATGTATCACTTCAATCAACATTGGTAGATATTTTTAATACAGATAGAAGGCAACAATTTATTAGTCTACTTATTAAAGCACTACGATATGAGATCACGTGCTCAGACACAGACGCGTCAATAAGGGGGCGTCCTGCGTCCATTAATTAGGTCAGGCGATATTGGCGATTTGTCGAGCCCACATGATTGGTGAAATTCCGAGACATTTGACTCGACCCTTTCTTCCCCCAATTTCTCATGAACTGCTATTAGGACATCCGCGTTTCGTCGATAAGACCCTTACCCAGATCATAATCGCATAATAATTCGCGTTAAATGAATGATTAAAAAACATTACTTAAAAATAAAGGTTTCAGTCGCGAACTTTGAATGAACAAATAATCCGTCAAGTGCTCCCAATGTCGATTTCTAATATCTTTACCGATATCAACAGGATAAAAAAAAGATGAAATTAATTGAATTTCGTTTTGCTATTTTCGTTTAAGCGTGTTTTCTGGGTTTTTTTTTAAACTACATATTCTATATTACGTTCCTATTCATTATAGTTCCTTCATTTAATGACGGATTAACTCATTCATACTTTAAAATATCTACTATCCTAACCACTTTGACTTTGACATCCCCTATCGTCCTAACCAACTACTCTTCTAGTCCACTTATAGAAAATTCTAAGTAATGATCACATAAAAATAACAAACGTACAAGTAATATAGTATGCACGATAATATTGAAATGTCAACGAATGCGTTTACTAAGTCCGCGACCACGAAAGTAGTAAAGTTCTCGAAACATAAGAAATTATAAAATGAAAATAATAAACGCGAAATTAAACTAAGTTTTAACTTTTAATCAAGGATTTGTCAAGTATATATTGCTACTTACATTACGTAGAATGATGACTTTATCAGCGGTTTTGAGGTGGTGCAACTGATGTGTGACCAGAATGCGGGTGTGGTTCTGCAGCAATCCATTCACACATTCGGAAACGAGATGTTTGCCAACATGCGTGTCCACCGCTGACAATGGATCGTCGAGGAGATATATGTCGGCCTGTTGAAGAAATAAAACTTAGTTAACTTGATGAGTATATAAGTAAATACTTGAAGCTGGTGGTAGAACAACCGCAAGGTAGGTACCACCCCTCTGCCTATTGCTGTCGTGAAGCAGTAATACGTTTCGGTTTGAAGGTTGGGGCTGCCGTTGTAACTATACTGAGACAGAACTCATATCTTAAGGTGGGTGTCGGCATTAACGTTGTAGACGTCTATGGGCTCCGGTAACTACTGAACACCAGATAGGGCGTGCGATCGTCCACCCGTCTAAAAAAAAAGACAAATTGAACGAGGTTATCTGGCTCCAAACTAGGATACCTTATAAATATAATTATAATACGTTTATAAATACCTATCATGTTATACATAGTAAACACAGACACCAAAAACAAGTAAACTTGTTGATTACAGGAATGTTCGTCCAAAGAGGGAATCGAATCCACGATCACGAACGGTCAGTGGCGCTAACACTGCGTCGTGGCCTAAAGGATAGGACGTCTGGTGCATTCGTATCTAACGATGCAACGGAGTTCGAATCCCGCAGGCGGGTACCAATTTTTCTAATGAAATACGTACTTAACAAATTTAATGTTCACGATTGACTGCCACGGTAAAGGAATAACTCTGTGTAATAAAAGGCAATTACTGGTGGTAGGACCTTTTGTAAGTCCCATCAAAAAAAAAAGTCACTCTTCATTAATTTGCATTATGCAATACCATTACGCGGCAGCTTCCTTAACTCAAAGTACTGATTATCTATTTGATACATAGACGCCGTCAATGTTTACACGCTATTGGACTTAAGCTGGATTAATCTATTGAAATAAAATCTTTTTCTTTTACCGAAACTGATATAACGTAATGATAACAATATGGCATCGCCAGATTTCATAACAATGACGCAACATTACAATTTGACAAATAAGGAACTACCTACGTAATCGTTAGATTAATGACTTGCAAATTTTTGAATATAGTTAAACTCATGGTTAGCGAAATGCTATAGTTGAATATATTTATAGGTTATGAATATGTACATATATGATAGTCGAAGTCGAGTAAAGTAGTCAACAGTAGATTTATAAATTTAAACTAATGAAATATGTAAATGTTTTTTTTTTAAGTAAAAGTACCCGTAATTCATCACTTCGTCACTTAGCAAAAATATAATAAATAAATCTTTATTACAAAATACGGTTGTGTAATGAATAAATTGTAGGATTTAACTAAATATGAATGTACACATAGAGGTCATATACCTACATATGTATTTTAAATATAATATTATAAAGAGGAAAGATTTGTTTGTTTGTTTGTTTCGAATAGGCTCCGAAACTACTGGACCGATTTGAAAAAATATTTTTCCATTAAAAGCCGACACTGTCCCTGATGAACATAGGCTACTTTTTTAATTTTTTTTTATTTTTTTTTTTTGGTTTCATGTGTGTTTTAATGTTTCGAAGCGAGGGCGGGTGGCTAGTTTTAAATATAGTGCAAACATGAAATAAACATCATGGTAACAAAATTTAAACAAAGTACTTCGTTCTACATATTATTACCTAGTCAGGTCATAAGTATTGTCACACAGTAAAAACTTTTCTTTTAGAATGCTGGCCACAAAAAAGTTTATTGAATTCGAATTTCAAATTGTTCATGAAAATAAAAATGTATACTTTTAGAATTTTACTCATTTTTAAATATGGAGTGGACGCTTAAAGAAGACCGTGTTGCAGTTACTGCGTTGCATCGTTGCGGTTACGCGCCAATTCAAATTTTTAACATACTGAAAAATTTGAATATAACCAAAAGATTCGTTTATCGTACCATCAAACGATACAATGAAGTCTCTAGTGTAGATGACAGCTCAAGAAGTGGTCGCCCTCGGTCTGTTAGGACTCCAGCAGTGATAAAAGCTGTGAAGGCGAGAATTCAAAGAAATCCCAAACGTAAGCAGAAACTGTTGGTCCTTCAGATGGGGTTAAGCAGAACCACGGTGAAAGGGGTGTTAAATTGAAGACTTAGGGCTTCGGGCATATCGAAGAAAAACAGGACATCGTTTGAATGCTCGTCTAATGGACCTGAGACTGAAGAGATGCCGCGCTTTGTTGAAGCGGTACGCGAGAAAAAAATATCGGGAAATTCTTTTTTCGGATGAAAAAATTTTTACCGTAGAAGAGAGCTACAACAAACAAAATGATAAGGTGTACGCACACAGTAGTGAAGAAGCGAACCACCGTATTCCGCGTGTCCAACGAGGTCATTTTCCATGCTCGCTCATGGTATGGTTGGGAGTTTCTTATTGGGGCTTAACAGAGGTACATTTTTGTGAGAAAGGTGTAAAAACGAATGCAGTTGTATATCAAAATACAGTCCTGACGAACCTTGTGGAACCTGTTTCTCATACCATGTTCAATAACAGGCACTGGGTATTCCAACAAGATTCGGCGCCAGCTCATAGAGCGAAGAGCACACAAGACTGGCTGGCGGCGCGTGAAATCGACTTCATCCGGCACGAAGACTGGCCCTCCTCCAGTCCAGATTTGAATCCGTTAGATTACAAGATATGGCAACACTTGGAGGAAAAGGCGTGCTCAAAGCCTCATTCCAATTTGTAGTCACTCAAGACATCCTTGATTAAGGCAGCCGCCGATATTGACATGGACCTCGTTCGTGCTGCGATAGACGACTGGCCGCGCAGATTGAAGGCCTGTATTCAAAATCACGGAGGTCATTTTGAATAAACTTTAGTGCCATAAGAATCTATATTTTGTTAAGTTCATTTTGGTATATGAATGGTTACATAATGAATAAACTTGTTTCAATTATTTTACATTAAACATGTGACAGAATTTATGACCTGACTAGGTATATCTTATAAAACAAACAACTGAGATGTCAGTTTTAATTTAAATTACATTTTGTACATTTTTTATGAAATGACCTGTAACAGTTTATTTTACGTAAATTTGGAATGTATTTTTTTCCAACATGAAAATTTAGCAACGTAACGTGAATGTGTATTATTATGAAACTCCTTGTGAATGACAAATCGTCTTGTCGTCAAGACCTTTCGTATCTTAGATTGTATTGTCAATACTGTCTCGCGATAAATTTTCTTATAAGAAAAACATTGTTTTTTTTTATATAGGTATTTATTACTACAGTGTGTGTCAGTGTACATATTAATATAATATAACAACAATTTAAAAATATGAAGCTCATTTAAAAATGATCTCCTTTGTCTAAAGCCAAGTATTATTTACAATCTATTAAGTCAGTAATTATATGTTGCAAATATTCGTGCAAGTTGCAATCGACACGCACACAAATTTCTATTCTGACTGAGAATGACTATTCTTATCACTAGGCATAGTTGGCATATGTTTCCATTTAGCTGTTTTATTTGACACCTGTGACAACAGACAGACAAACAGATCAGCCCTTCTTGGGAACGATAAGCCTCAGATCTTCAAAAGAAGCTATGCTAGAAGATTTAACCTAGTAAATAGTTGCGTGAAGTTAACAAATACTAGAACTAGGGACGGAAAATATGTCAATTGCTGAACTGTCAATGCTTTAAATACACTTGACATTGGCGAAATCTAAAAGGAAACGCCATAAACCTAAGAGATAGATAGATCATAGAATGTGTGGTGGGTAGCCATCATACAACGCAAGATATTTGCAGATGCCTGAATCTCGCTTAAGACATTTTCAAGAAAAGCTTGCATATAAGTATACAAGTTCCGAACAACAACATTCGGACCGTCGTTCTACCGAGCAATATCACCCGCTCGGTGGAAGATCTTTCCTTTCGTCGTTTAAGCCTTCCCACAAATGCGACGATATCTGTAATCATTTAGAAACGAGAAGCTATGTAAAGTTAACGTACTTGTCTGTAGCAGGCACGCGCGAGTCCCACCCGCGCCCGCTGCCCCCCGCTGAGGCTGGTGCCGCGCTCGCCGACCAGCGTGCAGTCTCCCGCCGGCAACTGCTCGAAGTCCCGCAACAAGGCGCACGCAGTCACCACCTATAAATAAATCAGGGGTATCTTTTTTTTCCTACCTAAGCTGATAGCCTTGAGAGGCTACTTCAGCGGAACCTTAACTAGTAGGTGAGCTCACGGGGCTCAAACCTGACGACGTTACTAACACGAACCCTAGCAAGAGCCGTGCTTCGCAGAATCTACCACCAGATCGGAAACGCGACCCACATTACCCCCCCACGAGAAAATCAGTGGGCTATGTCTATGGGTTAATTCGCTCGTCGAGCCCTTCGTCGCAAGCGACGGGTTCGACGAGAATGGTGCTTGAGGTACCTACCACTCCATATCCACTAACGGTGCTTGAGGTACCTAAAAGCACCGTTAGTGGATCGGGAGGATCCGAAATGACGTCCACGATGAGAGGGTTCTCGTGTCGTGCCGCTTTATCGAAGTGGCAGGGGTTCCCAAACTTATTTTATCTACTGCCCACTTGGCGATTTAATTATTTTTTAGCGCCTCCAATTTTCACCGACTTAAAAACCACTATAGCGAGAGCTCAGTGGGTGTCTAAAGAGTCCTCCTAGACGCAATTGCACAACGCCCACATTTTTTTTCTTCTGGGTTTTTAAACGCAACGTGAATTGCGCTACCCACCTTTCGACCTGAGATCTTAAACTCAATTAATTATTGTAGAGTAATTTTACAAATTATAACTTTTGAGAGTATGGTTTTTATTGCATAATATCATTCATGAAGACGAGTCAAGTACGTATTTCATTAGAAAAATTGGTACCTGTCTTCGGATTCGAACACCGGCACTGTCGCATCGTTTCATACGAATGCACCGGGAGTCTTATCCTTTAGGCCACGACGACTTTAATATACTACATACACATATAATTTACTACATTTATACAATTTAAATTGAATTGACCTTCAAGTAAACAGATCGCGAATTTAAATTGTTTAGTGTGCACGTGCAGACCGTGCAGTGCATGTTCGAACTTGTAATATAGATTATTGTTATCTTCGTATCAATCGATCAACAAGATTCGAATATAGCATTCACCTTACCTTCTTGTAACGTGTTTTATCGTATGGTAAACCGAACAAGATGTTCTGTCTAATCGTCGCCACGAAGAGCCACGGCTCTTGACTTGCGTAAGAAATACGCGCACCATCCAATGATACGGTCCCCTGAGATGGCTTCAGTTCTCCCAGGAGCACTTGTAGCAGAGACGACTACAACGTTTAAAATGAAAATTACATGTACTATTGAGACACCAGTTAAGAGCAAAGATTCTTGTGAACAATACTACTTACCTTACCGGCACCAACGAGACCGGCGATCCCAACAAATTCTCCTGGTTCAGCGGAAAACGTAATGTTTCTCAATGTGTGGACTATTGGATCAGTTGACCAACTGGCCGAAACTCCGGTCAAACTTAAACCAGTTGATTTCGATTTAATTTTATCAGTGTCTTTTGCGTTTCCATTGGTCAAAATGAGTTTAGAGTCCATTGCGGCTTTGATAGGCTCATTTTGCTTAGTTTGTTCTAACTCGTCCAACAACAGAAATTCCTATTCGAAAAATTTTATTATGTTGAAACATACTTTATCCAAGAGCCCAAGATAATGACGATAGCGCGTATATTAACGCGATGAGTAGCAATACTATCAAATTTGTACATCATTGTATTCAATTATAGCACTTGTAATCCATGATTAGTATTCTAGTAACTAACTAGGTACTTCAGATAATTACGTAAACTTTGATTCGATTACGTTAAGTACATGTTACATTACATTTCATATCATTATTAATTGGTTTTTAAATGTTAAGAGCAGTTTTAAAAATATATATATATTTTAAAACATTCAATATTCTACGATCCCAAGCTAGGACTTTCAATAGACATTCTGTTGACAGCTTGTAGCCCATGTTTAACGTGAATGTTGCTGCTCACCACGAGACATAAGATTTGAGTCTGAAATGCTTTGGTATAGCCGTTATATCTGCAAACGAGAACGAAATAATTCTTTATTTTATTTAAGAGATAATTCTTCCGCACTTCTGTTTATCTCTGGATTGCCTCTTATATAAATAAACCAAATTTGAAAACAATTTTGTGTTTGATTGGTTACCGGTTTTATAATTGTTTTGTGTAATTCTTAATTGCACGGATGATGGTGACGTTTAAAGTGAGTATTTTAAAATAGAGTATTATAAGATAATATTACTGAGTTGAGTCGTACGGTATATATTTGTGTATGATTGGTATTTAGTGTCTAGTCTGATCCTGTCCATATCCGAAACATATACAACATGAAGCTAAAGAACAAGCAACGGTATTCTGCCACCGTGAGGTATTTTTTATGACTATTATATAGGAATAAATAATATGCTAATCTTAAAAATGTCAACAATTTTAAAATAACTAACCTCCAAACGACTCACTGAGACTTTTGACTCAGCAAGAAATGCTAAAGCCAAGGGAAAGAATATGTTACAGGCGAGTTGCAAAAGATTGAAGTACTGCACTAATGAGAAGGTTATTTCTGAACGTATTTCGCCCCCCATCACTACGAATGCGACGATGGCCGCGAAAAGTATGAAACGCTCCGTGAACACGCTCAGTGCTGTTGAAAAACCTTTGATCATGGACGTTCGCATTATGTAATGCACTTCGAGCCTGTAAACGGAAAATTATGAGCACTACCACAAACATGGCACGACATATTTACTTTTTTTTATGACGTAAACGACTGACTGCCTTACTTTCTCAGTTTATCAACGAGTTTCTCAAACGGTTTTTCCCAAGCATACATTTTGATTACTTGAACTCCGTTCACCAATTCGCTCATAACTTTTACTCTCTCATCGGTGCGTTTCGCAATTTTTCCACGAAGAACACCTTGCATATTACTTAGATACGCTGAAAGGTTACAATGAATTATATAATTTTGTAAAATCGCAACACATTTTATTTGTTTGGGAACAAACGAATGATTATAATTTTGATTGCCATGATTAAACCACATGTTTAATCCACAATTCGATATAATGTAAATGAACTTTAACAATGACTAAGAATATCGGTAAGTTTCTTTGTCTTGTAACTTATTTTAATTGTAAACACCATTTGACCTAAATATTTACAACTGTACTACATTCATTGAAAAATGCATGATGTAGTTACATGCGTTGTTTCTGTCAAACACAAGGAAAACTAGTTTTAAACGAAAACAAAATTAATTGTAATGTTTTACGTAAAATATAGATGCTTCACTGATAGTGACTTCTTTTTTTTATTCTTTTTTTATTTCTTTGTTGGGTGGACGAGCTCACAGCCCACCTGGTGTTAAGTGGTAACTGGAGCTCATAGACATCTACAGCGTAAATGCACCACCCACCTTGAGATATATGTTTTAAGATCTCTGTATAGTTTTAAACATACTGTAGGCAGCAGCTTGGCTGTGCCCCTGGGCTTGCTTATGTCAATGAGTCACGGTAAGCTCTCACCATTAGAGAAGCCGTCAGCTAGTATGTCGACAAGGGTAATAAAAAAATTGGTTTATTTGTCTTTCAATTGAAATTTATGATAATATTTGACATACCTTGCACGACAACTGTTTGTAAAAATATTACAATGAGCGCTGCAAGTGTGGCCCAGCCTATATGCTGCCAGACGAGATACGAAACAACAGGTACAACAATAGGCATTACCCAGATGTAATTCAAAAACAAAACAACCAAATCAAATCGATTAACATCGTTTGACATCAGATTAATCACTTGACCGGGCTCGGTTTTAGCTAATCCTGTCCTGTCAAGTTTGAGAATCTGTAATCAGAACGTTTATTGTAGAAAACCCACTTTGTCGTGAAAGTATACATAAAATAAACAAACAAAATTTAACTTGCCTTTCTATATAGTAACGAGCAGCTAGCAATCCTTATCCGCATACCGACTCTCCCCTGACTAAGTTGTAAATGATTTAACATTAAAGACGTCGTTATACTCAAAAAGTTCATCAAGAAATTGTAGATGTGAGCGTTTTTATAATTTTCAGGTGATTTTTCTCCAGAGAAATATCCGATAAACAATGCTAGTGTAAACGGAACCAGTGGCCTGGAAATAATGTTCTATTTTAAAATCGTGTCTTTTAATTTTTTGTTGCCAGATTGTTGGACGAGCTCACAGCCCACCTGGTGTAAAGTGGTTACTGGAGCCCATAGACATCTACAACGTAAATGCGCCACCCATCTTAAGATATAAGTTCTAAGATCTCAGTATACTTATAGTTACAACGGCTGCCCCACCCTTTAAACCGAAACGCATTACTGCTTCACGGTAGAAATAGGCAGGATGGTGGTACCTACCCGCGCGGACTCACAAGAGGTCCTACCACCAGTAGGTTGTCTTGCTGTTGTGTTGAATAAAATAACGATACGATAAAATATTTACCATAATACGATAAAGAGAAAACCAACAAATATGCCGCAAATCATATATTCGAGCCAGAATGAGCGAATGATCGCTTTCGAGAAAGATGGTTTTGTACCAGTCTGTTTGGCTCTTTCTAACTCTCTTTCCCAGGCTACTTCAAGACGATCGCCGAGTTGCTTCGAATGATCTGCCCCACGAGCCTGCCATAAGTCGTCGATAGAAATGCCCTGTTTATAACCCCTTTTGAATAAAGTAAAACTCCACCTGTGAACACCACAAAATTACATGTTTACATATTTTACAGGTTATGCAAACAATGCTTATCAACTGTTTTTTTTAATTGTTTTTATTTAATAAGGAAATTCAAGCGATATTCGTACTGTAGTCAAATTAGGTATGATTTACTGTTGATAAATTTTAATATATTTTTTAATTGCTTAGATGGCTGGACGAGCTCACGGCCCACCTGATGTTAAGTGGTTACCGGAGGCCATAGACATCTACAACATAAATACCTTGAGATATGAGTTCTAAGGTCTCAGTATAGTTACAACGGCTGCCCCACCCTTCAAACCGAAACGCATTACTGCTTCATGGCAGAAATAAGCATGGTGGTGGTACCAACGCGTGCGGACTCACAAGAGGTCCTACCATCAGTACGCAAATTATAATTTCGCAGGTTTGATTTTTATTACACGTTTATTTCTTCACCGTGGACGTCAATCGTGAACATTTGTTAAGTACGTATTTATTAGCAAAATTGGTACCCGCCAGCGGGTTTCGAACACCGATGCATCGCAAGATACGAATGCACCGAACATCTCCTTCATCATCCTTTAGGCCACGAAATTAAATAATTGACAGAAAACGGAATGTATGTACCTATGTACCTTTACAGTATTTTTTACTCTTATTTAAATTTCAATATTTTTACTTGTTAAAATAACTTACTTAATTAAAGTTTATTAAATAATATATTTAATAAACTTACTTTCATGGTTTATTAAAAATATCTGTTTATTCAGTTTTGCATATCAATGAGTAAACAAGTTTATATATTTTTATTGGATAGATGGTTAAATGAGCTCACGGCCCATCTGATGTTAAATGGTTAAATGTCGCTACCTACCTACCTTGAGCCATAAGGCCGAAGTATCGTTTGTGTTGTAAAATGACTGTTTTATACACACATTTTAATTAAAATGTTTCGCGTCAGAATTAGGCAGAGTAGTGGAACCTACCTGTGCGGGTTTCAAATAGTCACCAACAGTAGAAATATTTAAATTGTATACGTTTGGACAGTTTGTATGTGATAAGAAATCGAAAATAAACATTTAATACCGGTTTCGGGTTTATAACCTTCTTGGCATTTGGAAAAAACCAAAATTGTGTGTTTACAAGCTACAACTTAAGAATCGAATTCTATATTTTTAAATGGTAATTTTAGAAAAATTACACTTTCATTTTTAAACTATCCTACCTAATGATTTGAATAATTTACACAGAAGTTTTCTTTAAAACTATGTCAATATGATAACACAGAGCAATGAATTCTTCGTCTGCGTGCAACGCAATCTATTAGGTACACTCCACATTTTCATTACTTTTATGTTTACATCCGTGTACGCTATGAAACTGTAAAATTTACGTTAACCTTCCAAAAAAGTAGAAATATTCTGTACAAATAATTAGGGAGGTTGTATTTGATACTCAATTTTTTAATTTTTAATTTTTGTTTCTATTCGTATTTTTTTCTGGCCTCAAATATCACCTATTAATACATAATCCAAAGTATTTTTGTAACTATAATATGTTTCCAAATACTAAAAATATTGTGTTGGAAGATTTAAAGTTTTTTTTTTATTCGATTCCTTTTAAACATTTTTTTTTGTTGCTAAAACTTCGTTATACAATGAAATAAATTTTTGAACAAACATCATCCAAATCAAAATTGATGGATACCAACTATCTATTTGATATGAATGACCCAAATACCCTTGACAGATAACAAACAACAAGTCATACCATGCTTTTTAAAAATCAATTAGTTCATTTAGAGTCCACAGTAATGTAATTATTAAAACGATAGGTATGTACATAGGCTTCATTTAATAAATTCTTATTGTTTTCCATTTCTATTGGCGTAATACTTAAGTCGTTTCGGCTCCGGAATCGGTTCCCTGACAGCCCTTTCGAGTGATAACTACCATCATCATTATCAGCCCACAGATGTCTATTGCTGGAAAAGACCTCCCCCAAAATCCGCCACAAAGACCAGTTTGGCGCAGCCCGCACCTTTACTATCAATAATAATAATAATATGTAACAGTAAACAATTGTGCTATTGTAAACTGACTGTAACATACTGACGCGAGGGCTAGACGGACATAATGCAATTTACAAGGATTTTGTTGTATGGCACTTAAGTGTAGAATGGTAAAGAGATGGAAACCTAAAATAATATTTATTTAATGAATAGTAATAAGAAAAAACGTAGATAATGATCGTCGAAACAATTTCACCGTTATTGATTAAAACAGTAGGTACCGGTATTTATTAGAATTACAGCATTCTACTGTACATCACTTATTGACATGCATTCCAAATACAAAAAAAAAACTGTGCGACATGAATACCAATATTTCATAATACGTAATATGCTTGCTATGCGTAATACGCTGAAACAGGATGCGTGAGTCGACGAAAACAAACCATCACTCCGGTTATTCTCTTACTGATTAAGGGCCTATTAAGGTATATAGAACGCTAAGGAGTCTTGTTGGAACCCGTTTTAATGGTGCACAAACGACAATAATCTAAGCTTTGCGTCTTGTCAAGTACCGGCGACTGCAGAGAGACCCAGATAAACTAGAGCTGTGTGTTTTGGATTACACTATTTGCGAAATGGTGTACTCTAAGAAGAAACAAGTATTGTTTAGCTTAGAAGAAGGATGGCCTTGTGGATAATAATAGGGGTTTTTTTCCTTTCATTCTGGCTTTTGTTGCTTAGATTAAAGTACAATTTTGCCAACGTCGGATAGTGGAGGTACCAACATAATTATGATAATAGGGGTTAAAGTATGAAATTGCCGTTATATTGCAATAGGTAGTTCGAATTGACATAGAAGCTTCATGGTCTGAGATTTTTGAGTGAAACTTATTTCAAATGATACCTATGAATGAGGTTCTTCTTTAAAAAAATGTGCAACATTCGATTATCGACTTTCAGTTGTTTTTATTTTTATTCGGCTTAGACAAGAAGATGGATACTTCGAAAATTCGAGTGATTTTTGAATACGAGTTCCGATACGGAAACAGAGGGGATTAAGGGGGGGTGCTAATGAACGCACCGTGCAATTTTGGTTTAAACGCTTTCGTGATGGAAATTTTGATTTGAAGAACGAGCCACGTGGAAGAAAAGTGTAACAATGAATTGAAATAGATGGTGGAAGCCGATCCGAGCCAAACAACCCAGGAATTAGCGGCATGGTTTAACTTTACCTTACCAACAATACTGACTCATTTACGTAAAATCAATAAAATAAAAAAATGGGTGCCTCATGAGTGACTAACCTAACCTAACCATTGATCATGACACATTATGGATCCTCCCGATACACTAACAGTGCTTTTAGGTACCTCAAGCACTGGTCATCGTTCTCGTCGAACCCGTCGCTTGCGACGTAGGGCTCGACGATAAATGAACCCTCAAACACAGCCCACTGAGTTTCTCGCCGGATCTTCTCAGTAAGTCGCGTTTCCGATCCGGTGGTAGATTCTGCAAAGCACGGCTCTTGCTAGGGTTCGTGTTAGCAACGTCGTCAGGTTTGAGCCCCGTGAGCTCACCTACTAGTTAAGGTTACCCTAAAATAGCCTCTCAAGGCTCTCAGCTAGGTAGGAAAAAACAACCTAAAATAAGGATTTAGAGAATAAAAAAGTATTTAATTTTTACGCAGAAGGAAAACAAAATTTTGACATTTTTTTACTGCCCTTGGAGGCAGACGAGAATGCCAGCCGAGCATACGACCTCATGGTACTCACCACGGTAACCATTCAGTTACCGTCGCTTTTGGAAGACAGCAATGACAAGGGCAGAGCCAAGTCGCACGCCTACTGCTAAGTTCTCTCCGTAAGTCTCATTTGAAGAGGAGGAATATGTCATAGCGCTCACGAATTACGGTCGCGAGGATTTAATTCCAAAGCAGGATGGTACGTGGCAGAAAAAATCTCAAACATACTGTGGATGAACGCAGTGGTTCTAGTTCCCGCGGAGGGCGATGCGATAGTAGAAACGATATAATGGTATTTCATCAAAGAATTCCTTAGAGTACTCCCCATAGAACATTCGGTACAAAACACAGAGAGAACCGAAGTCCCCCAGGAATCAGACCCAGATATTCCAAACGACCTACAATCTGACTTTTTAGATCAAGTCTATTCGATTTAATCCGTTTTATTTTCGAATCGGCATAATATTACACTTGCTCCTAAAATCTGCGTTCCTGCCTGTTCGGAAACCATTCCTTTGGCGCGAATTTCTGAGGAGGAAGAATGATTCTCTCAAGTTCTCTCACAGAATACTTTTTCATATATTTCTGAACGCGACTTCTCACAACCACCTTTTTCATTTTAAAGGTTTTCTAATTTAAATAATTGTTACAAATTTGTAAACGTGGAGCACTTACAAGATTGTAATATGTAGAATGGTTCTTTAGTAGCATTACCTACACAGAATGTATAAATACAAATGAGCTTTAAAAATCTTTTATAGATTTTGCAAAATCTACTTTTCTAATAGTAGTGCAAAATGTACGTAGTGATAATCCAAAGATTATTCTTGATATATTCTTGGTTCTAAGTAATTTCCTTTTCCCTTGTTATTTATTTATGAGCTCAGTCCGTTTTCCCGATTTCCAGTGATTTCCGTCCTTGACGTTGCCATTAATGTCAATCAACATTCGTTATTGTCAAAGCCAAACATCAACAAAGTTAAACAAACACAGTACATATTACAACATACATACGCACGCATATTCGGCAATTGTTAGACTTCTAGAATTTCAAAAAATCACAATTGGTAATAAATGAAAGTATATGTAGGTACGTGTCTGTTACATTTTTATATTTTTGTGTTATGTTCAGGTTGATGATTGAAATAGGTGATTAATTAAAATCATTTGTGAATTTTTGTTTGGTATGTTTCACATGGTTTGATAGATAGGTAAGTACTTTGTACTATAAAATTATATACCTATTTATAACTTTATAAGCTTAATGCTTATATCTTTTTATAATTTAATAGCATTAGCGACAAATTGAAAAATGTGATACGTGGGTAAATAATAATTTTAATGTTCTGGGTCTTTTTTCAGTGTTAATCTTACGAAGTACCTACCTACCACATAACTTACATTTCTAAATTTTCATCAACATTGTACTTACGTTAAAAACGTCTTCGACAGGATATTAGCTTCATCGTGAGGATTCTTATTGTTCAACACTACTTTTGACTCCATTTTGTAATTTTAATTTAGCTAAAACAGTTAAACGAGCTGTTGTTTTTATAAAACTTTTTATAGGTTATGAAATATTAAGTCATAAATTTAGTTCACACTGAAACAATCGAGCTTACGTGTATTTATAATCACAAATAGTTTTCGCGTCCTGTTATTTCGAGGCACAAAGTATTAAACCTCAATATTGCTTAGCAACAGTAGAGCGTTTAGAATTTCGAGATACTCCGGCCAATTTCATTTACAGCTCAAAGTACCAGCTATGAACATTCCTAATATTAGTAGTCTTAACATTTACATTTTTAAAGGAATATAATTGCGTATTAAGTTGTTTAAAAAGTGTTTAAAGCGACACTTCCTTAAATTATATCACAATCTTTTTAAAAAAAAAAACAACAAACTACCCAAGCGAGTAGCTTCGGCAAAGCCGACGTACTGGCTTTATATATATTATGCGAGTAGACAATATTCTGATACTGGCGTAAGTGACGTAGCGTGTGAGTGAATCTCGAGTAATGATTACAAGTCTTAAGTGTATTATCTATGAACAAGTCACAAAATTAGATAAATGTGTGTGTAGGTATTTATTTAAGCAACGGATAGCGAAATAGGGGCGTTCGCTCCGGGTGCTTTGTATCAATATTGTAAACCGCAATAGATGGTAATAAACTATCGATCCAACTACGATTCGATTTTTGTATTTTTAGCGTCAATCAAAGTTTGTTTTGATAGAGCATAAAACTTTTTACATTGGCCAATTTAATTTTTTTCTCTAACCATTCGCTGGTAGCCTAAGCGGCTATTTCAGCTACGTCCGGTCGGTTAGGTGAGCTCACGGGCTCAACCTGAGAGAATTTGCTAACACTAGCTCTATCTAGCAAGAGCAGTGCTTCGCAGAATTTACCACCGAATCGGAATCGCGACCCGCTGCGGCTTAGCGTTGCCCCATCGCGGTCGGGTAATTAGCGGCCGCCACGTTAAGAAGGTTTTTGTGACGCGCCGTTTTGTTGAAGTAGCGTTCTGACGCTTCGTTAGGATACTTACATATCGGCACTCGATTTAGGTGGTCGTGAAAAATCTACATTCTTCATACCACGGGGCTCCGATGGTTTCCTTCGAAAACGGGATTGGATGACCTGGAGAGTTAATGTGTGTACAGGCCGCGTGAGCGAACACTACACTTGTATTGGTCATGACGGACATATGCAAGTTTGGAAGGGATAATTTACTTCCCTTGCAGATCTGCAAATCATGGGGTAGAGTCGACCGAGTAGGAACGGGGCTCGGTCGCGCACTCACTTAATTTGGGGCCCGAATGTCACCCCTCTGTCGAAGGTGACGCCTAGATACTTGACCTTCAAAGTCCGCGGTAATGGGCTGGCGAAAGATTCGACATTAACCCCACGAAAAGCACAGCGGTGCTCTTCAAAAGGGGTCGCCCTCCGAACACCACGCTGAGCATCCCTCTCCCGACTAGGCGCGTCAACACCCCCGCCCCCGCCGTTCGCCCAATCACGATGTTCGACCAGCCCATACCGTGGGCCCCGAAGGTCAAATATTTAGGAGTCACCCTCGACAGTAGGATGACATTCCGCCCCCACATCAAGACGGTACGCGACCGTGCCGCCTTCATTCTAGGACGTCTCTACCCGATGATATGTAGGCGAAGTAAAATGTCCCTTAGAAATAAGGTGACACTCTACAAAACTTGCATACGCCCCGTCATGACCTATGCAAGTGTAGTGTTCGCTCACGCGGCCCGCATACACTTAAAATCCTTTCAAATTATTCAATCCCGTTTTTGCAGGATAGCCGTCGGAGCCCCGTGGTTCGTCAGGAACGTCGACCTCCATGACGACCTGGACTTAGAGTCCATCAGTAAGTATCTTCAGTCGGCGTCCATGCGCCACTTCGATAAAGCGGCACGACACGAGAACCCTCTCATCGTGGCCGCCGGTAACTACATTCCCGATCCTGCGGACAGAATGGAAAGCAGTCGACGTCGCCCAAAACACGTCATCTCGGATCCTCCCGATCCACTAACGGTGCTTTTAGGTACTTCAAGCACCGGTCACCGTTCTCGTCGAACCCGTCGCTTGCGACGAAGGGCTCGACGAGTAAATTAACTCTCAGACACAGCCCACTGAGTTTCTCGCCGGATCTTCTCAGTGGGTCGCGTTTCCGATCCGGTGGTAGATTCTGCGAAGCACGACTCTTGCTAGGGTTCGTGTTAGCAACATCGTCAGGTTTGAGCCCCGTGAGCTCACCTACTAAAGTTAGGGTTACGCTGAAATAGCCGCTAGGGCTATCAGCTTAGGTAGGAAAAAAAAAAAAAAAAAAAAGGCGAAAGATTTTAATGGCGGAAATGGAGTACCGCGCTTATTTCGTCACAAGTTACTAGCATTAGTGTCAGCTGCACTTTCCGTAGGGCCAATCTTTGATTGATACGGATATAGCCGCTCTGGATCTAGGCTACGGAGGGTAGAGGCTAGTAGCGTTTTCAGCGGACTCTTTTTAATATACTGAGATGGTACTCCTTAATTCCACCCTCCATAATCTAGACGACTAGGGCTTTCATTCCAATTGTGCCAAAGTTACTAAAATTTAAACGAGATCAGCTTTCCTTTATAACAAAAAAAAAGAAGAATCACATGAATTGGTCCACATATTACAATTATACCTACATAAAGAGAAAAATATTTACTTTTACAAAAATTGCACTTCCAATTTCTGTATTTCTTTGTGTTTTGTTATGTTTCGCTCAGTTTGCCTTATTCCTTTGGAATTTTGAAGTCGTTGTGGCCTAAAGGTTAAGACGCCCGGTGCATTCGTGTCGTGCGAGGCAACGGTGTTCTAATCTCGCACGCAGGTACCTACCATTTTTTTCTATTGAAATACCTACATAACAAATTTCATGTTCATGAGATTGATCCCACGGTGAAGGAATAACATCTTGTAATAAAAAAGAAGCCCGCAAAATTATAATTTGCGTAATTACTGGTGGCAGGACATCTTGCGAGTCCGCACGGGCAGGTACCACCACCCCGCTTATTTCTGCCATGACGCAATAGGTAATCCGTTTCGGTTTGAAGGGTGGGGCAGGCGTTGTACTGTAAAAACTGAAACCTAAGAACTCATGTCTTGAGGTGGGTGGCGGCATTTACGTTGTAGATGTCTATGAGCTCCAGTTTCCACTTAACACCAGGTGGGCCATGAGCTCGTCCAACCATCAGCGCCATTAAAAAATCTTACATCTAGGAAACATAATTTTCAATTTCCACCACTCGCCGTTTTCGTGAAAAACGACCAAACAGTAGCATTTTGTTGGAAAACGTAATACACAAAAATGAATCAATAAAAATGCCGAAACTGAAAGTATATTGAAATTTCAGATGCAAAACATTGCATAGGTGTGCACTGTTATATGAACCTGTTCGTAAGAGTTATATTTTGTAATTAAGGAACACGGTAATAATGTTACGAAGAGATAATATTGTTTAAGTATAAGTATAAAGTTTAACTTTTTTAGAATTTAATATGAAACAATCGGTCGATCCTCATCGTATATTAATCCACAGAAAACTACTGTGTCGAGAAAAATCGTTTGGATTGTATTCCTTTGTTTCGATCCACACAAGTATCGGAACGGATTGAACATCTTTACACCAGAAAGAATTGTCGAAGCCAATTGTGATAAATAAATGCTACCTACTATCATATCGCATGATACTGTTCAGGCCCTTCCACATCTGCATGAATCATAAATGTGATCACACTCCATATTCATCCCAGATTTGTTTTTCGATTTCTGTTGTCATTTTTGGCGATATGAAAATATTTGCAAGTCTGTGATCTGTTTGGTGAAAAACTGTACATTCACAATTTTCTTAGCACTGGCTGGCACTGGGCACATACGTCAACATGTTAGAATTAAACCTCTTGGATCAATTACAAACTTATCTTCTTCTGTATCAATTTTTATGGTGTAGATTCGGGAGCAAAATTACGATCTACAGTGGTTACTGCAGACATCACAATGTGAATGAAAGAAAGGGCAATTACTTGAGATTGTTTGGGTGGAAACTCTTAATTTTTAATTCTGGAGGTTTGATATTGTCTAAATTATTTTAATGGATAAAATACAAATAGAATTTGATTAATTATTTTCATATTTATTTACATTACTTTATAACGATCTTTGTACTTTACGTACATGTTGACTCTTTGATTCCTTTAGTGCTTGATCCAGTTTATTAGTGAGATGAATAAGGTTTGGTATATCACACTGAAGAAGTGTGTGATTAACATTATTTTGACATTGAATTGCTGCCTTCGCTTCCTGTACAGTTGCATCCACTATATAATTTGTAGCCTTTTGTTTTCTATTTATAATGGTTTCCTTCTCATGTAAGGCAAAGCTCTTAGGTCTCATTGTAACAAAATCCATTGTCACCACTGGTTTTATTCCTTCATTTGAATTCCTAGAAGCAATCTGAAAATATGATTCCAATTATATTTTTGTAAGTACATGATTGGCTGTTATATAGCCCTGCTCTAGGCAGACTTAATAGCTTAATATGTCTGAGATTAGTAAATAGCAATGCTCTTAGTAGACTTAGTAGGCTTATTGATTAAATTTGTTTCTTAAACAAGTTAATTTGTTTTAACTTGTAGCACCAGCAGTAAAACTATACTACATAATACTTTATTTGTCTATTGTGAGATACACCAACCAATAAAATACACTAAGGGGCAGTTGAACTACCAAATATTTCAAATGATCCTTCCTCTTCGAAATGGCAGAACTTGATTGCTTGTTTTTCCTACCTAAGCTGGTGGTCTAGAGAGATCATGCCGGCGTCACCAGGCTAGTAGGTGAGCTCACGGAGCTCAAACCTGACGCTGTTGCTAGCACAAACCCTAGCAAGAGCCGTGCTTTGCAGAATCTACTACCGGATTGGAAACGCGACCCACTGAAAAGATCCGGCGAGAAAATCAGTAGGTTGTGTCTGTGGGTTAATTTACTTGCCGAGACCTTCGTTGCAAGCGACGGGTTCAACAAAAACAATGACCGGTTTGATTGCTGTAACTAGTACTTTCTTTAAAAAATTGGCTATTTTATTGTTATTTACTAGTCATATTTATTTAAATATATCATATGCAACTTACATGATATAGGGTTGATATACCTTTAATGTGTAATAGTGATGACTGCAAAACCATATAAGTATAAATATGTAAGTATTTATATTAATCGAGAGAACTGTTTTACTCAGTAGTAGTTTTGAATATTAAACATAATGGAAAAACTGCAATATGTTTAATGGATAGGATAACTAAACTCCAATAGCACAGATAAAATACTTAAAGTTATCTCTTTTTTAACGAAATTACCTGCACTTCAAACCTCCAAGCAAAATCTATATATTTTGGATCATTACGTTGTAACAGTTGTAAGGCTTCATATAGTTCCTTCTTCTTTGTATTATACAATTTACTCATAACATCTTGCTGATCATTTGAAAAACCTGCCAATGCTAATGAAGATCTAAAATCAGATTCTGATAACTGTAAATAGAAAATTATAATTATTAACACTGGTGCTCTGGGAATTGTAAGCCCATCTAACTATCCGTTACCACCAACCTGTCTGTTTCTAGCCCAAAGCCATCACATGTTCCAGTTTAACAGGAGTGATAGCCATTATTAATCAATAAATTGAGACTTCAATCTCATGCCTTGGGTACGTTTTTTTAGATGTCATCTGCCTCAATATCTGAACCACAAGAACAGCAAAACATTGCTTGATACGAGTTCATAATGTGTCACACGGTGATATTCGTGTGAAAAGAAGCAGTCTGTTAAACCACTACTTTCTAAAGGGAGATGATATTTGGTTATTCCCAATCAATTAAAAGCAAGTTTGACTGTGTTTTCAGAGTGAATGCCCATCAACAACTAAAAATGTGGCCCCATTCCTTCAAAAACTTACTGAAGTACAATTTAATTCTTCAAATATGTATATAGATCATTTGATAATTTTACGTAGACGCAAACCAAAATAAAATTATAGTATTATTACTAACAAAACATTTAACTTTTGTAAATAAAACTGACTGCATACATTGTGCTTACTTCCCTCCAATATTAGATAAACGAGTGCTTGGACAAGATTTCGTATTGTGGCCAGTGGAACTTTAAGTTTTTCTGAAAAAAGAAGATACGTTAATTTCAGTATGCCTCGATCATTACCTACAATTTAATGTAACAAACAACTTAATTTCCTGAGACTATACCAGCAGCGATTCCATACTTGTTTGAGTTGGCTCCCTTATTAATGTATTCCACAGCCAATTTGCAGAAGTCTATCAAAACTGAAATGATCCCAAAAGCATAATTATTGTATTATTGCAAAAATAGATAATAACAATTCTGTTATTCTATTTACCTTGAACAGAATGTTCATGTAATAATTTTAGATGATCCTTTTGTAATTCTGTAAGAAATATTATCATTATTAACTCGAACGATTAACGATCCGGGTAAAAGCAAAAAGCTACCATACAAAAAACAATAAAACAGGTAAACAGTAAATGCTGAAATACTACACATTACACTATCGGCAAGTTAGGATGGCCGTTTTGACATATTACAATAGTGATGTGAAATGTCAATTTATTCTCGAAAAAAATATGTAATCTATAAGTTTTTATTGCAAGTAATACCTGATTAAAATGGCTTAATAAAACAAATATATAACTGCTTACTTAATATATTTGAACGATATGAATATTGGAGTGAAAATGAATATACATACTTTATATGCACAGAAACAAATTAATAAAAAAAGAGACCAAAAAAAGATTCCCGAAAGGCTATGTTTAATAATATTCGTTTCGATGATTCGTTCATACTGCTATTTTCACTGTTGTCACTGCTATCATCACCTACATTAATTATAAGTTCGTTTTTAAAATATTATCTATGTTCACATCTCTTTCATAATCTTCCCTTATTAGTTTAACAGTTCTATTCACAACCTTTTTCCAGTCTCCTTTAGCCACATGTTCACAAACTTGTTCTAAAATTTTTAGCATTTTGGTTGTGGTAAATGAGAGTTTTGTATTGTGTCTTACAGCATATCCCTTTATTTGAGCCCACACCAACTCAATTGCATTTTAATCACAATAGTAAGGCGGTAACCGTATAACTCTGTGGCCATGTTCTAACACTATTTCGTCAATGACGTATCGTATCTTGGTTGGTTTCTTTTAAGAGACGTATGTACTAATTCCGCTTTTAACATATTTATGTTTGCATTTACGCAATTTTTTTTAAGACATGTGACGATGTCATCTTTCTTTTGGGATTAGGTAACTGGCTTGTCAATTTGCATCGAGTGGTATGGGGCGTTATCCATAATTATAATAGATGGTTTAGGGAGGCTACACAACATTGAGGTAAACCATTCAGTTAAGTTTCCTCCATTCAATTCTTCATTATAGTTCTCAGTGATTGCCATGATCAGCCAGGAGAGAACCGTGGTTACGTCAATTTTACGCATCCTACCCATAGAGGCGGTTCTGCTTTTTTTGTGCTGATTCTGGCGTCTGCGCAGACCGTCTTACAAACGTGATGCTCCAGGAGATAGAATTGCTTATTCCCTCCTCTGAGGTGCGCGTTAGTGGTCGCGGCAGAACCTGGTATAACAATGCCATTAGGGATGCTGCACACCTTAAGTGGTCCGCATACGCGGCATGGGATAATGCCAGGAGACGTCAGGACCCCAACGTCTCAGAGGAAAGGCGGAAATATAACGCCGCTTCCAGGTCCTACAAGAGGGTTATTGCCAGGGCGAAGTCGGAGTAAGTTGCTAGAATTGGCGAGCGACTAAAGAGCTATCCCTCTGGGAGCCGTGCTTTTTGGTCGCTCGACAAAACTGCAGAAGGAAATTTTTGAAGGTCTAGTCTCCCACCACTACGCAAGTCCGATGACAGTCTGGCTCATAGTGCGAAAGAGAAGGCTGACCTACTGGTCAAACTCTACGCCTTAAACTCGACCGTCGACGACGGGGGTGCCACACCACCGAACATCCCCCGGTGTGATAGTTTCCTGCCGGAGATCCGCTTCACACAGTGTGCAGTCAGGCAGAAATTCCGACTCCTGGACGTCTATAAGTCGAGTGGGACAGGCGGCATACCTTCAGTGGTTCGGAAAACGTGCGCCCCTGAGCTGACGCCTGCACTAACGCATTTGTATCGCCTCTCTTATTGCACTAACAGGATTCCGTCTTCATGGAAGACACGAGACCGTCCACGTCCACTCTATCCCCAAGAAGGATGACCGGTCGGACCCATCGAGCTATAGGACTATCGCGATCACTTCCTTGCTTTCCAAGGTGATGGAGCGAATAATAAATATACAACTCCTGAAGTATCTTGAAGATCGCCAGCTGATCAGTGACCGACAGTACGGTTTCCGTCACGGTCGCTGAGCTGGCGATCTTCTTCGCTACCTACTTACAGGTGGGCTTGAAGCCTTGGAGAGCAAGGTCGAAGCTCTTGCTGTGAGCCTTGATATCGCGACGGCCTTCGACAGGGTCTGGCATAGGGCACTTCTGTCGAAGCTACCATCTTACGGAATCCCTGAGGGTCTCTACAAGTGGATTGCTAGCTTTTTGGATGGGGAGCATCACGGTCGTTGTAAACGGTGACTGTTCTGATATCATGACCATTTACGCTGGCGTTCCACAAGGTTCGGTGCTCTCTCCCACGCTTTTCATCCTGTATATCAATGAAATGCTGTCTACTGGTGGCATGCATTGCTATGCGGATGACAGCACGGGGGATGCGCGATATTTTGGCCATCAGAGTCTCTCTCGGAGCGTGGTGCAAGAGAGACGATCAAAACTTGTGTCTGAAGTGCAGAACTCTCTGGGGCGAGTTTCCGCGAGAATGGGGCGAGAATGGGGTGAATTGAACTTGGTTCGATTGAACTAGGTTCAATTTAACCGATTAAAGACACAAGTTTGCGCGTTCACTGCGAAGAAGGACCCCTTTGTCATGGTGCCGCAATTCCAAGGAGTATCCCTGCAACCTTCCGAGAGTATCGGGATACTTGGGGTCGACATTTCGAGCGATATCCAATTTCAGAGTCATTTGGAAGGTAAAGCCAAGTTGGCGTCCAAAATGCTGGGAGTCCTCAACAGAGCGAAGCGGTACTTCACGCCTGGACAAAGACTTTTGCTTTATAAAGCACAAGTCCGGCCTCGCGTAGAGTACCGTGGCTCCCAAATAACAGATTCTTCCATTTGACTCCATATAGAAGATGGCCGTTCGGATTGTCGATAATCCCATTCTCACGGATCGTTTGGAACCTCTGAGTTTGCGGAGGGATTTCGGTTCTCTCTGTATTTTGTACCGTATGTTCCATGGGGAGTTCTCTGAGGAATTGTGTGACATGATACCGTCATCTCGTTTTTACCATCGCAACGCCCGCCACCGGAGTAGAGTTCATCCATACTACCTGGAGCCACTGCGGTCATCCACAGTGCGTTTCAAGAGATCTTTTTTACCACGTACCATCCGGCTATGGAATGAGCTCCCCTCCATGGTGTTTCCCGAGCGCTATGACATGTTCTTCTTCAAACGAGACTTGTGGAGAGTATTAAGCGGTAGCCAGCGGCTTGGCACTGCTCCTGGCATTGCTGAAGTCCATGAGCGACGGTAACCACTCACCATCAGGTGGGCCGTGTGCTCGTCTGCCTACAAGAGCAATAAAAAAAAATAAAAAAAACCTTCGACAAATCCGTTGATAGTTCCGGCGTGACAAATTATAAGTCGCGATGCTTTTCCAACAGGAACTGTGGACGTAGATGCTGCAGTGTCATCGGTCCAAGAACGGCTTACGGTATGGTTAGCATTAAGCCATTTTTCATCCAAAAACACAACATTTTGCCAATTTCCGATTTGTTTCACTTGCCATAAAAAAGTATATCTTGCCATCACTATATCTCTCCATCAATATTTTGCGTTTGTTACATTGTTTGTATCGAAATCCGACGGTCTTTAAAACGGTCTCCAACGAAGAATAATCCAGCTTGCTTCAGTCATTGCACTAACTTTTATCTTGTTGGATTCTCCTTTCGTAAATATTAGCCATACACGTGTCTTCGGATGGCATCGGCATCAAAGCTATCGATGCCTACGACTGGTTTTGATCTCTTTTTTGGTTTGAAGTTTATTTTCTTCTGTGCCAGTCTCGCCATAGTTTTCTTTAGTTATTCGTCCAACAGTTCGTTATCCAATATTAAGCGCATGAGCTACGCGTTCAACCACTGACGGTATAGATAAAATTGGCCCTCCGTTTTGAAATTCACGGTCGAAATAGTTACGAAGGCAAATGACGAACTCACGTGTCTGTTTAGAACAGTTCTCTGCATACGTTCGGCCATATCAACGAATTCCACGACAAAAGGGATAAACAGAGTCCAAATTAACAAGGAAGGGTCAATAGTACTGTAGTATTAATATCCGAAATCCAAAGCCAGGTTAAAACTATATTACAATCGCAATGCACTCACAGTTTGTACTTTTCGAAGCAACGTCAAGTCGAAACTGCTTTGTTTAGCATAGAGCATTGCCGCGAATTTGCCGGAGGTAGTAGTCGTGTGGCCAGCGATCCTATGCGACGATCGTATTAAATTTCATTTTTTTTAATTTTAATTTTGAAATACAAACGCTGAGTTCTGTGGTAAATAAGTACAATAATAATTATAATCCCTAATATATATATAGTTTAGAAATCAATGTAATAAATCAATTTTGTGTCCTAAAATAATACATTCGATAAATTTATGACCTGCACGTCACTATTGACAATAAAGAACAGCAATTTGCTCCTTCAAACGTAATTACTATTAATACGAAACTTCATGAGAACAAACGTCAAAACGGCCATCATAACGAGCCGGTAGTGTAATTGTAATTTTTTAATTGATTCTTTCATTGGAAAGGCAAAGGGCACATGGTTCAAATAAATACATCTTTACAACAAAGACCAAAGTCATGTAGGTATTCCATTATATGAAGTAGTATAAATGTGGTAAAGAAAAAACTATAATAAAATGAAAAAATGAGATATCGTGAGAAGGCTGGTAGATGTGACACATTCATATTATTTTGTACAGGTATAGATGCATAAAGGATAATTTACGACAGGAAATTTATTACACAATTAAAAAATAAAATGTTAATATAAAGAAGCAGTCGCTTGCCCATGCCAACACGTTGCCACTCCATACGAACTAATACATATCGATTATGAAGAAACGCGGCGACACGTCGTGGTCGCCACGCCAGCAATCGGTTTTATGTGCGGCTATAAATGTTTTACACCAATAAAATAATATTTCGCTATAACGGTGGGTATATACTGAGAGCTCAATCGACTATTTGGAAGAATTTACAAACTCATATCGAACGATATCCCCAAATTGAGATCCACGTGACTTAGCATGCGAATGGCCCATATTCTAGCGTAAGTTTCCAATATAAAAATTTTCAAACGTCTCAAATGATAAATATTAAAAAGTAAGGTTCAGCCGTAAATGTAGTCTATTTACATCTATAATAACTTTATGATTATCAATAAAGAAATTTATAATTCTTACCATGACTACAACTTTTTGACAGGAAATCAACACGCGAAAGAATTATAAATTTCTTTCCCTATGTGAAATTGTTTATGCTAATATACAGGTGCAGTATTAGAGCCCTGAGCCCTGTTCAGTATATTTGAAAACAGGCAATTGTAGGAAAATAAATTTCTGCTTCGAATATTAGTACAATATATTTAACGGTATGCGATGGAATTTCTTTATTTATCCAATAGACAAGTCAGTTAAAGAAAACTTGAGAAATTCAGAACTTTTTGGCGGGAAAACAGGGAGAGAAGTTGTATGAATAGTTTTATTTTGTTAATTAATTATGTGTTTCTTCAGATTTAAACGTGTAATAATTCATGTCAACACCATATAGTTAATTGTTTAGCCTCTGTGAAAGAGCCCAAATGTTGGAAAACGAAAGAAAGTCGCTGGATGTGGCTTCTTGAGTTCCTTCAAAAAGTTCACTAAAGTCTCAGAAAATAAACATTAAGACTTTGTTCGTCGTATCTAACAGATTTTTCATATAACCGAATCCAAGCTTAGACTACTATGGTGTGATACCATCGCCTTACCTATTAGAAAAATGGAACTACTACTTGACAAATTGATGAGTTTTGTCATTTTTGTCATTTTAAGCTTCGTTGACGTAGGTGGTGAAAATTTTAATTTTTACAAGTTCTGTAAAGATGTATCAGTGAGAAATATCGAAAATAATTGTGCATATTCCATTTGATGGTTAAAAGAAGAAAGAATACGAATCAAAATGGCTTTAAAAAAAGTCAAAGGCAACTTCGAGAGGATGTTTGATAAAAACCTCACGGATTTGGTTCGAGGTATCCGAAATAATAAAGATAATGAGGTACATTTTATACATACATCAGTACTTCGTTTCTTAATCATATAAAATGAGTTTTATTTTAATACTTTCATTATTCATTGTACTTAGTATTGATATTAGTTTTTGCTCAACCTGTTTATGATCTTTATGCACAATTTCTTTCCGTTTATATTTAAATACGGATTTGGAAATAGAACGTTATTAGAACCGATGTGTTGATGTAATTAATTAAATTAATTATGATATTATTCTAATATGTATGTAATTATTTGTTCAATGAATTTCTTTTTTGTATAAACTTCGAATATGTCAAGAAATTCGTCTTATTTATCATGAATTAAAATATGTAAATATATTTTATTGAATCAACTTTTTTTCTTTTAGGCCAAGTACATTGCCCAATGTATGGAAGAAATAAAAATTGAACTACGACAGGATAACATTGCTGTTAAAGCAAATGCTGTTGCAAAATTGACATATGTATGTATTTTGTAAAAACTTTGTAAGATATTTTTATACATATCATTACAGTAGTCTATTGAGCTTTCTCTTCTTGCAATGGCAGTATGTTTAAATGATTTTACCATATGGCTTCAAATGATTGATTAAATTAATTGTATACTTAGTTTTGTTCACAACCCTTGCCATAAAGCTGATAGAGCTGAGTGAAGCTGATTGTTGTCAATTTATGATTCTAAAGAAATTCTACAATGACTTCCATTCTGAGTAACCAATACAAATTGTAGAGCCAATTAAAATAAATATTTTATTATTATAGCTGCAGATGCTGGGATATGATATATCATGGGCTATATTTAACATAATTGAAGTAATGAGCTCAAACAAGTTCACATGTAAACGTGTTGGATACTTAGCAGCAAGTCAGTCCTTCCATGCTGACTCTGAGCTGCTCATGTTAACCACTAATATGATTCGTAAAGATTTGAATGCTCAAAATCAATATGAAGCTGGGTTAGCTCTTAGTGGATTGAGTTGCTTCATTTCCCATGACTTAGCTAGAGATTTAGCAAATGACATCATGACATTGGTAAGAATATTTTTTTTCTCTAAAATAACTTATTACCTATATGGTGTTAGCCTGGAATATCTGCCTTCACATTTTTGCATGTAGGTGGCTTAAAAGATAAACATAAAATTTACTAGAAAACATGGAGCCGCATTTTCATAGTACAACCTCACTTCGGTTTTCTTTTTACATTTAGAATCTGGTGGTCGTATGGTGAATTGCGAATTCACCATTCTGCCAATTATTTCCATACAGCAATTATGTGTTCTAGTTTATAGAATGGAACAACTGCAATGAAATATAATTGAGACTTCAACCTCACGATTCAAGGTGATGACAGTATTTACATTGTGATGTCTATGAGCTCTACTCAACACAAACTTCATTGTGAGCTCTAGTGTATTTTTACACAATTAGAAAAAAGGAAACAATTGGAGGGAAGATCATTTCAAAATCAGATGGTACAAGCAAAAATGCTGTATGGAAAATAATATTCAAAATCTTTGGTTGATATTGAGATAATATTTAAAAAACAATCAAATTGGTTGCGATTAATTACACCTTCATGAATAGTAGTAATATAAACAATGAATGTTTTTTTTTTATTTGCAAAATGCTGAATAAATATTTACTTTTGTGTTTTCTTATATTCCATTATTACTTTACAAGCACATTATCATATATCAATATTCAAATTTATTTCAGATGAGTTCCACAAAACCTTATTTAAGAATGAAGGCTGTGTTAATGATGTATAAAGTTTTTCTAAGGTATCCTGAAGCACTTAGACCTGCATTTCCTAAATTAAAAGAAAAGCTGGAAGATCCGGATCCAGGTAAAATCACATAATGAAAAAATCATTTTCACTACAATATAATTGAGATTTCAACTTTCATTTGTAGGTATATATATTCATGTTCATTTTCATTTTCATCATCCAAAGATCGAATTTTTTATCAGAACCTAATTAGATATATTAGTTTCTAACTATCTCGCGTATCAAGATATATTAAACAAACAAGTTAATTTTAATTTTTTTTTTATTCCGTGGGTGGACGAGTTCACAGCCACCTGGTGTTAAGTGATTACTGGAGCCCATATACATTTATAACCTAAATGCACCACCCATCTTGAGATATAAGTTCTAAGGTCTCAAGTATAGTTACAACGGCTGCCCCACCCTTCAAACCGAAACGCATTACTGCTTCACGGCAGAAAGAGGCAGGGTGGTGGTACCTACCCGTGCGAACTCGCAAAAGGTCCTACAACCAGTAATTACGCAAATTATAATTTTGCGGGTTTGTTTTTTTATTACACGATGTTATTCCTTCACTGTGGAGGTCAATCATGAACATTGGTTGAGTACGTATTTCATTAGAAAAATTGGTACCCGCCTGGGATTCGAACACCGATGCATCGCTCAACACGAATGCACCGGACGTCTTATCCTTTAGGCCACGACGACTTCAAAATTTTTCGACATTGGAATCGATATGCGAAAAATGTGAGATCAATTATTTCATGAAATTATACCCTAAAACATCCCATAGGATATATAAGATTTGAATAGAATTATAATTTCTAAAGTTGAAATGATGTGGTCATATCCCCGTAATCAGCGACAAATGTAAATTTTCGTAATATAAATGTAACCAACCCGTTTTTTCGATTTTTACAGGTGTACAATCGGCAGCAGTGAATGTTGTTTGTGAACTAGCGAGAAAAAACCCTAAAAATTATTTATCTTTAGCTCCAATTTTCTTCAAATTGATGACTACTTCCACTAACAATTGGATGCTGATAAAAATTATCAAATTGGTATGTACAATTACATCTATTTTTCGTTTTGCTATTTTACAGTAATTTTTATTTTATAATGACCAATTCAATACATGAATGAAATGCATTTAATTATGGAGAAAGAGTCTGAAGAATTTTTGAATCTATTCTCAAGTGCAACAAATAAGTTTCATATGATCAAAAATATTAACTAAAAATATTCATTATTATCTTTATATTGTTATTTCTTATTATAAAAATATTTTCGATAAACCACTGCATACCAAACAAAAAAAATTTATCAAATGCATCATTTCATTATTACTTTTTTGTATAAACGAATTTACCGTTATAAATAAGTGTATCAAATGACCTTAAAATTATCTTAAACTCTAAATTCTTCACAGTTTGGTTTAATGACCCAATATGAGCCAGATATTGGAAGAAAAATAACACAAAGCCTCATTGATCTAATTTGCAGGTACAACTAACTAGTGAAGATATATTTAAAATTTCATATCCAGATGCTAGTTTCATTCACAACACCTCACGTTTTCGATTAAAAACTTTTTATAAATACCACTTCACTCTTCAATTACCAAACACCGGTGAACACACAAATGTTAACAGATTATGCTCAAGTCTTTAAAAAAACTATTTTTAAATTTCAATGCCTTCTTTTCTAAATTGCAAGTTTTGCCAGCAAATATTCCACGACTAATTGGCACATAAATATCACGGAGTCCTCATGTTTGCGAATTGAAAATACGAGAAAATGTACAGTTATACACAAAATTCATATCACACATAAGCTAGGAGGCAAAGTTTAACATCTATTTGTTATTGGTTGCCACCACATAAGCTAGTCTTATGTAGTATCATTATGTTTGTTGCAGTTCGGTGCCTTAACCCCATTAGAGCCTCGGCTTGGCAAGAAACTGATAGAACCATTAACTAATTTAATTCATAGGTGAGTCAGTGCGATAAGTGTTGTGGCGGCGACCATACACTATGGAATTGTAATATGGGGTCAATAAATGAAATTGACCAAACAAATTCACCAAATATACGTTAGCCGTTTATTAAAGACAGTGATGTTGATCATTCATAAATAACCAGCGATGTAAACGAATGTTTCTAGAATTATTGATCACTTTGCTTACACTGCTTGTTATCGATGTTTTATAGCTTCATTTAAAGCACTTGCTTCTGGAGAACACTAGATTAAGCTTGTTGTTTTTTTTATATTTACATTTGAAATAAGTTTCAATACTTATGCGGTCTACTACCACTTTAACAATAAAGTTGTTGAAGTGTCTTAAAATATGTTAAATATAAATTATCTCCACGAAAATAGATATCGAAAATGTCACTTAATTTTTTTTTTTACTGGCATTGTAGGCAGATGAGCTTACGGCCCACGTGATGGTGAGTGGTTACCATCGCTCATGGACGTCAGCAATGCCAGGGGCAGAGACAAACCGCTATCTACCTACTAATACTATTCTACTTTTATTAATAAAATACGTTTTGTTTAGCACATCTGCAATGTCATTACTTTACGAGTGCATCAACACTGTAATAGCGGTGTTGATCAGTATAAGCAGCGGGATGCCGGGACACGCAGCCTCGGTACAGCTATGCGTACAGAAACTAAGAATATTAATTGAAGATAGCGATCAGAACCGTGAGTAAATTTTCTTTTTTTATTACTTAGATGGGTGGATGAGCTAACGGCCCACCTGGTGTTAGGTGATTACCGGAGCCCATAAATATCTACAACGTAAGTGCAACGTAAATTAACTTTTAGAAATGCTTGGCGGGCCGCGTTTTGCTCATCCTTGCATTAAACCATTTCCTCTTGTCTCTATACGTGTGACCGCATAGCTCTCAATGTCATAATTTCGCACACATCTGTCTATTGAACGGTAGACGTGACGTAATACGTAGAGATTGGAACAGCTAATTTTGACTGCACTTTCAAGTTCAATTGAACCTAATATATATTTAATTTACGTATATAAAATCAACAATATACATATCCCGTGCGAATGACAATGACGAGATGACAATTAAAATTGGATGCAATTGTTCCGTTTAACAGAATCGCCGAACATAATTAATGTATTAAGTAATATAATAATTTTGTATTAAGTAAAATACTTGGGCTTGCTGGCAATGTCAAGAATACTCAAGTCACACCCGAAGTCCGTTCAAGCTCACAAAGACCTCGTATCGGCGTGTCTTGACGACAAAGACGAGTCGATTCGACTGAGGGCACTCGGCCTTCTCTACGGAATGGTGAGTTGATTATTTTCATAGACCATGTAATGTTATTCGCAATTTTGGTCATTTAACAGTTTCACCCCCATCACTAAATTTGCAGGTTTTGTAACTAATTTGTACTATTAAATCATATATTGCATTATTTGAGATCCGGACTGTGACGAGGTAGTATGGAGGGTAGAGGTAAGGAGAACCGTCTTATATGGGAGGAGCTTGAAAAAGTGTCCCACTTTCAGCACTAAATAACAGTTCAAAGATCCTCCAGAAAGGCGCTAGCATAGGCACAGGGTGTGATATGAATTGAGCAGTTGTTAGCTGACTGAAGTATGCTGAATTAGGAAATTTAATATATTTAATGATTAGAGTAGTTACTGACAGTGTAATATACAAGACCTCACATGTTTACGTAGTTCAAACTAATTTCGTCAATATAACCTAAAATTATTGCTGTGGTAAAACGTGGAGACATCGATTGCATTTTCTTATCAGCTTTAAATAAAATACTTTTTGTGATTCTGTAGTGCTTACAGTTCTTTCGTCCTTTTTTATTTCTCTATCTTATTCTAATAACTTTCAGCGCCTTTTTTTAAATTTACCCAGTTGCTACTGTAGCGCCACCCTTATTTAGCAGATTTTCACGGACACTTTTTACACACAGAGACGGTTCTCCTTACTTCTACCCTCCATACAAGGTAGGTACTCACTGTTCCATATTTCAAATAAGAACCGTTAATATTGTTTATCCATTCATTTTGAAGCTGCGTTGCCATAGACAGACAAGTAAAGCTCTCAAACTTATAACAGCTCCACAGTATTTTTCTATCTGTGGTTAAAAATAGTGACATATTTCTTTGTGTTTTAATTCATAGTTTTCTAAGCTGTTTTTTTTAACTTATGCGAATACCCTATCGATAATACCCCGCCCCGTTTTAAAACACATTCACTAATGTCGATGGGCCCCCTATTTTTGTTTGTCTATCCTTGAGCTTAGTTTTACGCAGCTACCGAAAACTAAATTATGTCACGGTACAAACCTATTCTATGGTGGTGGTAGGAATGTTAGTCCACACGGGTCGGTGCCACTGTCCTGTCTATTTCAGCGATCATGACTCGCGACTGGAAGGTCAAATTCTATTGTACGGCAACACAATTGAGACGTATGTGATCGAACGTATTTTATGGTTGTGGTGGTTCATGTACCGTAGATTGGGGGGAATCGGGACCCTTTCCAATTCCAACAAAAATTTGTTTTTCTTAGGGTAAAACCAATAAAATTGAGATTAAAATGGTTCCGGAGGTTTAATTTCTTATATACGATGCATTGTATAATACATAATTTTACTTAGTTAATTACAAAATATACACAAAAACTTAAAAAACTATCTTGACCCGGATGATTCATCTTGGCTTTAGGGTGAATCAGGTTACGTATGGGGACAATAGTTTTTCGATAGGGGTGGCACTATTTAGTTCTTAGGTAGGTACCTAATTTTAGGTAATTAACTTTTTAATATATTTAATGAGTTACAAAACTTTGATGACTAAATTAAACAATTTAATATTCTTAAACACTAAATAAAAGTCATTTTCAGTTCAACAAATTTAAATCTAACAACTCAACAAAAGTATTGTGACATCCCAGATTTGTCCCTATTCTAACTCTAGTCCCTATTCCCCCGAATCTACTGTAATTGCTGTTCGTTAGTCTCGCTAAAACTCGAGAACGGCTGGACCGATTGGGCTAATTTTGGTCTTGAATCATTTGTGGAAATCCAGAGAAGGTTTAAGAGGAAGATAAATATGAAAATGTTCGGAATTAAATAAAAATAACAATTTTGTTTTTCCTTTGATGTGTCCCCCGTCGGACGGATTCATTTTGTTTGTTTTAAGTTTATTTTACACAAAAGTTTAGGTCTTTTACTTATCGATTGAGGCACTACGAAGTCTGCCGGGTCAGCTAGTGAGAAATAAAATTGATTCGCTGTTTTAGGTGTCCAAGAAAAATTTAATGGAAATAGTAAAGAAGTTGATGTCGCACATGGAACGTGCCGAGGGGACGTTGTACCGGGACGAACTGCTGACCCGGATGATCGAGATCTGTTCTCAAAACAACTACCAGCACGTTGTGGATTTCGAGTGGTACATCACGGTACTGGCAGAGCTTACCGAAATGGAAACCAGTGCTAAACATGGCAAGGAATACTTACAGTTTAATTAGTGTATAATATATTGCTTAGATGGGTGGACGAGCTCACAGCCCATCTGGTGTTAAATGGTTACTGGAGCCCATAGACATCTATAATGTAAATGCGCCACCCACCTTGAGATATAAGATCTAAGGTCTCAGTATAGTTACAACGGCTGCCCCACCCTTCAAACCGAAACGCATTACTGCTTCACGGCAGAAATAGGCAACCTGGCGGTACCCACCCGTGCGACTTGCAAGAGATCCTACCATCAGTAATTACGCAAATTATAATTTTGCGGATTTCATTTTCATTACACAATGTTATTCCTTCATTAGTATCCGCCTGGGATTCGAACACCTGTGCATCGCTCAACACGAATGCACCGGACGTCTTATCCTTTAGGCCACGACGACTTAAACTTTTTGTTCGTATGTTTTGCGGTGTTCGTTAAGCCCCGAAATGTATTGTGTAGGGTGTATAATAGCGGCGCAGCTGACGGAGGTGGGCGCGCGCGTGGCGGACGTGCGGCCGTTCGCGGCGCGGGAGTGCGGCGCGCTGTGTGCGCGGGTGGCCGCCGCGCCGCCCGGCCCCGCCTCCCGCGAGGTGCTCTACGCCGCCGCATACGTGCTGTCCGAGTACTGCCAGTTAGTTCGTTTTACTGTTTCACATAGATATACATACAGACCACCTAAAGTTATTTAGTACTAGCTGTACCCGACCGCTTTGCTGGGCGAATTAAAATTAACATTATTATTTCTCACCCCCACAAAGATTCTCATCATTAACGCCCCCGCAACTGGTGTAGGGAGTCCAACACGCATATAAATATTAGCCTATCTATTAAGTACATGTATTTTCTACATGGATACCAAGTTTCAAAGTCAATCGGATGCATCTTTCAGTAGTTATAACGGAACATCCGTAAAAACCACTGTAGATTTTATATATTAGTATAGATAGGAATTTAAACGAAAACGATAATAGCATGTTAATCAGAAATTGCGACTCAGAGCTACTCAGGTCAATGCTTATTACTTTTTTTATATGATTTGATGAAACTAATTAATTCTACGTAATATTTCAGTATCCAAGAATAAACCCAATTCACGATTTATTCTTGGATACTGAAATATCTGTGTAGCTACAATAGGCGCGCGAGTTCATGTCCATCCGGAGGAACGTGGTAGTGCTGTAACCTAGTTAATTATGGAAATTTCGATAATAACCACCGATTTAGTCAACAGCTGTCAATTTGGTTTAATGTAACTTAAGGTAATTTTGCAATTTAAGAAATAAAATAAATGTGATAAGTTATCACTTGTTTATATCTAATAGAGAAAAATCTTTTTTAAATTCCAATTCAATCACTATCAAATGAAAAGACAACCGACAGATCAGAGTCGGAATCAGTATGTATCTTTATTCAGTAGGTTTTTTTCTATCTGAACTTGTTGGAAGCGGAGTAGTCATGGTTAAATAACACAATAGCGTTAGCGTAAATTTTCGATATCGATAAGCACGCGTCACAACCGTTGAGGGCAACACTCGACGTCAGACATGCGGGGAGGCGGGCGAAGGTGGGACGAGCTGTCCCGCGCGCGTCGCCTCTGGCCCTGATGGACATGAACTCGCGCCAGTACAGTACAGTTATTGAATATAATAATTTAGACGAAAACGATAATAGTATGATAGCTTGTTAATCAGAAATTGCGACTTCGAGCTACTCGGGTCAATGCTTATTACTTTTTTTATATGATTTGATGAAATTAATTAAATTTACGTAATATTTCAGTATCCAAGAATAAGAATCTATGTCACGATTTATTCTTGGATACTGAAATATCTGTGTAGCTATGTAACTGTGGTACTCTTGATCCACACCCTAAGTTACCTAGTTTAAGCAACATTTCGCTTAATACGCGACATTTATCTGCAATTAAGCAAGTATTAGCATCAAAAATTCGATATTTTTGATTGGACTTCAATTAAATTTACTTCATACATATGACTGAAGAAGTTTTTATGTTATGACATTTTTTTTTTCAAAATTTTAAATTCTAAATAACTCTTCTCTAAAGTTGCAAAAATTTTGCATAAAACCACCCTTACCTTTTTTTACCTTTCATCCCTCGATATGTAATCAACAGGGAAGAGGAAGTGATGCTGAGCGCCGTGTCCCCGCTGCTGGCGTGCGCGGGCGTGGGCGGCGGCTACATGCGGGCGCGCGCCGTGTGCGTGCACGCCGCGCTCAAGCTGTGCGCACGGTTGCTGCGGGCACGGCGCGACCGAAACATGCGCGATCAGGACATCGAGGTGACACCGATAGTTTTATTCAAATTTTAACCAGAAGACCGTACCAACCTGACTGATTTAGCGGAGTCTTCATTTAATTGACCGAATCTCGAACACTATTACTATTAGTATTACTCACGAATACTGATGGTAGGACCTATAGTGAGTTTTTTTTTTTTTTTTTTATTGCTTAGATGGGTGGACGAGCTCACAGCCCACCTGATGTTAAGTGGTTACTGGAGCCCATAGACATCTACAACGTAAATGCGCCACCCACCTTGAGATATAAGTTGTAAGGTCTCAGTATAGCAGCAGCAAGCAGTAATGCGTTTCGGTTTGAAGAGTGGGGCAGCCTTTGTACTATACTGAGACCTTAGAACTCATATCTCAAGGTGAGTAACCACGGTAACCACTTAAAACCAGATGGGCTGTGAGCTCGTCCACCCATCTATGCAATAAATAAATAAAATACAGACAAGATCACAAAATTTAACTTTCTTTGTTGTTAAAATCGTAAATGCTCCCGTCCATCTTGAAACGTGAAATTTAATCAAGTTAAAACAGTAACTTATGATTGTTTCTGTAGGCAGGGCAATGACAACTTGAAAGATAAGGTGATGATAATGTACTTACTCTCAACTCGAAATAAATAAATTTATATGAAGTTGTTTCGTTTTGGTACATAAGAAACAATTGCAACTGACGGTCTTTACACGTTATATGATGATCCAATCATGTGTTCGCTATTTGTAGATTGGCGCCACAGATCCCTATAAACGAAGAAATTCCTTTGACTATATAAATATTGGAAAAATAGTAATACATAATATTATATTCTGGCAAAGAATTATATACAAATAATATGTGTTCCATTTATTAACATTGTACGGTAACAGCCAATCAACATAAAGAACCAAACAAAAACAGTTGTGAGTGATCTTAATTAAATTAAAACCGTCACTCAAACACAATATTTTTAATGATTAACTAAAATCTATTAATGATACACCGATTTTAACACCCATAAAAACGAATAAGTGGCTAATCGATGTGTATATTACAAGTTTACGTCATTGCTTCTTTTGAACTTGGATGACGTCATCCGTAATGAGATAACTTTCGGCTTTGACAGTTTGTTCAATATCAGCATTGAAGAATTAATTAATGTTTTTCCTCTCCGGGCGGAAAGTGGCAACTTTCGTCCCGCTGTGCTAAACAAAGTTGCCGCTTTCCGCCTTTGTCGGACAAAAAAATAGTATACAGCCCTTGGAAAGTAAAAAAGAAAACCCCAGATCACATGTTTTCTTACATTCCTTCCCAAGGGGTGTAATATACTAATATTATTATGATTTTATAAAATTTAATTTTTTTTGGGAAACAGCTCATACGTGAATGTCTGGCGGGTTTGCGACCGCTCCTCTGCAGCGAGGATATGGAAGTACAAGAACGCGCCCATAACGCCACCGCGCTGCTGACGCTGGTCCTCCGCGAGCTCAGCCCAGGGGACGCGGAACTGCCCGCAGAGGAGCCGCCCTCAGCGACGGGACTGCTCGTTGAACACGAACAGAGGTGTGGAATGTTTAACGACAAAGGGTAGATCTTCCACCGAACGGCTGATATTGCTCGGTAGACCGACGGCCATAAAAATTTTTTTTTCTTTTTTTTTTTTTCCTACCTAATCTGATAGCCTTGAAAGGCTATTTCAGCGTAACCTTAACTAGTAGGTGAGCTCACGGGACTCAAACCTGACGACGTTGCTAACGCGAACCCTAGCAAGAGCCGTGCTTCGTAGAATCTACCACCGGATTGGAAACGCGACCCACTGAGAAAATCCGGCGAGAAACTTAGTGGGCTGTGTCCGAGGGTTAATTTACTCGTCGAGCCCTTCGTCGCAAGCGACGGGTTCGACGAGAACGATGACCGTTGTTCGGAACTTGTATATATGCAAGCTTATTTTGAAAATGTCGTAAGCAAGATTCAGGAATCTGTAAAATTTCTTGCGTTGTATGATGGATACAAGCCACAGAGGTAACGCTCGTATAGTTATAGTTAATGGCAATGTGTTGGCAGTAAGTAGCGGTCTATGTCTGTGTGTCACGTCAATCAACTATGAGCTCTCCTGTTCTTGATTGGAATATAAATCCACAAACTTGTGAAACATATTATGTTCGCGGCAGTCGGTGTTAAATTAATCTATGCATCTGTGAGTGCGAAGATGCGAGACATATACGACCTTCGCCTCCGAGGTGGTCCGTCGTAGCGCAATGAACAACGCACGGGTTTATACCAAATAATTGATTATGAGCTAGGATAACCTTTATTCTATAATAATTATTTGTTATTTCGAGCTCATATATCAAAGTAAGTGACGCCAATCGAGTCACGGTGCTTGGTGTTGTTCAGTAGGTGCTTAGCACGGGCTGATAATCACCTAGAGTAAAAAAAACCTGAATATGAGGTCAAAGAGGTCACTAAAAGTCACAACACAAATGTCGCCGTTGATATGTTTTGAATATTTGAAACCAAAGTTTTGAATTTTTTTAGAAATATACCTTTTTATTTTTTTATTGCATAGGTAGGTGGACGAGTTCACGGCCCACCTGGTTGTAAATGGTTAACGGATCCCTATAGACTTCTCAAACGAAAACGCCGCCACCCAGCTTGAGATATGAGTTCTAAGTTCTCAAGTATAGATACAACGGCTGCCCCACCCTTCAAACCGAAACGCATTATTGCTTCACGGCAGAAATAGGCGGGGTGGTGGTACCCCACCCGCGCGGACTCACAAGAGGTCCTACCACCAGTAAATTTAATTCAATTATTTATTTAATTCAATGTCAAAAATACGTGTTTCAGTAACGGCTTAGAGAACGCGGACGACGAGGAAACGCTTAATCAGAATGCCAAGGAGGATTTGATCGAAGAATTAGCTCAATTGTTTGATGGGGAACTAAAGCCGGTTGCGCCTAAAGCCCAGAAGAAAGTGCCCATGCCGCCAGAGTATGTACTATCTTATTATATATAACCTTTAAACAAGCAATTGTTGTATATATATAATCTGAATCTCGGAAACGGCTCCAACGATTTTCATAAAATTTAGTATACAGGGGATTTTGGGGGCGATAAATCGATCTAGCTACGATTTTTTTCAGAAAATGTTGTTTTATTCATGTTTTCAATAATCAACTCTTCCCGACATCTATTGGCGAATAATAATACTATTTTTCTTAATTGAGGGCAACTAACCGCTTTAAAGACACAACAAGATGGCGTTATCAAAAAAAAACCGGTCATTTAGTCATTACTTAATTAACAAATTTCAATTAACGACATTTCTTAATTGATTTTTGGAAGTAGCTATGAAGGGAAATGTTCCACGGATGTTTTTGTACATTCGCAAAGTTGACTTGAAAATGTTATTTTTACGATGTCTATGCATACTGCCGCTAAAATTGAATGTTCAACTCTACGATAGCTGAGTAGAGATGAGCTAATTTTAGTTGCAATGTTAGTAAATTTAATTGGAATTAAATACGATCGACTTAAAATTCTAAACAACCTGAACTTTAATTTGTAATAATTTACTTATTATACTTTTTTTTATTGCTTAATTGGGTGGACGAGCTCACAGCCCACCTGATGTTAAGTGGTTACTGGATTCCATAGACATCTACAAAGTAAATGCGCTACCCACCTTGAGATATAAGTTCTAAGGTCTCAGTATAGTTACAACGGCTGATCCACCCTTCAAAACGAAACGCATTACTGCTTTACGGCAGAAATAGGCAGGGTGGTTAAGTTTCTTTTAAGACATGCTTTTTATATTAGACGATAAGTAATGATACTTTAAATTGTACTTACCTCAGTTTGTAAATAGTCAACTTAAGAGACACGTTCGTTTTGTAGCTTGAACCTGGAACAGTGGTTGTCGCGCGACCGCTGGTCGTCGGAGAGCTCGAGCTCGGAGGGGGAGGGCGAGGGCGAAGAGGGGGGCCCTATGTTCCCGGCTCCGCACGACGCGCGACCCACGGCGCAGTTCACTCCCGAAGAACTTGACATGGTAACATCAATGTTTATTCAATTTATAGATTTACTAGCGACCCATTATTGATTTCTCCACTATTTAATGGATGTTATTATACATATAAACCTTCCTCTTCAATCACTCTATCTATTAAAAAAAACCGCATCAAAATCCGTTGCGTAGTTTTAAAGATTGAAGCATACATAGGGACAGAGAAAGCGACTTTGTTTTATACTATGTAGTGATTATTTTGCCACTAAGACATGAGGCTCGCGGTATAAAAGGTGGAAAGCGGTTGTGTAGTCATTAAGACTAGGGTTTTTTGCGAAGCACGGCTTTTGCTAGGGTTAGTGTAAGCAACATCGTCAGGTTAGAGCCCTGTGAGCTCATCTACTTGTTAGGTTACGCTGACATAGCCTCTCAAGGCTATCAGCTTAGGTAGGAAAAAAAATACCAGGTCCTCGTTGTAAAACGGATACCATCTGTTACTCTCACTCAACTGTTACTCAAACACAAATAGATAAAGAGAGCAGAAATTTTATTTCATTGCATACAGAGAGTGTATTAAACCTTCCTCAAAAACGAAACAAGAATGATGTTGACGGTTGATTTTTATATTGCACGTAATGTATCGCAATTTAGCAGCTGCCTACGAATTACAATGCTGCTTCACAAAATACGTATCTAGTACAAAGTATTTAAGTACACAGTTCATTCTTTTTTTACTTTGGGGACGTTTTTTTTTACACCACGCATCTACAATTGGTTATTCATTTCATTTTAACTTAATATTTTAAAATGCTTACTCTATATTCAAAGATGTCGGTATCGAAAGAAGCGGAACAGCATAAGTGCTCTTTTTTTCTTCTTTTTTTTTCCTACCTAAGCTGATAGCCTTGAGAGGCTACTTCAGCTTCGCCCTAACATGTAGGTGATCTCACGGGGCTCAAACACTGACCCCAGCAAGAGCAGTTGCTTCGCAGAATCTACCACCGGATCGGAAACGCGACCCACTGAGAAGATCCGGCGAGAAACTCAGTGGGCTGTGTCTGTGGGTTAATGCTCTCGTCGAGCTCTTCGCCGCAAGCGACGAGTTCGACGAGGGCGGTGACCGGTGCTTGTGGTACCTAAAAGCACCGATAGTGGATCGTAAGTGCACTTAATGTGACGTAAACTATAACGAAGGTTTATTTGTAAAACAGTTACGTGAAGCGCGGCGTCAAGAACAAGCCAACAACCCGCACTACCTCAAAGACGACTCGCCGCGCTCCTACCAACAAGACGACATTCCAATAGCAGAGATCGCACTCGAAGTCCCGCTGCAAATACACAGTGAGTGGACATTACATTACATTACACCACAACACTACCAGTGATCTGTACCGTACAGATACTATTCAGTTGCGACTCTCCCCCGGACGAGTCTGGGAGGTCCACGGTGTCACTATTAGGTGCGTGCTTGTCTGTCAGTTTTATGTCAAAAACGAAAGGTGTGTCTGAAAAAAAAAAAAACAGAATGCATCGCTATTGTGTATTTTATCGTTTATATAATATATCAATATAATAGGGTTTTTAAAGATGTTATCTTATTTTGCTTGTAATCTGTTAGCGCGCGCGCGTCGTATAATTCATTTAGTTTTTTAATGTTGAACGGATTAGAGGAGGTAACAGTAACAGTTTTAAAGAATTTTTTTTTAATTACCATTGTAAGCAGACGAGCATACGGCCTGATCTGATGGTAAGAGGCTACCGTCGCTAATGGACATCAGCAATGCTTAGGATATAGCCAAATTTCCTACATATATGATATTATCAAACAAACAACGAATAGTGGCCGGGTATTTCTAGCTCCTTATAACGATTATTCACTAAGGCTTACATTCGATGTACCCGAAATAATTAACATTAATCAATCCTATCCTAGTTGTAACTCTTTTTTTCTGAACATATTTTATATCGACATTCACATTATTTTACTTATTACACTTTTTTATTGCTCCGATGTGTGGACGAGCCCACAGCCCACCTGGTGTTAAGTGATTACTGGAGCCCATAGACATCTACAACGTAAATGCGCCTCACACCTTGAGATATAAGCTCTCAGTATAATTACAACGGCTGCCCCACTCTTCAAACCGAAACGCATTACTGCTTCACGGCAGAAAATAGGCAGGGCGGTGGTACCTACTCGCGCGGACTCACGAGAGGTGCTACCACCAGTAATACTCCAACCTCCATACTCCATTCACCATACTCTATAAATTGTAATAATTTCAGCTAAACGATCAGATAAGTACTTAATGTCTCGAGAGAGCTCGAGTAAAAAGAAGAAGGAGAAGCGGACGACAAAAAAGCGAAAGGCAAAGAAGCAAGACAAACATTCCACTGACTCGGAGAGCGAAGGTATTTATCATATTGTTGTATATTGTTTCTATCATCGTTTGATCAATAAGCCTATCGCTAAAATACTCGTAAACCTACTGACGCATGGAATTTTGAACTGGATTATTAACAAAATATTTTTACAAGCAATGGCTGCTCGGCTTCATGCCATAACTTGTTGTACGCAAAATGAATTGAGAGTCGAGTAGAATTTACATCGATTCAAGTCATATTAAACTGTTATTTAATCTTAAAAGTACAAATTTTCGTACTTCGGGTGTTTTTTATTCGGGTGTTCGGGTGTATTGTTATTTGTTCGGGTGCCAATAGTTTGATCAACAAATTCATATACGTGAAAAGTTCCAAATAATTTTTTCGTATTTTGTAGATAAAATTACAGATATGATTTATTAGTTCTCACACGCACCTTTGATCTTGTAGAAATAAACATTTTTATGTTTTCAAACTTCTTGATCAGAATAATATATTATGGTAGGCTATTTTTTAAGGGATTTTGTGACCTGGTAACTAAGACCTTTAAGTCATGTCTTATTTTAATGTATATTCTTATTTTTATGAAAAATGATAATATGGAGTGAAATGAAATGAAATGAAGATGATTAATTTGACACATTAATCAAATGGGATGAAATTAAATGAAATGAGACGAGATGACATGGGATGAAATATAATCTTAGTAAAATGGTGGCCATTTACTGAGATTTTTTCAGTGGACTTTTTGGAGGATCACGAGAAGTAACGTTCAGCGGCTTTGTTTCATTATTCCACATTTGTGCACTTTTACAGATATTAAACAGTTAATAAACCACCGTTATTATACATTTAAACCTGAAAAAACACTAAATAGACAAAATAAAACAAATCACTCAACTTCAATCCTCGCGTTCTCGCCAAAAAGTCCATATATATATAGGCTAATTTGAGGATGAATGTTGTCGAAAAACGAATAATAATCGGCTTGAATTGCCTTATGTATCTATACAACACAAAATCAGGTATAGTATAGGTGGTATAGTAAGTAACCTGTATGTGCATGTCTGTGCAGAGTGGGAGCGACGGCCGGCGGTGTGCGCGGGCGGGGAGCTGCCCGAGGGCGCGGCGCCGTCCGACGACGAGCCGCCGCCGCCGCACGACGACCCGCACCACGCACTCGACCTCGACCTCGACAGGTACAGTACAGCACAGCTTATAATTTGGAGTCACTACCATTACTTTTTTTTTTTTCCTACCTAAGCTGATAGCCTTGAGAGGCTATTTCAGCTTCTTGAAACCGGAAGTGTTGCTAACACTGGCCCTAGCGAGAGCAGTGCTTCGCAGAATCTACCATCGGATCGGAAACGCGACTCGCAGAGAAGATCGGGCGGGAAACTCAGTGGGCTGTGTCTGTGACTTAATTTACTCGCCGAGCCCTTCGTCGCAAACGACTGGTTCGACGAGAACGATGACCGGTGTTGGGGTACTTAAAAGCACCGTTAGTGGATCGGGAGGATCCGTAATGACGTGTCGTTGCTCGCTGCTACCGTCCGTTAGATCTGAACTACACCTAAAATCGAATAAAAACTTTGTAAATCATAATTATAATTTTTTTAAGGCCATTACGCGAAGACGAGCTTCTTACGTCACGTCTTCAACAATATCCGTCCCCCGGCGTCGGTTTGCTAGACAAAAAGAAAGATAAACCGGCAAAGAAATCCAAAAACGTAGAAAACGACACGCCCGATAAACCTGTTAAGAAAAAGAAGGACAAGAAATCAAAGCAACGCAAGCCAAGCGCGACAGAATCGATAAAAAATGAGAAAACTGAAGATATTTTACTCATCGATGGAGTTTTTAAAAGCAACGGCGAGCAACTGAAAGAAGATGTCGTTGAAAATACTGAATTAACTGTCGACGAGGGAAAGACATTAAAGACTGAGAAACACAAGAAAAAGAAAGAGTCGAAAAACAAAGATCAAACCAGTTCATCGAAGAAACGAAAGTCTACGAAAAAAGGTAAATAATTTTGTTTAATTGATTGGGCGCAGGCAACATTTCCCTTATGGCTATCGTAATTGTTCTAAGACGATACTTTATTTAGAAACGAATGTTTAATATTACGTATTTTCTCTTTACTGAATAATCCAATAGGCTTTGGTATATATTATTAGAATATACCCTTATATAGATGTACTTATAGTTGCTGGTAGGACATTCTGTGAGCCCGCACGGGTAGGTACCGCCACCCTGCGTATTTCTGCCGCGAAGCAGTAATGCATTCCGGCTTTAAAGGGCAGGGCGGCCGATGTACTGTATGTCACATATCTCAAGATGGGCGACGGCATTTACGTTGTCGGTGTGTATGGACTAATAAAGATCGGAAGTTGTTGACGAGTACGTTTTACCCAGGGTAAACTCTACAATATTGAGAAAGAGGTCAATCGTCCAATCTGTGCAGAATCTGCTCATCCAAAACACAGTCTCTCAAGACAAGCCTTTGAAGAAAATGTGTTGCTGATGATGACGTACGTCACTGAAACGTGATCATAATGGGCCTCATCAAAAAGCTCAGTTACGCAGAGTAGTGAAGAAAGCTATGCCCGGAATATCCGTGGACAACCGAATCACGAATGATTCGATTCGCAGAAAAACTATCGTAACCTATACAGCCTCGAGAATTGCTCGTGGAACACACGTATCGAAGGCGCAGCCTGGTGCAGCCTGCCTCATTCCTAGCCTCATTCAAAGCCTATATCCATTAGTGGATGTCTGTAAGCTGATGTTGATAAAACGAATGTTCTTGTTTCAATAATGCAATGTTTTTTTTTATTGCTGAGATTGGTGGACGAGCTCACAGCCGACCTGGTGTTAAGTGGTTATTGGACCACTTAACACCCTCAGTAATGAGGAAACCGACGCAAGGAGGAGGAGGAGCCCATAGACATCTACAACGTAAATGCGCCACCCATCTTGAGATATAAGTTCTAAGATCTCAGTATAGTTACAACGGCTGCCCTACCCTTCAGACCGAAATGCATTACTGCTTCACGGCAGAAATAGGCAGGGCGGTGGTACCTACCCGCGCGGACTCACAAGAGGTCCTACCACCAGTAAAAATGTAGTCAATAAGGAAATAAATCGATCGAGTAATTCGAATGACAATCGAGTGACGCTACCAAGAGATATTAGCAAGCTGTGTTGATTTAATTAATTGAAAAAAAGCCTGAAAACAAAAATGTATATTATATCTTTTTTTCTTCTAGATAAGCATGAATCTAAAACGGGCTACGAAGAAGCTTTAGGTATCTCGACACCTAGCAAAGAAGTCGTATAGTCTGTAGAACACTTTCTGAGTCTCAACTTCCACTCATGCTGTCTCAGTGCAATTGTCAAATTTAACAATTAGTAAAATATTATATATATATACGTTATTTCTAACATGTATGTGTTAAGTTAGAGATTATTTTTATTCGTTTTATTTCTTAAAAAACAGGTCCATGTAATAAGCATAATATAGTTATAAATAAAACAAATATGCAATCATAAAAGTGTATAATTTATATTTAAAAAAAACATTGTTTTATCGTATGTGTATAAAGAAAACTGTCCTTTAAGATGTTATAATATAACAAATTTACGCAAAAAAATCACATCATCTTTTCTTACCCAGTCCAGAACACGGACCGCTTCCTCCACTTTTCTGTTTATCTTTGGTACCGACCGAAATTGCTACCTGAGCAGCAAGAAAATATATATTTAGAGTAAATGGGCTTATAAGAGGTACATAATTTGTAGCAATAGTAAGAATAATCTTATTTTAATTAAGACGAGGCGGCATTAACAGATGCGTTGGTATCATAAATAATGCGATATGACTGACACACCCGGCAAATATACGTGTGATGAGCAGGTTTGTTTACTCTTTGTCTGGGTGTTTATTATCTATAGATAGATAGATATTTAAAACGTATATAAGTATGTCAATCTCTGGTACCCATAACACAGGTAATCTTAATTTGGGGCCGTTTGAACGTGTGTAATTTGATTTGTTCCCAGTTATTATCTTTTTCACCTACCCTCATTACTTACCTATCATTCATCTAGTAGCAATAATTTCACATACTTGCCTATCTAGTACTTATATTAAATACTAGCTATATAGCATGTTGCAAGCCCCAACGCTTCTATCGTCTTATGTCGTGAAGCAAACAAGAGTTCCTGTTTGAAAGGTAGTTTAGCTATCGGGTAGCAGTATTTACTTTATGATGTGTAGAGGCACCAGTATTATCTAAACGCCCATTTTATCTTACAGCATGTATGACTACGGATCTGTCACTTCTTATCACTTCGAGAAACGTTGTATTCACTTGTTTAATGAGTAATTTCATTATTTCACGTTGTTTTGTCAACAAGATAGCGATAACTAAACATTTTATGGAATGTATTTTAGCATTTCACGCAGTACAACTATAACAATATGAATTTTCATGTCTAATGTGTGAAAATATATCATGGACAGAAAGGTTAATAATGAATTTTAAATGCTTTAAATTTAAATAACACAAGCATGGTTATTTGACCCTAATAAAAACTAATAAAAATTTGACTACGATCCAGCCCAGTTAAAACACGATTGCGTAAGTACGTTGTTCGGTCAACGATCGCTGTTGATTAGTAGATTGGAGGTCAAATAAACGGTACTACGAGGTTACACGTGTGATTTCCTATTTAAATCGTGAACTGTTTTTGGTTCATATAATAAAAAATGATAAAATGATCTACAAGGGTTCCCATGGCTCCTCTCCTTCAGGCTTCATTAAATTTTTAATGATGTCTTTATCGAAATCGATTTATATAAGTCGTTTCCTAGACAATAGAGCACCCGATGTTCTAGTATCAAACGATCCGAAATACCCGGCCACGAAGCAGTCATGAGTGCCGATCTAAAGGGTGAAACAGCCTATATACAATATAATTGAGACTCGATTTCGTCTTAAAATGAGCAGCGGCATTATGGTTTTTTTATTACCGTATATGCAGACGACCATACTTCCCACCTGATGGTGAGTGGTTACCGTCGCTTATGGACGTCAGCAATGCCAAGAGCAGTGCCAAGCCGCTACCTACCTTTTAATGTTGTCCACAAGCATCGTTTGAAGAAGGACATGTCATAGCGCTCGGGAAACACCGTGGAGAGGAGCTCATTAAATTTTTTTTCCTATCTAAGCTGATGGTCTTGAGAGACCATATCAGCGTCACCGGGCTAGTAGGTGAGCTCACGGGGCTCAAACCTGACGTTATTGCTAACACGAACCCTCCTAACAAGAGCCGTGATTCGCAGAATTTACTACCGGATCGTAAACGCGACCCACTAAGATCTGGCGAGAAACTCAGTGTGCTGTCTCTGAGTTAATTTACTCACAGGGCCCTTCGTTGCAAGCGACGGGTTCGACGAGAACGATGACCGGTACCTAAAAGCACCGTTAGTGGATCGGGAGGATCCGAAATGACGTGTTTTGGGCAACGTCGACTGTTTACCATTCGCAACATCGAGAATGTAGTTACCGGCGCGGCGGCCACGATGAGAGGGTTCTCGTGTCGTGCCGCTTTATCGAAATGGCGAAGAGCTCATTCCAAAGTCGGATGGTACGTGGCAAAATATATCTCTGGAAACACACTGTGGTGGTGTGGGATCCGGCACTTGAAATCAAGTAGACCGTAAGCTCGCCCACCCATCTATGTAATAAATAAATGAAATCTATAGGTTTTGCATGGTGCTTACTTACAAACAACTTTCAAACCGTAACCGACATAAGGTTAAATAAAACATCGAGGATATCAGTATTATAAAAGTCGATAGTCGGTAGTATTCAATTATTTTGTCACTTTAGCATTAACAAAATACATTAAATACCACTAGTAAATAATTCAGGTTATGTTATTTAAGTTGAGAAGTACTTTATGCTATGTATGTTGAGGTCTCTAGTTTGGCAAATTACTTTGTGGTCTACTTTTATACTGTATGTATGATTACTACTTTTACGAAAATCTAGGAAATAATTACACATTAATATTTAAACAACAAATCAGATCTAAAACATTTTTAATTTCAATAACACTACATTTTAATAACAAGCCATAAATAAATGATATTTAATTACATACTTGTGTTAAATTAGTATTTCACAATATTGTACTTTTACATTTCGACAAAAATAAAGAGAGGTTAAGAAACTAATAGGAAATTCGTCGCATGGTAAAAAGAACACAGTGTACAAATACCATGCATATTTGGTTTTAGTGATAAAGTCAAAGTATATTGACTCATAAATTAAATACGAAAATATTTTATGTCTTCACAATACAATGTTTAAACAACCAACAGATTACATCCGACGGTTCAAAATTATGTTCTCAACACAATAAGTAACACGAAAGCGTACAATATGCTGCATTACTTCACAGTAAGCTATATAAAGTATGATAAACTTACGGAATGCAGCTCGCATAGAGTATGTCATCGATAAATTATTATTATTATTATTTATATCTACTAATAACGTGTGCACTTATTCTAAATGTGAATAAATAACGATACAATGGGCATTTTATGAGGAGTTGTTTAACTATATTTTAGTACTAAAATCAGAATAATTACTTAAAGTATGTTTTGCAAGTAGTTCTTCACATAATTCAAAGAATTGATAAAACAACGTTATCTACACAAAGTAATTAGGTACCATGTAAATTAAATTTACCACATAAATATAATACAGTTTTGTACATATTTTACTTTTTAATAACTAAGTTGTAAAAATTAGTCAAATGTGCAAACTCTACCCAACACATTAAATTCGAATCAAAAATACTTAAATATGACAGCTGACTTAACTAGCTTGACAGATGTGACAGAATGTATTGAATGTGTTATGAGAATACTGTTTTTACTTTTCAAGCATAACTCTTGGAATATCAAATTTAACCTCAACTCCAGCCTTTCTGGCTAGGGCAACGATCTCTGAGAGTTGCACGGCGAGTTTGGCGGCCTCGTCCAGGTCGTCGCGAGGCACGATGCGAAGCCCGGACTCGGCTACCAACTTTCTAGCTTCGTTAACCTTCGTTCCCTGGAATATAATAACTGATACATTACCAATATACAAGGTAGGACATTTTTTTAAATTTCTTATTATTATTTGTGATTAACTTTTTTTTTTATTGCTTAGATGGATGGACGAGCTCACAGCCCACCTGATGTCGAGTGGTTACTGGAGCCCATAGACATCTACAACGTAAATGCGCCAACCATCTTGAGATATAAGTTCTAAGGTTTCTTTTTTTTCCTACCTAAGCTTAGCCTTGAGCTTAGCGTAGCCTTGAGAGGCTATTCCAGCGTAACCTTAACTAGTAGGTGAGCTCACGGGGCTCAAACCTGACGACGTTGCTAACACGAACCCTAGCAAGAGCCGTGCTTCGCAGAATCTACCACCGGATCGGAAACGCGACCCACTGAGAAGATCCGGCGAGAAACTCAGTGGGCTGTGTCCGAGGGTTAATTTACTCGTCGAGCCCTTCGTCGCAAGCGACGGGTTCGACGAGAACGGAGACCGGTGCTTTAGGTACCTCTAGAGGCACCGTTAGTGGATCGGGCGGATCCGAGATGACGTGTTTTGGGCGACGTCGACTGCTTTCCATTCTTTCCGCAGGATCAGGAATGCTAAGGTCTCAGTATAGTTACAACGGCTACCCCACTCTTCGAACCGAAACGCATTACTGCTTCACGGCGGAAATAGACGGGATGGTGGTACCTACCCGTGCGGACTCCCAAGAGGTCCTACCACCAGTGAAATATTAAAGTTAAATATTAATAACACAAAAAGATGTAAATGATCACATTAGTACTTACTTGAAGGCGAACAATCACTGGGATCTGTATATTCAGATTTTTGGCAGCATTAATGATACCTTCTGCAATGACGTCGCACCTCATAATACCACCAAAAATGTTCACCAAAATAGCTGTCACCTTCGGGTCTGAGAGAATGATTTTGAACGCCTCCTAATAAATGTGACGAATTTGTTAATTATTTTATAAATACATTATAAAAGAAAAAAAAATTAAAATAAGAGTACTTACAGAGACAGCCTGGGCAGTAGCGCCTCCACCGACATCCAAGAAGTTAGCGGGGTCACCCCCGTAGAGTTTGATAATATCCATCGTAGCCATAGCTAATCCAGCACCGTTAACCATACAACCAATGTTTCCTACCATAAAACAAACATAAAATATGTAAATATTATTGTTCCCCTCGTAAATATTTCACTTTTTTTTTAAGATTCCCGAAAAGAAAACCAGGCCGTATTTTTTTTTGCACTAAATTATATAGACACATGGTAAATTCTTTGGAATGCTGTGTTCATGATCTTGTGAGAATGAAGAGGCACATCTGCCAGCATTAAAAACATTTTTTTTATTAGACAGATTAGTGATCAAACTCAAGGCCTTGCAAACACTTACTACAGCCCAAAGACATCACAATATGATATAACCGCTTCCCACTTCAGAACATAAAGTCAGGTTTCGCTTATATAAAACGACCCACCCTCATACTGGAACGCCCGATAGTTTCGCGGCGGAAATAGGCAGTCTGGTCACGTAAATTATAAATCTTGCGAGTTTGATTTTTATTACATGGTGTTATTTCCTTGCCGTGAAGTCATTCGTCTGTTTATATAAAAAATTAGCTTCATTTGAGAAATTTACAGATACCAGTGGAATTTTAACACCCGCATCGTTCAATCTGAATATTGGGAATATCTGCTTATACAAAATAGATATAAGAGGCAATAAAAATCAAGAATATACACACACCTTTTTTTTTTTATTGCTTAGTTGTGTGGACGAGCTCACAGCCCACCTGGTGTTAAGTGGTTACTGGAACCCATAGACATCTACAACGTAAATGCGCCACACACCTTGCGATATAAGTTCTAAGGTCTCAGTATAGTTACAACGGCTGCCCCACCCTTCAAACCGAAACGCATTACTGCTTCACGGCAGAAATAGGCGGGGCGGTGGTACCAACCCGTGCGGACTCACAAGAGGTCTTACCACCAGTAAAACGTACCAGTAGACGTACGTACATACGTCCTAATTTAGAACGTACCATCGAGAGCAATGTAATTTAAGTTGTATTTAGCTGCTTCAATTTCCTTGGGGTCTTCTTGAGTAGTGTCTCTCAAACTAAATAGCTCTTTTTGTCTGAATTCAGCATTATCGTCAAATCTAAACTTGGCATCCAAACAGAAGACTGTAAAGTTTAAAAATAAATATCACAATATGTTTAAGGGGTCTATTCCAGCTACACCGAATGGGTAAGTGAGCTCACGGGCTCAACCTGAGATGAATTTGCTAACACTAGCCATAGCAAGAGCAGTGCTATGCAGAATCTACCACTGAATCGGAATCGCGAACCAGTGAGAAGATCTCCTCGTCGTAATCGACGAATTCGACGAGAACTGTGACTGGTGCTTGAGAGAACTAAAAGCAATGAGGGTGGATCTGGATACTTTGCTTAGACATGAATTACCACTTTTATCTATTGAGATCACCCAACATCTTAGATGTCATCTTGGCTATAAGTTACACTACATTGTCGATTTTGGCAGGCTAAACATGCCAATCATGACTGCAGGTAATGTTAGGCAGAAGGTCTGTGACATAGGACTGCAGGTAATGTTAGGCAGAAGGTCTTTTAAAAGTGTTGACTGTCTGTCGGGACAAGCTAGCCATGTAAAAGTGACTTAATAAAACTTTTTCATTTTAATATAATATATCTCTTTACATATCGACGCTTGAAAGGCAAACGTGACTAAGCGACAATGCGTGAACTTTACAGTAGACTAATTTAAAGTTGAAATACCTGAAAAAAATCTATTTTAAGGAATCTAGCTGTAGGATTTAAATTATTTTAATAGACCTAGAAATATATATTTTTTTGCGCTTCGATTATGTTATTGCCTATCATTTATGTATAAAGCAGTTATTGTCGCTTAATCATGTTTGCCTTTCAAGCGTCGATATGCATTATATCTAGCTAATCATGGGTTACAAACAAATAAATCACTTGTTGATAAACATATCAACATTAGATAAAATCAGCAAATTCAGTCTTTTTTTATTATTTATACTAAATATGAAGATAAGGCACTTACATTGTCCTGTCAAGGCATCTTCGGCATACGGATTTACTTCAATCAATAAGGCATCCTTCTTAAGGAACAAATCATACATTTTTTTAATCATACCATGAGCTTCAGTTGCAAATTCTTGTAGACCGATCTGCAAAAAAGAATATTTACTGCATTTACTTATTGTGATAAATTAGATTTTTAACAAATACTAAGATTAGAAATAATACAGTTAATAATTGTAATTCAAGATTCTAGTGTTTAATACAGATTTACCTTTTCGATAACACGGCAAATTTGATCATCAGTAATACCCGAAACAATATCAATAGGTTCATAAGTTATTGCATCAGGATTTTCAGCTGCAACATCTTCAATGTTGACACCACCTTGAGATGAAGCAATGATGACTGGACCCTGACATTTAAAGGAAAACATTGGTTTTTTTTTCAAATATTATTGAATTATTTTACACAAAAAAAAACTTGATTAAAGAAATTATGAGGAAAAATTATGTACAGAGAATGAGCATAACTCAGATATGAGTTTATTTCAAAGTAATGCCATACTTATAGTGAAATAGGTCAAGGTCTAAAGTCAACAATATTTCGGAATATAACATATTAAACAACTTAAGATTTATTAACATAACAAAACATTCAACCAAACAAATATGATGAATACAACTGTACAACAAACATGAAATATAAATTTGTAAAAATAATTATATGGGCAAGTTATGTAGACATTAAATGAACTACATAGCTTGTCAGATTGTTGATGTTTAACTAATTTCATAATTTTATAAAAACACACTGTAAATTGATTACAAATATGTACCCACCCATGTTATTGAAGTAGGAAGGTGAGTAATATTACAGTTACATTTATGCAGATTCTAGTGTCAGGCTGTTGAGATGAAATCTAACATCCAACAAAATCTTAATAAATTGTAACATTTTATAAACTGATTGGGAAAGTTATATTCTACTAATGTTGAAAAGCAAATACTTTTTGAATGTGATTAATACTGTGGCCACAACTGCTGTATTAAGAAAATATTCATTGAATCTGTTGATCAACCTTCAGCACATAAATAAAGATTACTGTACAACTCTTAATTTGTGACTTTGGGAAAAACAAACTATTTAATATTTTCTAAACATACATTGAAACTGCGTTCCATCATGATTGCCACGTAGTATTCCCTGCGTGGGAACTTCCTCTCGGTGACCATGACCATGTTGCAAATTCGTCCTGCTGCCCCTGTTTGTTTTGTTACTAGGAGTTGTTTAAGCATCTTTCCTGCTATATCACCAGCAACTTCAGGTCTGTATATAAACCAAAATCATTAATTATAAGTTTATTTCAAGGATACATATACTATATAAGATTACTTACGTGTTGACCATTCGAACTCCACCTTTAAGTCCATTCTTAAAGGTACCTTTCCCTCGACCACCAGCAAGAACCTGAGTAATCAAAAAAAAACTTAACCTTCTTTTACAAACTTAAATTTGCAAATTTACACAAATTAGTACTACAATTTACCTGTGCTTTTAGAACTATGTCTTTGGTATTGAGTTCTGTGGCAAACTTAATTGCCTCATCCTTGGTTTTGGCCACATTAAATTTGGGTACAGGAATTCCATGGTCCCGTAGTAGAGTATAACTTATGTATTCATGTACATTCAAGTGGCGGACTTGTTGTTTACTTGGAAATTTGTTGGCTGAAGATGCTGTCAATATCTGTACAGAATGTTCTTATTTAATTATCTAAAATATATAGATTCATAAAAGTATAATGGAACATGTAGAAAGTATCAATTTTCAATGCTATATCTTTGTAGTAAAATTGTTTTGCAGGGTGTAATCACTGGTCATTGCAGTAAATTCTTCTCCACGGTCTAAATCAAAGGATTCGAATTCTCCTCCGAAAAAAACGTGAAAGATAAGTAAATAGTAAGTAGGTAACTAACAATTTTAAACAGTACAAAATACATATTTATGAAGTGAAAAAAATAGTAAGCTACTGACCATAAACACCCCAATGCAGACATTATATTATTATATGTTATTAGCTGGCAAAGTGACTTCCTAGTATTGTCGGCACGAAGGATACTATTTTAAGATGTTGTTAATATAGACATGTTATCATACTTGTTATCATTTTCGACCTACAAATCGAGACTGGAAATGTATCCAAAATATAAACGGCTATAATATATAGGTAAGCTTTGTCTACAATTTAGTTAGCATGGTCATACAAGCATTGACATAATACCTGTGACGTAAGGTCACATTACAGCTGAAACGCCAAGGTCAAATTTATAAATAAAATACATATTAAATATAAATTTGAAATAAAAAATGGTCAACCTGATACCAAAATTGTAGCTATCTTAGACAGGATATGCTAAACATAAGTTTTCATTCAATTAATCAAATAAATGAGTAAAACAGTACGACAATTATTGAAATCTTAGATGCGTATATAAGACTTAACAACAGTTGGCTTAAAAAAAACAGTAATTTATGTGAAGTGATATTTTGGGTACGGATGGTTATTTACCTTATTTCCATATCTAAATAATATTGTTTCAGCAAAACCAAGAGAACGAGGTAATACAATCGCCATTTTGACACAGAGTAAAAATTTTAATAAAACTATTAGATGTTAGAATGGATCAATTTAAGGCTGGACGCATATTGCAAGTCTATGCTGGTCTGGCTGAATTTTTTCGAACACTGAACTGATAGACAAAAATTTATTTTCAGTGCCCTATTCTTGTCAGCTTAGAGAGAGGTTGAAAATCGACACGTGGTGGCGCTACTTTCGTTTGACTTAATGTCGTTATAGTTATTTTTAAATCAATTCAATTTTTTTTATAAATTTACACTGGTTACATTTCGATCACAATTTTTCACCATTGACCCGCGATGATCGTACGTTAGAAAATAAGATTTAACCATACAGGAATCAAACTCTTACCTGTCACCGTAAACTATTTTCAGAAATAATTAAGGTATTTATTTTCGGTTAGAATATTATTAAGTTTTATCGATTAATGATGTTTCGTATCTTAAAATCAACTCACATTGTACACAGTCCATATTAAAGAACGAAAACAATTTATGTATTAAAGAAGGTATTAAAAATAAACCATTTTTTCATACCATAAAAAATGCCATTAATTGCCCTCCAGAGAAGGTCACGGGTCGACCTGGGGGAGTCGATGCTACCCGGTGCGTTACCGGAACCTTATTGCACCGAGGAGTAACATCATTGTGAACTGAGCGACCGATTGGAATCGCGTCCCGCTCGACAAGCTGGTTCTAACCCAATAGAGTATCCCAGGACTACAGCGGCACCGTCTGGATGACCTGACCGGCTGCTGTAACGAGACGGCCGACGTTCCAAAATCTTCATTTTACCTAGAAGGCTCCGTTAGCCAGGTGTTCTCCTTGGAGTGATTCGCGCCTGGTTGCAGTGTTGACCGAGGTAGCCCCTATACCCCGCCCAGATTCTGATGTCAGGAGGATCAGACACACATAAGTCCCGTAAAAAAATGTGTTCATTAATAGGTATATTAAAATTGTAGAATTATATTATTTATATTACGGGCTGGGTCATTCTTCGGTGCTGGTACTTACAGAACGGTGTCGTAATTTTTATCAACCTAGCTAGGCAGGTAGGTAACAATTATCCAGAAGAAGATATATATTGAAGACATTATCCAAGCCGTTTAGTTTCGAAAAAGGTGTTCGGAAGGGCTGCATCCTCTCACCCATCCTATTTAATATAATAATAGGTTGGGGAAAAGTCTTTTCGCATTATAGTATGTTTGAACTTGTAATAAAATCTCTGGCTATACTATTTGTATCTGGCTGGTTTTGGTATCGAACTTTAAATTTTAAAGAAGTTATTTTCAAATTCAAATTAGGAAAATGTGTGATTTTCATTTATTTTTCGTACTGTCAAAACACCGCGGCAATTGGTTTTGGCAGTCCTCTCGTGATGTTAATCTGACACTGCCTAAAGAATTCTGAAGAGACCGAAACAGGTGGAAATCTGAAGGTGCAAGGTCAGGACTGCATTGGATGGTGGATGCATTAACACCTCCCAGCCAAGCTGTCTTAATTTTTGCTGAGTGGCTAAAGATGTGTGAGGTCTAGCGTTATCACGAGGAAAAACCACACCCCTTCTGTTGATTAATTCCGGCCGCTTTCTCTCAACTTCTTGCTTTAATCTCATCAGTTGAACGCAGTGGAGTTCAGAATCGATGGTCCTGCCTGGTAGTAACAGCTCATAATGAATAATGCCCTTCCAATCTCACCACACACACACAGCATCACCTTGTTGCGAGTTAACCCAGGTATCGCCAGTCTGTGAAGTCTGACCAGCCTTATTCGCACGTTCTTGTCGTACGTGATCCACTTTTCATCACCGGTTATCAGCTTTTTCAAAAATGGTTCGGTCTCATTACGTCATAATAAAGAATCACAAATGAGTACACGGTTCATTAGGTTTCTTTCAGTGAGATCGTGAGGTACCCAATTATCGAGCTTTTTTGTGTATCCTTTTTTTCAAATGCGCCTAAACTGTTTTGTAGTCAATTCCCAATTCTTCAATTACGTCTTAACTACTGATATGCCGATCTTGCGCCACTTTTTCAAAAATGGCTTCCATTTTATCCGTAATATGGCGACCAAAGCGACGTGTATCTTTGACATCAAAATTTCCGGATTGAAAACGCTTAAACCAAAGGGGATTGCCCACTCTCCATAGTGTGCTAGGCCCAAGATGGACATCAAATATTACTATAAAAATGTACTGATTCAAATTCTTAAATGTATTGGATATCTAAAAAATATATTGAAATTGACGCCACTATTATAAAAAATATAATAAAAATAAAAACTCGTTTTGAGGTTAATTTTCTTTATAAATAAGTGTCGGATTGTGAGATACTTCAAAAACTTTTCTTTTCTTAATGTTTAAGATGTTCCTAATGTATTTTTATCCAATAGGGTATAAAAAACACACTTAATTCTTTAAATATCTATATTTTCTTCATCTTCATACACAATTAGTATCATCTAAAAATAGCAAAAGAGAGCATATACACGGTTTTAAATCTCGGTCAGGGTAAAACCACAATTCACACANGATGGTACGATAAACGAATCTTTTGGTTATATTCAATTTTTTCAATATGTTAAAAATTTGAATTGGCGCGTAACCGCAACGATGCAACGCAATAACTGCAACACGGTCTTCTTTAAGCGTCCACTCCATATTTAAAAAAGAGTAAAATTCTAAAAGTATACATTTTTATTTTCATGAACAATTCGAAATTCGAATTCAATAAACTTTTTTGTGGCCAGCATTCTAAAAGAAAAGTTTTTACTGTGTGACAATACTTATGACCTGACTAGGTATATATAAAAAAAACATCACTGCGGCCTTTCTTCTGAGCTGTTTCCACCTTGTCCGATCCTCAGCTTTTCATAGGGCAGTTGCACTGACAGCTCAGTTAGGGTGCTTATTTGGTCACACCTGTAGCTAAGTGATCGGCCGCGGGATCTCTTTCCTTCCACCTTACCCGTCACAATCACTTTATCTAAGTTAGCCAGCTGTCAGCAGACAAAGTAACCGAAGTAGCTGAGGATACTCTGGTAGCAGATTCTTGATAGCCTGACTTGGGTGCGAAGCTGATCTAAAATAGACTTATTTGTCCTCTTAGCCGTCCATAATTTTAATGAATACACATATACGTATTAACGGAGAGCAAACGTCCTAATGTTTGCTCAAAATGGGAATCGAACGCACGTCCCGGGTCCAGGGTCGCTAATAAATAAAGTGATTTGCTATTATCATATTTAATTTTTTCTTTCAACTATTGAATACTGTTTAAGAATAAAGTAGCTGTTTTGTGCCAACCATCTCTTCTCGTTGGTGTCATATTAATATAGATGTAGTATTATCGTAAAGTAATTAAGTCCACCACCACTTCGTGGTCGGAGGCGTTGGAGAGGTGCAGTTAAGGAACCTCAGCCTCATGTTGGATAGCCGGTGGGCTTTTCGTGCTCACTTTGCCGAGCTGGTCGCCCGATTGATGAGGACGGTCAGTTCTTTGAGCTGGCTGCTCCCGAATATCGGAGGGCCGAATCAGGTTATGCGCCACCTCTACGCCTTTTGAAGTTGCCGTGGCCTAAAGGATAAGACGTCCGGTGCACTCGTATGTAGCGATGTACCGGTGTTCGAATCCCGCAGGCGAATACCTACCAATTTTTCTGATGAAATACGTACTTAACAAATGCTCACGATTGATTTTCACGGTGAAGGAATAACATCGTGTAATAAAAATCAAACCCGTAAAATTATAATTTACGTAATCACTGGTGGTTGGACCTCTTGTGAGTTCGCACGGGTAGGTACCATCAACCCGCCTATTTCTGCCGTGAAGCGGTAATGCGTTGCGGCTTGAAGGGTGGGGCAGAGCGTTAAAAAACTCTAACTAAACACATCGGAGTATAAGCCTTTAGGCCACGAGGACTTCCATTATTCGTAGCCCAATGTTGAATTTTAAATAAAAAGGGTGCGTGTACTTATGTACACGTGTAAGAAGTTATACTTTATTTTTATTAAATTTCTTTTTTTTTTAATATTAAATAATTAATAATAAATATTTAACGTTAATAATTTAATAATATTTAGTATGAATTATACTAAATAATAATTTTGTCATTTATATTACTAAAAAATGAATGCTAATAACACTTTTTTTACGAGTGTACATACGTGAAAGTTCACCTGCGGCTATATTCAGACTCGCCAAGTTACGTCAGTCGTATGGTAATGAGCGATTTAGTGGGCAACTTAATTCTGTTAATTTTGTGTCACGGTGCGCGCGCAACGTAAAATTTCACTCTCATAAATTTTTCATAACGCGCCTAAAGAAGTATAACGTCAAAAAAATAATACGCGGGGGTGGTGCGATCGATGGCCGCCCTGTACGGTGCGCCTGTATGGGCTGGGCCGCGCAACCGGTCTGCTATGACTCTATTCCTGCGGCGGCTACAGCGCACCGTTGCTATCAGGATCATCCGTGGATATCGCACCATTTCCTTCAAGGCGGCATGTGTGTTGGCGGGGACGCCGCCACCGGAGCTGGAGGCGGAGTCGCTCGCTGCCGATTATCGGTGGCGCAGCGAGTTTCGTACTCGGGATATGGCGCGTCTCCCTAATAGTGAGTTACGGGTGCGGAAGGCACATTCTTGGTGGCTCGTGCTCGAATCGTGGTCTAGTCGGTTAGCCAACCCCACGTGGGGTCTACGGACCGTCGAGGCGGCTAACCCGGTCTTTGATGACTGGTTGAATCGTGGCGGAGGACGCCTCGCCTTCCATCTGGTGCAGACTGGGAACGGATGCTTGTGGACACGACCTGGACACGGCGGAGCATACGTTCGCTGTCTGCCTCACTTGGGAGGTGCAGCGCCGTGTCCTTGTCGCAAAGATAGGACCTGACTTGTCGCTGCCTGACATCGTGGCGTCGATGCTTGGCGGCGACGAGTCCTGGAAGGCTATGCTCGGCTTCTGCGAGTGCACCATCTCGCAGAAGAAGGTGGCGGGGCGAGTGAGGTAAAGCTCTCCTCACTACGCGGAACCACCGTCGCCGAGCAGGGAGTCGGGACCGAAATCCCGTCTCCCACCGTCCGTCGTTCCACCCGCTTTGTGCG